CTTGGAGTAGACCTTACCGGGGAGGCTGAGGAGTGTGATGCCACGATAATTGGAACACACCCTCCGGTCCCCCTTCTTGTAGAGAGGGACCACCACCCCGGTCTGCCACTCCATTGGCACCGCCCCCGATCGCCACGCGATGTTGCAGAGACGTGTCAGCCAAGACAGTCCTACAACATCCAGAGACTTTAGATAGTCAGGACGGATCTCCTCCACTCCCGGCGCCTTGCCACCATGGAGGCTGCCAACCACCTTGGTGACCTCGGCTAGGGAGATGGAAGTATCCGCCCCAACATCCTCAGCCTCTGCCTCCTGGACGGAGGACGTGACGGGGGGATTGAGGAGAACCTCGAAGTATTCCTTCCACCGCCCGACAATATCCCCAGTCGAGGTCAGCAGCCCTCCACCCGCACCATACACGGTGTTGGCAAAGAACTGCTTCCCCCTCCTGAGGCGCCGGACGGTTTGCCAGAACCTCTTCGAGGCCGACCGATAGTCATGCTCCATGGACTCTCCGAACTCCTCCCAGTCCCGGGTTTTTGCCTCTGCAACAGCCCGGGCCGCGGCACGTTTGGCCTGCCGGTACTGGACAGCTGCCTCAGGAGTCCCACGAACCATCATTGCTCGATAGGACTCCTTCTTCAGCCTGACGGCATCCCTTACTGCCGGTGTCCACCACCGGGTTCGGGGATTGCCGCCGGGACCAGCACCAGAGACCTTGCGACCACAGCTACGAGCCGCCGCATTGGCGATAGAGGAAGAGAACATGGTCCACTCGGACTCGATGTCCCCCTCCTCTGCCGGGACCTGGGAGAAGCTCTCCCGGAGGTGTGAGGTGAAAGTCCGTCTGACAGGGGGCTCACCAAGACGTTCCCAGCAAACCCTCACTACACGCTTGGGCCTGCCAGGTCTGACCGGCCTCCTGCCCTGCCAGCGGATCCAACTCACGACCAGGTGATGATCGGTTGACAGCTCCGCCCCTCTCTTCACCCGAGTGTCCGAGACACGCGGTCGAAGGTCAGATGATACGACTACAAAGTCGATCATCGACCTCCGGCCTAGGGTGTCCTGGTGCCACGTGCACTGATGGACACCCTTGTGCTCAAACATGGTGTTCGTGATGGACAGGCCGTGACTGGCACAGAAGTCCAACAACTGAACACCGCTCGGGTTCAGATCAGGGGGGCCGCTCTTCCCGATCACCCCTCTCCAAGTGTCACTGGCATTTCCCACATGGGCGTTGAAGTCCCCCAGGAGAATAACGGAGTCCCCGGGCGGTGCACTGTCCAGTACCCCTCCCAAGGACTCCAAGAAGGCCGGGTACTCTGCACTACCGTTAGGCCCGTAGGCCGTCACAACAGTGAGAAACTTGTCCCCCACCCGGAGGCGGAGGGACGCGACCCTCTCATTCACCGGGGAGAACTCCAACACGTGGCGGCTGAGATGGGGGGCAATGAGTATGGCCACCCCAGCTCGCCGCCTCTCCCCGCGGGAAACACCAGAAAAGTGGAGCGTCCAACCCCTCTCAAGGAGTCGGGTTCCAGAGCCCAAGCTGTGTGTGGAGGTGAGGCCGACTATCTCTAGTCGGTATCGCTCAACCTCCCCCACAAGCTCGGGCTCCTTCCCCCCCAGTGAGGTGACGTTCCACGTCCCAAGAGCCAGATGTTGGGTGTGTGGACTGGGTCGTCGAGGTCTCCGCCTTCGACTGCTGCCCAGTCCTCTCTGCACCTCGCCAATGATTATGATTAAAGTCAACATGGTTAATTTAATGAGACACTATTTTTCTGCTAAATACATATTTTATTTACATTTTCCTCAACGCTTGTAACTGCTGTCATATTTACATGTATGAATTTTAAAAAAGCAAAACGAACACAGGAACAAGGAACACAGACAAAGACCGAGACAATACAATGGACCAGCAACAAGGGGAGAGGATCACAGGGTATTTATAGACAGAGACACAGGTGAAACACATCAGGGCGGGGCAGACAGTCAAGACAGGAAGTACAAATAGAACCAACCACAGAGAACTATTTTCAAAATAAAACAAAAATACAAAACTAAAATCCACACCATGACATTATCAAATCTTTTGCTGTGTACATTGTGCTTTACAAGAGTCATACTCTACATTAAATAATTAAGCATGGAACATATTTACACAATATAAACAATAGTATATTAATATTAATTTCATAACTTTAATTGGCGATCTATCTGCATTACATTATTGCCTTTTATTCTTTATTATTACCCATAGCTCAAAACATGACACATCCACCACCCTTAGCTTCTACATAGTTTGGGTCGAGGTCGTTGGGGAGTTTCCCATTCTCTGCCCAGATATTGAGCTCTCCAAACACTCCGGTCTCGATCATCTCCTCCTGCCAGGGAATGGGGATGTTCCCCGATGAAAATTCAGTAAAGAAATCATTATCCTTGTTGTCTATGACGATGCCTTTGATGGAGCTGAACGCCCCCACGTCATCAATGTCTTTGGCATAGACCATTTTTGGGTCCGGAACAAATGGTGGAGGAAGCATGCCTGTTTAGAAAGAAGGATAATTATTTACGGTGCGGATGCACAATTATGATCCTACTACAATTTTTCTGATGAAAAATGAAGCTAGGATAATCATAGTCATCATGGAAAAATTAAATTCATGGAAAAAATTGAAACCTCAAAAATGTGGTTGTTGAAATTAAATTAAAAGAAAATCCTCACATAAAAAGTTAGACAAGACAGGACTTTTCCATTAGTAAAAATGCTCTCTAATTAAGGGAAATAATACCCTGTTTTATTATTAATTTGTCTATTGTTAACCATAAGCAGTGACCCTTGTATTTCCAAGTCTGTTTTATAGCTATAAACATAGAAATAGCCAGATTTTCATAATATGCAGCAAGTAAATTACTCCTTGTAAAGAAAATTATGTAATCTAAATATTTTTCATCTTTGTGAATGACATCCACTAAAATTGTGATTCCTCACTTGTACACAGTTGTGGACACATACCTGCCTCCAGGCGACCCCAGTTAATGTCCTTAAAGAAGGGCTGACTCTTGAGTTCTGCACACTCTTTGTTTTTGAATCCAAGTCGGTTTGTTACATCTTTCATCATCAGACCTTCACAAAGGTCTTTGCACTCTTTGCTGAATGCGGAAGTGTAATTGACAGGGTCATTGATGATTCTCCGAGCCACTTCTTCATTTTCAACCTGTGAAGAAAACACATATTTGTTTTCATTACAATATGTGACCAACTACCTCAATGTAATGTCCAAATGTTCTTGTGCTAGAGTAGGATAGAACCGCTTTCAGTCACTGCTGCTGTGAATTCTCCCAAAGTGGACTGGATGATCCCAAACTTCACATTATTAAAGGGACTTCGACTTCCACTTTTGGATCTCTAAAATGTGAAAAAACTCGGAGTCTGACCTTTTCTCCTCTTATTCTGAATGGTCCTTTGGCAGCAATCATTTCATACAGTGTGACTCCCAGAGTAAAGTAGTCCACGCAGTAGTCATACTCCTTCTTCTGGAGCAGCTCTGGAGCCATAAAGCCTGAGCAAGACAAAGAAACATCAAAGGAACACAGTTCACCACCATTCTGATAAACATGTTGGTTCAATATTTGAGTTGAATATTACCAGGGGTTCCTGCATATCCGGTAGTTTTGTCTTTTCCTGTGGGGAGTTCAACAGCCAGACCCAGATCTGACAGACGCACATGTCCTTGAAGCACAAAGTAAAGATATTAGATAAGTTAAGACGTAGTTCCACAAATTAAGTCAGTTGACGCAGTTAATATTTTGTGAACTCTTTAGTCAAATATTGAAAACTCAATGTAAATACTATTAAGTTATCCATGTTCCACTTGCCAAACACAGAGCCACAAACCAGACCATAAACAAATGAATCAACAGGGCATGTCAAATAAACTGAGCAATATTTTTTGTTAACTATATAATATTTATTATAACTAAAACTAAGTTAACATTCCTTATTATCATAAACACAAGTACAGTGTACTTCATATGTGCACTTGTCTCTTTCACTTCCTTGTGTGATTGCATTTGAAGCGTGCACTGAGAGAACAGGAGCCTGACCTGCGTCATCGAGCAGGACATTCTCAGGTTTGAGGTCTCTGTAAACGATTCTGTGCTGGTGCAGGTGCTCCAGGCCACAGATGATCTGACTGGTGTAGTAGCAGGCCCTCTTCTCATCGAAGCCAGGGTTTTTCTCATCAACATTGTACATGTGAAATCTGTAGGGGGCATTATGGTAAAGAACTGTTAAGATGGAGTTACTTAAACTCTGTGGACAAAAGCTTGGCAAAACAACCTAAGCTTGTTTATTTATACACATGTTTATTATAAGGAACAACATTTGTATTCCTCATTTCGGTGAAGGTTGCTGTGCCTTGATTACAAAGGTATCTCCAAGTTTCCGGATTCACTCCCTTGTTCCTTGTTGTCGTGGCTCTTTCTGGAGGTGTGTTTACGTTCAGCAACGTCAGAGGGAGCACTCAAAATGTTCAAATGTTCAGGCAGTCAATTGAAATAAATGTATAAGGCTGTATTTCCTTTAAAGACAGTTCCTCTAAACAACTGTCCCTAGTTGCATGTACTATTGGTCTCTCTCACAGAAACGTGAATGAGTGAAGACCAACCTCACCCCAGCTCAGCTCTCTGCCCAAAGGGATCACAGGGATCTTTCGTCTTACAATTAAAAGATAACATTTTCTTGTAAGATGAGGACAGCATTTGTGGGTTAATTTTTTAATAACAGTTAATTTTACAAAACAACAACATGTAATATTTAGTAAAAAAAATTAAAGTTTTAATTAACTTCTGTTAAAGGAACGCTGCCGTTCCTCTGAGACCCCCCTTGGACACCACTGATCTATATTGTTATTGCACATGTACATTGACTGTGAGCTTTATCTCTTGTAGGCTGATTAGTGAGGGTGTGTGCAAGCTTGTGCAAGCTTGTGCAGCTTTTGGTAAATAATTCAATGAATTTGTGATTGTATACAAATACAACCTGAGATCGCCTCCATTCATGATGGTCATGACTAAGCAGAGCTCAGTCTTGGTTTGGAAAGCATAAGCCAGAGTCACAATGAAGCGACTGTGTACTTTAGCTAGGATCCTCTTCTCCACCATCGCGCCCTAATGTAAAACAAACATGTGGACAACATTAGTGCAATCTTGAGTGAGGATAGTGTAACCTTTGAACTATTCATGAAAGAAAATAATAATATATATTACATTTCAACAGAACATGTATTTGGAGATACTTAAAGCAAAATAAATGAAATGTAAGGTCGGTATGTTCTATCAGAGGTTTCTGCTGTGTGTCTTTGTTCTGAGGTTGAGAAGCTTTGTGAGGCCTTTAAGACGGCCACAAGCCTCTTTGAATTGAGCTGTTGAGCTCATATAGTACTGGCTCATCATCTTTGCTGTTTCACAACATTGTATTGTTAAGGATATACACACAGTTATGGCAGGAAGCATGTAGAATATGTATGAAGTAGGTATATTTTCTGGCTGATGGGAAATGTCTTACATCATAGCCTTTGCGTTTCTTCAGGCGCTTTTTATCCAGCTTTTTGTTTGCATACATCTTGCCTGTTGCTTTTGCTTGACAAGCAAATACCTCTCCAAAACCTCCTTTCCCCAGCACCCTAAAGTCCATAAACCATTCCTCATTGACAGGCTGTCCCTCCAGCCATTTGAACTGAACGTAGCGTAGGAAGTACATGCTGTTCTTGAATCCTGCCAGAGCACTCTTCTCCAGATGCTTCAGGAGCTGCTGCTGGCTTTCCTTGAATAGGTCTCCATGCACATTTTTGTGATCTTCTTTCACTCGGGTCACAGCCTTTTCCTCCAGGAAACTGCAAAAACTCTTGGACTTGGACTCATAAAATGTATTTACAATTTTTTGGGCCTTCTGCTGTCTGTCCTTTTCCTGAGAAATGATGTAATCTTCTATGTCTTTCCACAGCTCCCCAGCGTTCTTATGGCTGGCATCACTGTCTAGATACTGCTGAAACAGGCGTTTGCCTATAGGCTGCTTCACACACATGCTGTCAAACGTACTGTCTACTTGGGTTTTCATGTGTTCACACTCTCTAATGTGAGGTAGTTTGAGCTTGGCACGCATCTTCTTGTCTCTCATGTTGGACGCAGCAGCTCCATCCACACTGCCACGGGCTGACACATAGGCCGAATTAGCCACCACGGTTTCCAAGCCTCCAATATCCATACTTCAACCTGAGGAAAGAGAAAAAATACAAGTAACTATACTTACAAAATACTGCACTCCGCTGTTCAAAGTGGGACATAACCACACACACCTCAGTCATTCATTGAGAATATGTACCCACACTGGTTGAAGATCAAGAATAATTTACAAAACAATAGAATACAGAATGCAACACAATAATATATTCAATACATTTATTTATAGGTAATTTTTCTAAATGATTGATATCCCAAAGTCAAATGCTTTATCTCAGACAGTGTGTGTTAACTCCTGGTATACACTAATCCCAGCGCTGACGCTGAGTTGAATGTTTCATGAGAACAAGCAGCTCTCCTTTGACCTGGTACACCTAGTGCAAATTGGCCTACTGCTAGCCAAATAGATTATTTTCCTAACTTGACATAATCCAATTAACAGTGACTCTTGATACTAAACTCACACTTCACACTTGCTCATCGCTCATCACACAAAGACACACAGCACCTATGTATGTATGTATGTGCATTGGAAGAACATAATATCTTAGTGATGATTCTTGATATTAGATCAGACCATATTCATATTCAAATTGAATTGAATTCACACTTCAGTCCCAAGTATAAGTCAGAGTACTTATACAGTACTCTGACTTATACAGTCTGAGTACTTATACAGTACTCTGACTTATACAGTCTGAGTACTTATACAGTACTCTGACTTATACAGTCTGAGTACTGTATAAGTTACTTCATTTTTGGAGATGTGAAACCACCAAAATGACTGGAAGAGTGAACACTTGTTTTCACATCTACAAATGACACATTTTTGCCCTAATCAGTTCATTTAAAGTGAACTCTGGTTCAAATGGGACTGAAGAGTGAACTTAATGCCATTTAATGCAAACAAATCCTGAATCAGTCGAGTGAAAATCCTCTGGCACAGGGTCAAACACAAAGTTCACCAAATCCATTAGAAACTTTTTTTTGTGTTATTTTTTTTTTGCAGTCCCTGAGCAGGGGCAAAGTAACGGCAGGTTAGCAGCACTAGCAGTAACTAAAACTCGTAATTATTATTATTACATCCTCTTATAGAATAGTGAGTAATCTATTTTCTTACCTTTTCTTCTCCTTTTCAAGTAAATTGTTAACGATGTTGAATGTAATTTGAATTCATGCAAATGAATCTCCTTTTCTGATTTGTTGTTTGTCCATACATGTAAGATGCCACAAGGACCTCTTCAGGATCTCTTCTGGCACAAGATCTCTCTCCGGGGCTTGTCCACACAGTGATCAGTTGGAAAGGTTGGTGCTTCCGGTCAAGATTCTGCACTTTAAATCCGACTTGATAGTTCATTAGCTCAGTAGGATTACATTTTGACATTAGTGAAGCGAGGGTCCTGGATACAGCGTATCAGCGTTTTACCACTATTTACAACTGAAGAACTGTGTTTACAAGTAAAGTAACTAAGTGTGTCAAAAAATTGAAACAAACACAAAAATAAATCTGGAACAAGCAAAAGTGGAGCACCTGGTGTGTCAAATTGGATTAGCGACTGTAGGTGTGGGGGCAGCATCACCCATTTCTACCGGTTTAAGAAGAGACCTCTAACTTAAAGCACAGGTTCAATGTACTCTTTTTTTTTTTAATACACTTTAATTACATCTGAGAAGAAACATTTTAGCAAAGGCTAAACATTAAAGAGCTGAGAGGATTTCCTGATAGGTTCAGGAAACAGAAGAGGGATTATAATCATGTAGTTAAAGAGGAAAGAAACTGTGTCAAACACTGACACCTCAGAGCTCACAGGTTCAAAGGAAACCTTCTGCTCTGATTCAGCAACACTTTTCAGATGATGTATATTATCGTCTTTAAAAGTTGTGTCCTCACAGAGATTTTAATAGAGAACACCTCTTTTTCAAAGTTTGCAAGACTTCAGGCTGAGCCACAAACTATATCTTGCCATTGTACTAGGCCAATTGTCCTATTTTCACCAATAAATTAATCCCATCTCTCTCTCTCCTCTCTCTCCTCTCTCTCTCTCTCTCTCTCTCTCTCTCTCTCTCTCTCTCTCTCTCTCTCTCTCTCTCTCTCTCTCTCTCTCTCTCTCTCTCTCTCTCTCTCTCTCTCTCTCTCTCTCTCTCTCTCTCTCTCTCTCTCTCTCTCTCTCTCTCTCTCTCTCTCTCTCTCTCACTCACTCACTCACTCACTCACTCACTCACTCACTCACTCACTCACTCACTCACTCACTCACTCACTCACTCACTCACTCACTCACTCACTCACTCACTCACTCACTCACTCACTCACTCACTCACTCACTCACTCACTCACTCACTCACTCACTCACTCACTCACTCTCTCAAAGTGACGGTAACGTAAATATTCTAAGTTAACAAAATCTCCATTAGTTCTAAAGGGTCTAATGTAGATAACGAGAGATTCCAACGTCAGTGAAGAGAAAACAGTTCATTATGCGCAGACCAACTGACAGACCAACTGACAGAGCACATAACTCGTCAGAACACCGGATGTGTCGTGTACATTTTTCACCATTGAATTTTGACTGTTGAATTTGACATTATGAAATTGATAATCAGTGACTGAAACTCACAGAAAAAAATATTCAAGATGTTAAAAACATTCAAATAGATGAATTCAGGTCCATTTAAAATTCAATTTCTGATGGAACAAATAATCCGTCTTTTTGAAAAAAAATATTGAATATTTTGAGGGTGAATATGTCATTTTGAAATTTTAATCACATAGAAATTTGTAAACAGATTTTTTAGTAACTGAAATGTAAAGATAAAAATATTCAAACTTGCTTTTTCAGGGTTAAACATTTCAAACTGAAGAATTCAAGCAAAAAAAATTTCAAAATCTGATGACACAAAAAATCTTCCATAATTATGTATATGGAATTTCACTTTAGGAAACTCTAGGCTCCTCCCACTTCGCGGCTCCAACATGCATCTTCCACCAGACTACGCTACAGTCAAGCCTGTCACAGAAGCGGCTACGTAACAAAACCAAGTATATCCTTCTCCTGTTTGCGTACGGTGAGGTCTGCCATGTCTTCTCTTCAACGGATACACCACCATGGGATACACTTGCAGAAGTTCACGTGGATTCAAAATTCGTGTAGTAGGCGTGTCGGGTAGTGACGTCACTACCCGACACGCCTACTACTCGACACGCCTCCGTACTGCTGGCCGCAGACAGACCCTTCTCAACAAAGCATGTTCACGAGATTTGTGTCCCTACATGTGCTGGGAAATTGTACATCACAAAAATGTGTTTATTTTCACCCTCAAAGAAAATAACTCGTAAGCACAATCGATCATTGTGACTCTCTTGAATGTGGGTAGTATGTCCATACATTAATATTTACAGTCTATGGTCCATGCCCGTATGGACTGTAAGTGTGCGGGGCTTCGCTTCAGAGCATGGTATGAGCGGTCCTTGAACGCCTCTTATGTCAGCGCCCTGCAAGGCGCTGTGTGGTGGGGTCTGTTCGTGGGTGGAGGCGGGCATGGATCCCAGTCGGTGATCCACGGGCTCCCGGGGCTTCAGGCCTGCACAGCCGCTCTTTTAAGTCCGACATGGATTTCATTCTGAGCGGAGCGGCCGCCTGCGGAGCGTGCCTCTTCACCAACCCGCTGGAAGTAGTGAAAACACGGATGCAGCTCCAAGGAGAGCTGCGGAGCCGAGGCACGTACCAAGTGTATTATAGAAACGTCTTTCATGCGTTTTATACTATTGGGAAAGTGGACGGCCTGGCGGGTTTACAGAAAGGGCTCGCCCCGGGCCTGGTGTACCAGTTTTTTATGAATGGAGTGAGGCTGGGCTCGTACGCGGTCATTGAATCCTCTGGTTACATCCACAACAGCGACGGGAAGGTCAGCACCCTGAGGACCACGGTGGCTGGAGCCGTGTCGGGGGTGGTGGGCGCCGTCATGGGCAGCCCAGTGTATTTAGTGAGTATTATATCGCATTAAGAGTTCTGAACATTTGTCAGTCACATGATCAGATAATGTACTCTTTTTAGATAACGTATTTGGTTTCATCACAATTTTAGAAACCGTTTACACGTTTTTAAATTTGACAAATGATGTTGACATGGCTACCTTAAAAAGTACAACTGGAAAAATGTTCAATGAATGTTCTTTCACAGGTCAAGACCCATTTGCAAAGTCAGTCTACCTCATCCATTGCCGTGGGACACCAATACAAACACCAGGTAACTAGTAGTGGTTGTAGTCAAATCAAAATATCAACAATAAACAAGATAAAGCAAGACACAAAATAAACATAAAACAAGAGAAAAAGAAGTTGGATGAAGCAAATGGAATAATGGTTATATGATATAATGATTTATAATTTTATACTCCCACTGACTGTTTCCAGGGCATGGTACACGCACTCAGAGCCATCTACAAGGATCATGGAGTCCTGGGGCTATGGAGAGGCTCCAGTGCAGCTGTACCCAGAGTCAGCGTGGGATCTGCTGCTCAACTCTCCACCTTTTCCTCTTCTAAAGAACTTGTTCTGGAACTACAGGTTTGACCATCTAAACTAACTCTTACTCTGATCTCTCCAGGAGTCAGAACAAGAATACTTAAAACTGGCTATAGCCCTGTGTGTGTAATTATTAAAGAAAGTGTACACACTATAAAAACAATAACTCAAAATTGTTCACCTTACTAAGATTTTTGCATTCACTGACAATAAAATTGCAAGTTGGAACTTGAACTGTCTGTTGTGAGCCACTTGAACTCACTTTCAAAAGTTACTGATGAAAAGTTCACCTTATTTGATAAATTAAGTTCATTTTACTTTGAAGTTGTAGTTAAAGTAAAATCAACTTAATCAACTTCTGAAAGTGATTTCAAGTGGCTCACAACAGACAGTTCAAGTTACAACTGGCAATTTTATTGTCAGTGAATGCAAAAATCTTAGTAAGGTGAACAATTTTGAGTTGTCATTTTTTACAGTGCACCGAGTTAGAGTGAGGTAAACTTATCTGCGCTCATTTCAAATTTGTCATGGCAACCGGCTGTTACTAATTTGACCAAATAAATCATTGTATTTTCACCAACCGTAATCGACAGGGCCAAGCCAAAGTAGGCCTATATATTCCCTGGGTCAGTCTTATAGAATGTTCTAGTTGTAATCAAAGGTCTCTGTGCCTGAATGTAGTGCTTGACAGAAACTAAACTCTATTTGATTAGAAAGCATTAATGCCTCTCAATCTGAGAGTTCTAGAGTTCAGGACCGTAAGACTAATATAAGAGTCGAATGAGCTTGTATCGTTATGTTCATGGCATTTATAAAACTAAAATGGATTAGTACAAACAATGTGTAAGTTAGTCTACTGAGCTAATGAGTGTTAATGAAGACTGTGTTTAATGAACTTATATTGTTATGTTTATGGTATTCATAAAAATAATCTTTATTGAGGGAACGAGTTTCCTTAAGAAACATTAGTTTTCCCACACTACAGTGTGTGTGGCACGGTGGCTGAGTGGATAGCACTCTTGCTTCTTGGCAAGAAGGTCCCGGGTTCGAATCCCGTTCAGAACAGGGCCTTTCTGAGTGGAATTTGCATGTTCTCTGTGTCTGGATAGGTGTCCTCCAGGTGCTACGGTTTCCCCTACCCAAGTGACCTTGGTCTATAAAAGCGCTATATAAACACACATGAGGATGAAACAGGATGATTTAATGTGGGGGGTAATTTAAACTCAAAATAGTAAGTTATTGCAGGGGACTGTAATCTGAACTTAAAATAGTATGTTTTTACAGACTTAAAAGTCCCAGTAACTTGAATAACAAAAACATATTTGGCAAAACTAGAAACACTTAGCTGACACAACTTAATGATTGTAGTTCTTCAAAACGTAAAGAATTAAGTTGATGCTTCAACTCAAAAGTCGCGTGCAGCCAGTTACCTTGAAATTTTGAGTTGAACTAACTTTTTAGTTTTTACAGTGCATTGTCTGGTTAGGCTTAATATTTGTCATCATCATGCACATGATGCAGCAAATCTTGATGAAAAAATGATCAGTCAGAGGTCATTTAGAAGTTTTAGCGTGACTTCCTGTACATGACACAATACTGTTTTTGTCTGTCAGTCTGAATAGAGGGCAATAGTCAGTAGCTCTTCTTGTGTCGCTAAAACCATGATTGTTACACAGACAAAGCACTGACCACTTTCATTTGAAACTGAAACCCAACACCGAGCTTGCAGTGCCCCTGTTAAAAACACAAGAGTTACATAACGTTGTACTTCTGGTTCAAGTCGGAATTATTTCAACATGTGTAAGACAACTTCTCCTTTACATAGACTACTGCTGCGGCCATTATACAACCATCTTCTGCTTACGCACTTATGAGGTAACATCTTGCAAACCGTTAACCCATATTTGTGTCTTCAATTAATCTACGTCTAGTGAGCTGTGGCTTTGAGAGGGGGGATTACTTGCTGTTACTTGCTTAATGACAATAGATACTTTATCAGTCCCTATAGAATTATTTTAAGTGTCCAGCAGCAAAAATGCAAGCATCCATACAAACTTAAACAAATACATCATTCCAAACGCAATAAAGCGCAGGGAGATTTGTTGGAGTCTTATGGCCACAAAGGATCTCTTAAAATGAAACGCGTGCTTTTATTTCCAGTGCCCTATTTATACATAATGAAAAAAACACATTGTGCTTTGTTTAGGTGTTCCCCAAAAACAGCTGGTTGGTTCCTCTCAGTGCTGGGATGATAAGCAGTGTGGTGGTGGTCCTGGCAATGACCCCTTTAGACGTCGTAAGCACACGACTCTACAACCAACCAGTGGACCATCGAGGAACGGTAAGCAGTGTTATTATCTCAATCATTCCTTTTCAAGATAAAATCAGATTTTATTGATCTCACACTGGAGAGATTAGCGTGTCACATTTGGCATAGATAGAATCACTCAGATATAGCAAAAAGACAGAAGTGTGCAAACATGTTAAAGGTTAAAAATATAGTCTATGCCGGATATGATTACGTACATTAAAAAAGTGGCAATAGCGGTGCAGGTTTTTTCAGTCCTAGTGCATTAGTGACTTATAGTGACTTAATGAGATGATACTATAAAGGTTGGCTGTTACGTTGGTTTATAAATGGAAGAGTAGGATTGTGGAATTTTTCATTCTCGCATAATAAAACATAAACATACTGGATATTATTTAAAACTACTTTAGAAATTACAATTCAAGACTCAGACTCAAGTTTTCATATTATCTTTCATAAACAATATATTTTGATTGTCTTCAGCCAGGTTTGTCATTAACTAAAAAAAAGAAAAACCCAAGAATACAAGTTTGACTTTTGTTTGTCGTCCAGGGGCAGCTTTACAAAGGCTTTGCTGACTGCTTCTCTCAGACCTTGAAGAAGGAGGGTCCGCTGGGCCTGTACAAGGGCCTGGGAGCCTCGTACTTCCGGCTGGGTCCTCACACCATTCTGTCTCTGTTCTTCTGGGATGAACTGCGCAAGTTTTACTGGGACGTCAGATAGCCCAGTGACAGGAAGCTCCAGAAGGAAAACAAGTGAAGCTCACAGGACAAAGGATTCTTTTATTGACAACTTTACTGTATGTGAGAACAAAACAGTTCAGGTCAGCCGTGTTACTCACCCAAGCACTTAGACTTGTTGAATGTGGTTACTCATTGAACAAGATGATTGTGGGAGGCATATTTAAAGCTCTGCCATTTTTTACGCTTGAGCCCAGTGGATTCTTGCCATATGCTGAGTGATGTGAAAGCTAATAGATTTTTAGAAAGACTCCTTAGCTCATTTTGATGATTTGTTTCCCCTTTGAAGACATTGTTTGCATCCAGAGATGTATTTAATTCAGAAGGAATTTACAAGCTTGAAGCCTAGTTACTGAATGTCCATTTGCAACACTCCAGACCTCCATGCAGATTAAAATTTAACACCTATTCAGCTTTTTCTTATTCATTGGAAATGTGTGCAATAGACTTGTTTACTAGTAAAATAATTCCTGTAACTGTTGTTGGATTTTCTTTTCTTATGGCCTTTTGCTCCAAAACATTATATTGGGTATCAGGAATTTTCTGTTAAAGTATTATTACAGATTTGATCTTACAAATGTTTTTTTATCATGCTCAATTTGAATCTTTATCAGCATTTGACACTATGATTTGAGTAAAATACATCAATTATAGCACATTTATTGCAAGTGTTGTTTCTTGTCTTATTTGTGAATAGTTCAGCTCTTGGAATGAGATGTCTTGTTGATCGTTTCCAAACGTGGAGTAAGGTAGTGATGGACTGATGGTGTGACTCACATGATTGACTCACATGTGATTCCAACTGTCAATATACAATGTGGTCTGATTCTGAAGCATCTAACAAAACAACAGATTTGTACTTAGACCACTTTGAAATAACTCTTTATTACCCTCTTGTTCACCAGGGAAATATCTGTATCACAAAACCTGAATTTTTATTGCCTTTGTAAGTAACAGGAAGTCACAAACTAGGAAGTGGCTTTGGCAGATGATGCACTTGTAATAAAATAGTCAACAGCAGATACAAAGGGCATGCATAAACAATCTTATTACATTTCTAATACATAGACATTGAACGGTGCAGGTGAAAAAGAAGTGTCCAGAGGAATTGTTTTATGTACTGTAGTGATAGAAGCACATTGCACTGTGAATATTAGATGATATTAGTCAACATTTTATATAATCTAGGACAAAACCTTTAGTCTTCATAATCTTTTTTTAAGTTCAGGGCAAATGAGTGATGTTTTTGATGTGCCTTGGACCTATCACCAGACTCAATCTAGAGAGGTGTGTGTTCCAACTAAATAAACAATCATTTTTTTGTTTAAAGTTAGTTTTGAATCTGTTGTCTGCAATAAAATAAAAGGCAGAAGTTCATAGATTTAATAAACTTATATCTATTAACTTTTTATTCTGATGAAAATATTTAATACAATTTGCCACAAGATGGCGCTGTGACCTCAAAGCTCTGCATGAAGAGCCCACTTCAAACAAACGTGGATTTAATATTTTACCATCAGTTTCAGAATGACTCATATCAATGACTGAAGTATATCAGACAATTTGATATCAAATGTACATTTTATTCCAAGGGCAGAGATTGTGTGAGCAAAGGATTAGTGCTTTATTCCCTTTGGGATGAATAAAGTATTTATCCGTCAAATAGGAACTTTTAACCATCTGTATCATGTTATGCTTAAGTGCTCAGAAAACATATAACCACCTAATTTATTTCTCGGAAAGTTATATTTTGTTTTGTATTGTTAAAGTTTTAAATAATTAACTTATTTATCACGTGAAGCTTCGCAATAAAATGAGGAAATATAATAACAAATATTTCATAAAAAGTGCAATATTAATAAAAGTGGATTGGATTGAACGCCATCCTTGTTGATCCTTTCTCGTTGCTATAACAACTGTTATAACAACGTCTTCCTGTTAGAGGAAGGTTTATAGATTAACCAGAGGCACATTTTATTTAGATGTTTCACCCTGATAACATCAGGGAGGAGAGCATAAGGGAAGGTCTCAATCCGGACGAAGAAATGATTGAATATACACTTTCGAGAAAGCTCTAAACATGATGACGGTATTGAACTGGCAGCCAGACCACTTCTCTGCACAATGTTATCTTGAGAATTTGTCTAATAAAAATCCTGCGCAAAGGGGAAATAGTTTCTCTCTGTATACACAACAGAGAGAGCAACAGCCTCAGACCATCTACACAGCCCTCCAGGGAATAATCAACAATTACAGTAGCTGCAGTTTGGCCTGAAAACAATTTTTGCAATTGTTTTATGTATTTATTATTCATATACACTCTTAGCACCTATTATTATACTTAAGGCTGTAGAACCTGTATGTTGACTTCAGATACAAGTCATGACCGGTCTGTGTTCTAGGATCATTCTATTTTCACTGGAGGCATATATATATATCTAATATATCTAATATATATATATATATATATATATATATAAAGCTTGAGAAATACCAAGGTCTCAGAGAGGAGCTGGAGAGGGCCTGGAGGGTAAAGGTGACAGTAGTGCCCGTGGTGATCGGTGCACTCGGGGCAGTGACCCCGAAGCTAGATGAGTGGTTACAGCGGATCCCCGGAACAACCTCGGACATCTCGGTCCAGAAATGTGCAGTGCTAGGAACAGCAAAGATACTGCGCAGAACCCTCAAGCTCCCTGGCCTCTGGTAGAGGACCCGAGCTTAGAGAGGGATAACCGCCCGCGGAGGGCCAAAGGTGAGTGGACAATTTATATCTAATATATATATATATATATCTAATATATATATATATATGAATGTAAGGCAAAGCAAGGCAAGTTTATTTGTATAGCACAATTCATACACAAGGCAACTCAAAGTGCTGAACAAAATAAGAAAGCATTAAAATCATAAATAATCACAGAACATTAAAAAGAGCTAAAAGTATAAAATTCCTCAGTTGTATGCACAGCTAAACAGAACTGTCTTTAACCTGGTTTTAAACATTGTCAGAGAGGAGGCCTGTCTCACATCTTCAGGAAGACTGTTCCAGATTTTAGCAGCATGAATCTGAAAAGCAGCCTCCCCATGTTTAGTTCTGACTCTGGGCACTAACAGGAGTCCAGTCCCTGTGCTCCTCAGAGTCCGGGCTGGTTCATATGGGACTAACATGTCACTAATATATTTTGGTGCGAGGCCATGGAGAGACTTGTACACAAGCAGAGCTGTTATAAAGTCTATTCTCTGAGCCACAGGAAGCCAGTGCAGAGACCTGAGGACCGGACTAATGTGGTCGAATCTCCAAGTCTGCTTTAGACACTATGTTTTTTAGATGGTAAAAAGATGCTGATGTTACTGATTTAATGTGGCTATTAAAATTTAAGTCTGAGTCCAGTATTACCCCTAGATTTCTGACCTTGTTTGAAGGTTTTAGTGAGAGAGACTTTACATCTAAACCAAATAATACATACATAAACATAATAAATCAATTACAAAAAACTTGAAATATTTTGATTTGAAATGAAGGAAAAGGTACAATATATATTAAGGGTCGGATGGCGCCGGTAATATGGCAACACACCAGAACACCACCAGGGGCGACAGTAGCTCAGTTGGTAGAGCATTGGCCTTAAGGCCAGAAGGTCGTGGGTTCAATTCCCACCTCTGCACCTTCTACACCGACTCCCACTGATGACTGCTGTCGTTGTGTCCTTGGGCAAGACACTTAACCCCACTTTGCCCAAAGCCCCCACTGAAAGATCAAGGCTATGCTCACACTCAGAGAGCAGCCGTCCTCCTGTGGACTCACCACCTGCAGAGGGTCAGTGAGGGGCTGGTGCTATGAGACTTGGGTGGCATCTCTGATTGCCACCCCCCTGACCCAGAAATGGATTAAAGGGTAGAAAATGGATGGATGGATGGATGAATCTTAGAACTTGAGTGGCATCTAGAATGAAAATGAGAGCAACACGTGAGACTATTTTGAGGACTTTAATCATATTTTGTTGAGAATTAATTAAAGGACATGACATCGTCATTTGATGAACGGAATTTGAAACCAGTCTGATTATTAGCTTTGAATTGGCATTAGCATATGTGTAATAGGACTATACTTACATAATCATCTCCAGTAGTTTGCAGGTGAAGAATAAATGGAAAGGCGTTCTTAGAGTGGCTGTCGGAGACTTGTCTCGTGAAAATTGCATTTTTTTTGCCAGGATTGTTTCATCAAATTTAATACATTGATTTCACTTTCATTTGTTCTTTTTTTAACTTCAACCATCTGGACATGGTTGAAGTCTAAAACTTATATTCTGAGAGTTTTAAGATTTATATACAGTACAACCTCAGATCTCCATTGAGAATGTTTCAGACACTCCCACTAAAAATAAAAACATGACACTCTTTAACATGCAAGGTCATGGTGGAAACACAAGTATGTGATGTTGGTGTCACCAATTTGTCTCTTCAATGTTCTTGTAAATTGTTCAGTTAAACCATTCATCATGCATGTGACCTCACAATTTTATGTGGAGAGTCCAGACATCATTTTAGTTTTTGATAAATACAGAGAGATGTGTTCAATACAATACATGCACTGACATCAACATGGAGACACGGAGAAGTATCGCAAACCCTCGGAGAGAAAAACTCCAACATGAAAAAACAAATGGATAATAAGACTATAGGTTTGTGTTTTACCTTAGTAATTATAGGTAACATAAATTATGTGTGTCGAGATACTTTTCAGTAGTCAACCACTTCATTGTCATTTGAAGTTAAAAAATTATTATGTTAAAAAATGTTGGTGACTCATGGTGCGTCATTTGCTGAGACTAGAGCCAAAGTTCAGGTTGTGTTTGTCGTTATCGTGGGCTGCAAATTCCTAAACTGGCTTTGATGGTGAAACATTTTATGTATTGGTTTTCACAATAAAATGGACTTGAAATGAAAAGTTAAAGACATGTTTTTTTAACATCAGTGCCATTGACCTCCCTGAAACCCAGGAACTAGTATGTCTTTGTAATGAGTAATAACCTTGTCATGAGTCACATTCTGGCCGATCCCAAGCATTGTTTGCTTACGTTATCTTTGTCGTTTCCCACCCACACCTTGACAGCAGGCATTTTGACTTCTTTTGCATGTGCAAACGCATTTCACTCAGTTCAGAGTTGAATTTTCTGAAAAGAGGAAGGGTTTGTGGTTCAGCTGAAGGCGCATTTTTCAGCAGCTGCAGAAGGATTCCAATCGGCAACATGTGCACTGGAAAATGTTCCCGTTTCATTGCTGTCTCTTTGTATCCACTGGCTCTCATTTCTATTATTTGCAACATAGTGCTGTTTTTTCCTGGAGGAGAAACCAAATATGCAAAAGATGGACACATAACGGAGGAGGTTAAATACATGGGAGGACTTGTAGGAGGGGGTGCGATGGTAAGTCTTAATTTTCTAAAATATTCTTTATTCTTCAGATGACTCATGACTGTCCCCTGCCCTTTATGAGCATCACTTTACGCTACATGTCTATTGTGTGTACTTAGTGCACTTGTATATAGTATTCTTTTTTTTAGAAATCTTTATGTAGAGGTTTTATTTTACTTTTATGCAAGCCTTACATAATTTGTTTTACTTTTATAACTTGTTTGCACATGGAGGCAAAGTAGTTTTCTGGTTTGTGACTTCCTCTTAAACAATTACTCCATAAATAATGAAGAAACTGAGCTCTGATGTGGGCTATAATTTATTGGTTCATTTTGCAGTAAATCTATGTCCTTCTGTCTACAGGTGTTACTCCCAGCTCTGTACATTCACTTGACTGGCAAACAGGGCTGCTGTGGAAACCGTTGTGGGGTGAGCTTGTTTTTACCCTCAAACTCTGATAATATGCAGATATGTAAGTAGTAGTAGTAGGAGAAGCTGCACAGTTGTATGTATAAACTCATTTAAACATAATTAGTTGTACTTTTTATGTAGATGTTTGTTGGGATGACTAGTTCTCATTCCTGAATAATCTTTGTCATGTGTGTCAAGAATGTCAGGAAGCAGCAGACTCTAATGCACTAATAAGCATCACGAGGACACTGAAGAAGTCAATAGAACTCCAACCCTAATTTATTACGTGTTGTTGTTTTGCACTTTCAGATGCTGTTATCCATTTTGTTTGCTGCTGTGGGTGTGGCTGGTGCACTGTATAGTTTTATTGTGGCTATACTGGGTTTGCAGAATGGTCCTCTCTGCCGTGTTCTTCTGATTTGGTCCACACCTTTTAAAGACAGGTAAAAAACATGAGGTGACTTCCACGTTACTGTCCACTCAAATAGTGATTGTTATTGTTTGTTTGTGACTTTGACAGAGACAGCAGTTACCTGTCAGACAGCACATGGTGGGGCACATGCACGGAACCCAAAGATATTGTCCAGTTTCACATTGGGTTATTCAGTACCCTGCTGGCCACAAGCGCTCTGCAGGTCATTCTTTGTGCCATTCAGATGATCAATGGCCTCTTTGGTTGTCTGTGTGGAGCCTGCGTAGAGAAAGGGGTGAGTCATGTCTCTAATTTTTAAAGAATATACTAGTACAAACAAGACAATAGCTTATACATGTCCTAGAGTCCTATTATTGTCATTGTATTTCTAAAAATCCAATTGAGAGGTAAAAGAGCTTTGAGATAAATGTGCCATAGAGGTTGATGGTGTAGAGGTGGGCGGTGGCTTTCATTCCTGGTAGAGTACTCTGGGTGTAATGAGTGTTGACGTCATTAATAATGAAAGTGTTGATGATAATGATAACGATCAGATAAAAGAAATAAAAGTGTAGATCTAAGGGTAGAGCTATCACAGTCACCAAGGTAATAATGGTCATATCTTGATATCAGAACAATAACAGTTTATCGGTCAGCCCTGCAGTCCATAAAACTGAATTTGAAAGTGCCTTGAAAGGTGTAGGTGAAATGGCTAAGTTGTAAAAGGATATAAAATAATAATTGAGATAGATGTGATAGTTTAGTGCACAGTTGAGAGGCTGATATATTGGCCACTGTTCTCTGTATGCTTCCACACCTCTCAAAGAACTGTTTAAGTGGTTTAGAAAGAGACCGAAAATGTAACTCATCACTGTAATTGACCCCCAGCCGTTTTTGATGATTTCACTGATTCTCAATAATATTATTTCCTAAGACTATGTGAACTATGAAACCATATTCTGAAAGACTGGATTGTCTACTTTCATCAGCAAAAATAAGTTTGTTTCTACCTATTTTTGTTGTCCTGTAATCCCCAGTCAAAAAGAGGGTCTCAGACAAATACGTCACTGGCAGTCAATGAGTTTATGTAAATAATGTAATTGAATAGTGTAGGGTAATCTAAAATTAATCAAATGTTTGTTCCCTTCACAGCTCAGATTCTAAAATATGATCTCTTTTTTTACCAGCCTCTGTAATCAGTCTTTCTCAAGTGAAAAGTGCCCTCTGCTGGTGGACGAGGAGAATGGACGCCAAGCATTGAAAACACTTTCCATAAATTACTGCTTTTTATTGAACATCAAACCGTCTGTTTCCAATATTTTCTACTTTGCTTTTTTTTTTATTGTTTACTGGCATTTTGACATTCATATTTTAAAATTGTGACAAATAAAAAAAAAGTTGAAATATTGCATTCATTTCCCAAAAGAAACAAAGTAAACAAATTGCACAATAGTATTTTGAGGCTGCAGTTAAAACATGTACAGCACAATCACTGAAACATGGTTTAAATGCAGCAAATGGATTGAAAACATACAATCGGTGCATACATCAGTTACAGCCTGTAATTTAACTGTAGCTTCACTTGGATTATAAAACTTAGAGAGTGGTTAAAGATCAGGTAATACTCATGACAAATAGGAGCCTAGTGTCAGTTTATCTCATGGTGGAAAGTGACACAATTAACACTTTATACATTATTACAAAAACTAAAATGCAGACAAAGTTGACGCCTGCATAGGTCAAGTCAAATAACATTTGTGCGAATTCTTTGAGGTAGTCATGAGAATACTCTGGAGTGTCTATGACTCTTCATGTAAGAAGGTTAGAGATACACAAAGCTTTGTTATATGATTGTAACAATACTAAAACAACAATTAAAACTATGTTAAAGTACAAAATCGGTTAGTTTGTGTCAATTATTTTGACACAAACGTCACATTATCACATTAGTAATAAAATCCTCCAGTTTGTAAAAATCAACTGTCAAACTGTTTCATCATGAATTTACGGCTAGCTTCATATCCGAGGAACAGGGCTCCGTTGGCAGGAAATGTTCGGACCATAGTGGGGGTGAGACCAGAGTAAAGTGCTCGAACTCCTAATCACCAAAATAAAGAGTAATTAGTAATATGTTTAAAATATATATATATACTGTAATAGATTACTGACAAAAATTACCTTCTGTGCGTGCAATGGTCATTAAAGTCTTGAAAAAGCCACCTTGTTTGGCTGTCATGGACATGACCTGAATCCTGGACTTGACACAGTCCATAGGATAAACCACCAGCCACAAGCACCCGCCCCCCAAGCCCCCACTGAAGATGATTGGCAGCACACCTGAAACAAAGTCACATTCATTCTCCAGTTAAATATGAAAATGTCTTCCTCAAAATGAAAAAAAAAAGACTTTACCGATGTCATCTTTGTCACATTTCATGTGTTCAGCAAAGGTTGAACGACAAAGCTCATATGCTCCAAAGAAGCAGAAGTACCCAGGCACCTCTCTGGCAATGGTCGTGGTCAGGCCATTGAAGAAGCCCACAAACCCCTCAGTCTTCATTATTGATTTCACCACAGACCACACTGTACTTTTCAGAAAAACATAAGATTTATCAGTTTTAATTATATGTTTGAGTAATTCTGTATGGAGACCAAATCAATGACCCACATTATGTGTCCATGAGACATTAATCAAAAATACAATTCTGGTTAAGTTCAACTTCAAAACAAAATCTTAACGGACTTCAAATTGCATAATGATAATAGATACAGTGCATAATATAATATTTACAGTTAATGGCAATAAAAGAGATCCTCACTTGTGGCTTTTAGAAATCTTCCCTGAGGCCTCCATCTCATACATGGCTTGCAGGCGACACTTGACAAGTTCAGTGGGACAAAGCACCAGAGAGGAGAAAATGGAGGCCACTGAGCCAGCACAGGCTTTCTGCATGTCACTGACAGAAGAACAAAGGCAGGTTCAGCTGAGCACAAATGTGTACAGTGCTGCTTAAGAAGGATAGTTACCTCAGGACGGTTTCACTGGGCAGGCCCGCAGCCAAGCGTATGACTTGCTGACAGAAACCATAACTCATAAAGAGAACTGAGTTCTCAGCAATGTTGGCCATAAGAGCTGGAGTGGTGCCCTGGTACAGACCACGCACGCCCATTTGTCTATAGGTAGACATGAAACAGTGGACAAATCCTCGGTACATTGTAGGAAAGGTCTGCATCTTGACCTTGGCAGTATCCAAAGGCTGGCCACTAAAGACACACGCAGCACCTCCTATAAATAGAAAATGTTTGCAACAGTCACAAAGAGTTTGGCTGTGGAGAGTGGAAAAAGTCAATGAAAAGGCTTATGCTGAGCTCCACTCCGCTGAGCAGAGCAAACAGAGAAATGAGCTGGAAAAAGACAGCGTCATCAGAACAAAAGGGCCAGCAGGTCAAATTGATGCATTGGTATAACCAATGCATCAACCAATAATAAAACCAACATAGCTTGACTTAGAATAATATATAATGTTATCTAATGATCTAATGGAAATATATTGTGTCACATGTTTCTTACCAGCTGTGTTCAGTTTGTGTTCATTATTAATAAAATATACATTGTTCCTTTAAAATCTGTTAATACAAGTAGTCATGCAATAACCCCAATAATATTTGAACAAATGCCTTTTGTAGTCAGGCCAGTGAACTGTTAAGATATTTTCTTAAATGTTGTGTATGACAATGCCAAATGCAAAAAATCAAACATCTTACGGGAACATTCTTACCTACGGCTCCTGCAGAAAGGTCAATAATAGCCTGAACCACTGGATGTGGAGCCATGGTGTCCTCTCTGTCAGCTGATTCAAATGGCATAAAGAAAAGTCGTTAAAATCTTTTAACAAGCTGATGCACTTAGTTAAATGGAAATCACCCTATCACCCTAAAATGATGAACCAAACGAAAAATAATAATGTAATAGAATGTTTGCCTTACAAATACATTCTTTTGCAGTACTAATCAACACAGCTATTGTATGTGAATGACACACACATGCAACAAAGTGAAAAAAGCAAGAATACTGACCTTATGAGAGCAAAGCAGTAAAAACCTGTGGGACACCAAGGTGACAATAGTGAGTTGAGGCCTGTAGACGTGTGACCGCATACTAGGCTGGTCCTTCACTTTACTATGTCCATGTTTATCTTAGCGTTTTCATCCTAGTTGTTTTTCTCCGTGAGTCTTGTGCCACAGGCTGAGGAGTTTTACTCTACATCCAGGCTGTAACAGTTCAATAACAACCACGCTGAAGATCAAACATCTGTGAAGAAGAGACCCCTGTGTCGCCCTGTGGCTCCAAATGTAACAGGAGGTATCACTCTTGACAATAATTAACCCTTTGAAGGGATCGTCAAAATTAATAAATCATACCATATCAGGTAAAAGGTTCAAATTTGATTAACATGAGCGTTATGTTGCAAGTATATAATAATAATTTCAACAACATGCATTTGTAGTTGTGGTTTCAAAGTAGTTATCTGTTTCAAAAACAATCTTTGGACGAAGTAACGCGATAGCGTCACATATTGAGCTTCCGGTCCACGTTTTTCAGATAAGCTTCAACAGCACCATCTGGTGGTCAGATCTATGTTGTATACCTTTGTTTTGAATTGTGACTATTTAGTCAGTTTGGTTCATGATCCTCATCATTATCATCCCTTTCAGATGCAAGTTCCTCCTTTTTACTATAATTTCTGTTCTCGAGCATGGTGAGGTCATTTTCAAAGTTGCCTGAGTGAGAGGGGAAAAAAAGGTAAAACAATAGTTATTTGGCACCTTGAGACAATAAAAAAGGAAATTGTTTTTTATGTCAACAACAAAAGTAAGTTTCAGGCCATAAATCCTGTAAACATGTTGATAATATCAGAGCGTTAGAAACCCAGAGTGGCATGGGTAACATTAAAATGATGCAACCTCATACTTTTTTCCCATAACCTTTGAACCGCATGTTGCACAGTTGCTACAGAGGGTGTTACAGGGTTAAACTAAATACTCGAAAGTGAGTGAATCACATTGCCTTTGAACTGTTCTTGACTACCCGGTCAATTAAACAGAGCCCACTTGATTATAATCTACTCTCATTATAACTACATCTGTTCTGTGATAGCATCACAGCTATGTTTAGAGAGTATTTGTCACTAAACAACATCATGGAGAGATTGAGAGATATGCAAGAGATACACTAAGATTAAAGTGTTAAGTTATGTAGGTAAGTAATCTTCATTTAAGTTTTACATATACAGAAATATTTTGCAAGCTTTGAACATTTCACAGAGCATAGTTCGATCCATTTTCCGAAAATTTGCACCACTGCAAATTTACCAACATAGAGCCATCTTCCTAAACTAGCCATTCATAATTCTGTAAATTCCTTGGAAATGGTTGGTGAGCTGTGTTGGGCAGGTTACGCTATAATTTTAATTTATTACAATACTGTTTTTAGACTACTTTTAGTCCAACACATTATTTTGATACACAGATAGTGTCTGAATCAAGTTCTGCTTCAAAAACCTTTTGTTCTACACAAGTTGAATTTAACTACAATGATCAACTTTGTGAATTATTGTAAACCGTGACAAACAAAGCAAACGTGCACTTTCACTATGTGTGCATGTAACTTTAGTTACTTTGATTGTATCTAGCAATATATTAATGATCTTCTGATTTATTTTAAATAAATATCATACACAGTTTGTGAGCTACTTCCAGCTCCTGAGCTATAGATCCATGGTTTTAGAGGGTCAGTAATTCGGAGTATTTCTAAATGACAAAATTCCAAGTTTCAAACACAGGTCAAAAGTGCGCATGCTGAATTGCTTTGTTTCCTTTGAAGAGCTGTCTCGTCAAGCTTCTGTTATTTACACAATAATCTCCCATCTCTCCCACTGCCTCACCTCACAATAAACGTCATACAACACATTGCCTCAATCCTAAAACCATCTCACTGACAGAAAACCTTTGTGACAAAAAACAAGCTTTTTATATTGTGATCAAAGTGACAGTTCTGACCGTCGCCACCTTCAACAGAGCCTCAGTCAGAGGGGACTGTGGCTTAGACCAACCGTTTTAATGGAGACACTTCCCACTGACCTAAAACTGCAAACTGACTTCAATATCTGAACTGTGGAAATCAGAACAGTTGTCCACATGTTGAATGACTAGTCAAACATATTATTAACTTACTTTGGTGAATTTATGGTAGTAGGTAAATAACTATTCATAACAATAAACTTAACGAATCATGAATGCAGACCAAACAGAGAAAGGAACACAATAGGAATTATTTTTAATACCATTTATCCTTTTATCAAAAACATTGACGCTGTCTACATCACAGACAAGATTCATCAATATTCAGATTGACCCCATGCCCGTCCCTCACCCAGGAGCAAGCTCCACTGTACACACTTTACATAGCCAGAGTTCCCCTTTCCCAATGTACAGGTTACACCATTATCAAAGTTTATCAACAATTTAAAATACATACAATACTCTTCCGATGTAATTATAGACACCCTCTTGATTGTACTTACAGTATCATATCTCAGCTTCCCACAAGATAGACTCAGATAGTCGATAAAATGTGTCTTTTTTTAGACCTCAGCACCCACATGAGATGAAATAATAAAAATGCAAAAAAAAAAGAAGAAAATAAATAAATAAAAATATATGGTAAAACTGGCATTAGTTAATCTGTAAAAACCTTCTCAGACTCTTCAAGGGGATTTACCACCAACTGTTTCGTCTGCCTGCACTTGAGATTACAAATGATGGGTACATAATTAGATCATCACACCCACAGAATAACAAAGAGATTATACAAAACATAGTAAATATGGTTACACTAATGGTTATAAACTTATTCATACAAATCTAGGCTATATGTTTGGCAATGAAATTTGAGCACAGACTGCTGGCAGTAGTCTATTTTTGTTCTTCTTCTTTTTTCTTCTTCCAAAACAGACTCTAATTAAGTTTGTCACTTTATGTGTGTGCACAGGAAGTCACATATAAAACTTTGGCACCAGAGAACAACTGGCGTTATGTAGAGCCCCAACAAAAATGCTGGGAGTGGAAGACTGATAGTTTTCCAAAGCTGGTTTAAATTATTCACAATATGACACATAATAACGAGAAGAAATATAAATAAAAGACTAATAATTACAGTCAGGCACTTGAGTGTCTCCCCTTTAGAGCTAATAGCAGTTTCACACATGTTGCCTAACCACAATTCTACAGTATGCTGAGTGTCATTCACCAAAATACTTTTGGACGATGCATCAAAGTCAAGCATCTGCGACAATGTTCTAAGCTCATTTTAAAAACATATCAGTGGAAATGTGTAAAGGCTAAATTAACACAAATGTGGCTGTAGATGCCCCGCCAACTCCCGGTTTTTATGCAATATCAACCAGATCTCTGTGTTCTTCACTCTTATTCATGTCTCTACTTCATGTCTTGTCTTTTGTGTCACAGCAACAAAACATTCTATTGTTAATGACAACTTCCATTTTCACTGACTGATCCACAAGAAGAAGTTGTATGATTTTTGTTCTTTTTTGCTTCATTTGACCTCATTTGGAAAATAAAAACAAAATAATAAGTGCTTACATTTGTTGCTGAAGTAGTAGGCACGGCAACTCAACAAAACTAGATTTCATAGTAAGGCATTGGATTACAGTAATGAATGTAGAATAATGATGATGTTTATAGTAAGGTTCATAAATTTGACAAAACTTTTTTCTTATTTCAACCCTTGAAAATTACCTGTCAAAACAGCTACAATCAAAAATGAGGCACTTAATAAAAAGAGTATATATATTTATATATATAAATATATGTGACAGTGATCTCCAAGCACTGCTCTCCTGCTCTGGAATATCTTTTCATTCATTGTAAACCATATTACTCCCCGCGGGAAATTGTTTCATTCATTCTTGCCTCTGTTTACATACCGCCATGCGCGGACGCGCGCGAGGCTCAGCGCGCACTCGCAGAGCAAGTACTGTGTATGGAACGCTTATACCCGGACTCTCTGATTATTATCCTGGGGGATTTTAATAAGGGAAACTTGAGCCAGGAATTACCCAAATACAGACAGTTTATCAAATGCCCGACCAGAGAGGAGAACACTCTGGATCACTGTTACACCACCGTGCGCGGAGCTTTTCGCGCTGTTCCCAAGCCAGCCCTCGGCTTCTCAGATCACTCCATGATACATCTGGTTCCTGCTTACAGACAGAGACTAAAGCTCTCGAAACCTGCAGTGAGGAGCTCCAAAGTGTGGTCTGATGAAGCTGTGGAAGAGCTGCGCGCATGCATGGAATCTACAGACTGGGACCTTTTCAGAGCTGCCACAGACAGCTTGGATGAATATACGGACACTGTGACGTCATACATCCACTTCTGTGAGGATAGCATCATTCCAACAAGGACCAGGGTCATCTATAACAACGACAAACCCTGGTTCACTGCTAAACTCCGGCAGCTCAGGAAAGCAAAGGAGTCTGCTTTCAGGGAGGGGGACCGCAGCGGCTACAAAGCAGCTAAATATCAGTTCAGGAAAGAACTGAAAGCAGCCAAGTCCCGGCACAGAGAACGACTACAGGAGCAGTTTGGTAACAACGATACTGCTTCTGTCTGGAGGGGCCTACGGGAGATCACCAACTACAAACCCAAAGCCCCCCCCTGTGCTGATGACCACAAGCTAGCTGACGATCTGAACTTATTTTTCAGTCGCTTTGATGCTGCCCCTGACACCTCTCCCTCCCCCACCCCCCACTACTCTAACGACCCACCCATCAGCCCTGCCCCCATCCTAACAATAGCCGCTAAAGAGATTAAACAACTCTTCCTGAGGCTGCACCCCCGCAAAGCTCCTGGCCCGGACCACGTGTCTCCGGCCACTCTGAGACACTGCGCCAGTGAGCTTACTCCTGTGTTCACGGACATTTTCAACTCCTCTCTGCAGTCCTGCCATGTCCCGGCCTGCTTCAAATCCTCCATCATTGTCCCCGTCCCGAAGAAGCCCAGGATCACAGGACTCAATGACTACAGACCTGTAGCACTTACGTCTGTCGTCATGAAGTCATTTGAACGCCTGGTTCTCTCCCATCTCAAGTCCCTCACCTCCCCCCTCCTGGACCCCCTGCAGTTCGCCTACAGAGCCAACAGATCTGTAGACGACGCCATTAACCTGGCCCTCCACCACATCCTACAGCACCTGGACTCCCCGGGGACCTACGCCAGGGTCCTGTTCGTGGACTTCAGCTCTGCCTTCAACACAATCCTGCCATCCCTGCTCCAGGACAAGCTCTCCCAGCTCAACGTGCCCGATTCCACCTGCAGGTGGATCACTGACTTCCTGACGGACAGGAAGCAGCGAGTGCGTCTGGGGAAGAATGTCTCGGACTCTCGGATTATAAATACAGGAGCCCCACAGGGCTGTGTTCTTTCTCCCCTGCTCTTCTCCCTGTACACCAACCACTGCACCTCCAGCCACGACTCCGTGAAGCTGATCAAGTTCGCGGACGACACCACCCTCATTGGACTCATCTCCAACAACGATGAGTCCGCCTACAGGAGGGAGGTGGACCGGCTGGTGTCCTGGTGCAGTGGTAACAACCTGGAGCTGAACGCCCAGAAGACAGTGGAGATGATTGTGGACTTCAGGAAGAGCACTGTCCCCCCGCCCCCACCCTCCGTGATGGACTCCCCCATCACCTCTGTGGAGTCCTTCCGTTTCCTGGGCACCACCATCACCCAGGACCTCAAGTGGGAGCCGACCATCAGCTCCCTCATCAAGAAGGCCCAGCAGAGGATGTACTTCCTGCGGCAGCTCAGGAAAGCCAAGCTGCCTGCACAGATGTTGGTGCAGTTCTACACGGCCATCATCGAGTCCATCCTCACCTCCTCCATCACCGTGTGGTTCGCTGGAGCCACAGTCAGGGACAAACAGAGACTACAGCGCATTGTGCGCTCTGCAGAGGAAGTGATCGGCCGCAGCCTTCCATCGCTGCAGGACCTGTACGTCGCCCGAGCTCGAGGCCGGGCTGGTCGTATCACAGCCGACCCCTCTCACCCTGCACATGGACTATTCCAACCACTCCCCTCAGGCAGGAGGCTGCGGTCCATCAGGACTAGAACCTCCCGCCACAAGAACAGTTTCTTCCCCTCTGCTGTTGGACTCTTGAACACTTCTTAACCTGTCCCCCCGCCCTTTATAAAGTCACTTTACTGCCCATCATACGTCACTTTACTTCACTGTACTGCTGTCACCTTACATTGTGTGCACCATGTGCACTTGTATATTGTAAATAGTAACTGTAACTCTATTTTAAATTTAAACTTATTCTTTAGAAGTGTTTTTTATTCTTATTTTTATTATCTCTTTCTGACTGTTGCACTGAGCCAAAGCAATTTCCAAGTCTGTGACCTCCCGTTACTTACGTTGGCAATAAAAATGATTCTGATTCTGATTCTGATTCTGATATATCTAGGCTATAGTATTACTCATTATACTGAATGTATATTGTAAATTGTATATACTGTACTGGTGTAATGTGTTTCTATAGTATAATTAAGCAGAAATAAGAAAACAATACTGTGTGTGCAATAGCTTTGATTATTAAACTAATACTACGATAGTCCATACTGCAGAGGAATGAAAACTAAAGCCAGAGTTTGCTCTTCAGTTTTCTGTGCTACGCAAGAAATTTGTCCTTTTAAAAAAAAAACCAAACCCTGTTTAAACTTGATAGAGCAGCGCTGTTCGCATTCTTTCTACTCATCCAATTAAAACTTTTGTTTAAAAATAGCTACAATTTGTACTCTAATCCCACTATTGCGTATTCAGCAGAATCCTTCATTCTTACAAGGATTTTTAGGATCATAAAAAAATACAGTGACAAGTGTTATCATAACTGCATTCCCTTTTTAACTAAAAATCAAAGTGACATTTGATGAGGAATATTGAAGAATAAAAAAGAACTGACATTTTCAGGTCATTATCCCATCCTCTTAAGACTTCTGTTGTCCCTGGAACCCGTGAAAAGCTGTTGAACGAGTCCTTATGTGTTGTTGTCCTTGTTCTAATATGACAATGTTATCAGTTTTAATTTAGACACAAACCCTCATCTTTCATATGTATGCATGTTCGTTTGGCACGTGTTTGGTTAAATAGGTAAGTCCAGGGGAAAGTTTACTTGGTATCCTACGATGCTTGGGCTCTTCCTCAGAACCAAAAAGAAGCAGGTCAACAATCTGAAAAGGCAACAAAGAATTTTGTCAGAAACTCGACCGTGCTCTCTGAGAGCTTCTACCCCACCAAGGCCATAAAGTTGTGTTTGTGTATCATAACTGTAAAATGAAATAAAATATAACTGCCATGACATAGATGTGTGAATCTGATTTTATTTGGGTTTTCATAAATCTAAACCCCGACACCTGAATCAATATACAGTTTGTATGTATACAGTATATATATATATATATATATATATATATATATATATATATATATATATATATATATATATATATATATATATATATATATATATATATATCATTATACTGTCACTCTGGCTATGTCTCAATACTCAAAGTGTCAAAGTAAAAAAAGAGATACTAGAGAGGCTATAAAAACCTCAGGCGTCTCATATGAACAGGACAAACAAATAATTCAAGATGTGGCAGATATACTATTAGACATTTTGATATTTTATCCCTATGTGGCACGTACCTTGACCTTCCTTTTTACTGCCTTGGTGTGCTCTCAGTTCTTCGGACTTGTAGAAATCAATACTGGCATAAGCATTGAGGCAGGGGCCACTGCTGCTGCCTCCAGTGCTGTAGGGTCCAGTCTGAGGGCTCTCCTTTACGGTCAAGTCAAGGTCAATGTAGTTAAGGCCTTGCTGTGCAGATGAGCTGGAGGCTGCTCCAGCAGGGGCTTGTCCGCTGTCCCACTGAGAGCAGTCCAGGTGTCGGAGGCTGGGAGGCTTGCTGCCCTCTGAGCAGTGGGAGGCAGAAGATGGAGATGGGTGTGATGGACTGTTAAACTTGTCTGTGTGGTGGCTACAACGTCCCTGTAAGTCTCCTCGGGCCAAATGGCTACTACGTTCTGGAGACTTTGTGCATTTCACAGGAGAAAAACTCAAACTGGACTGCTCCACTGAGGGCATGACTGTCCGACTGCAGTTCTTGTTTGTGAATGATGAGGGGGTATCTGCGGATGCTCTATACCCACTTTTGGTCTCGGTCGCCAGCGGAGAAGGTGCCGTGTGTTTGACTTTTGGGGTGATAGCAGGTGAGCCCTGGGGCGTATTATAAGTAGATCTGACAGTATATGCGGGAGTGGTGGATTTTCCCAAGTCCATGCTGACATATTCTGTAGGAACTGAAAGAGGAGCAGAGAAACTGCGGGGGAGATTGGCCATGTTATTATGACAAAGGGGCTGGTTCACAGGGCGCAGGGTGCCGTGAATTACTCCTTCATGATGTGCATCGTATCTGTCATCAGGAAACACAATGCTCACATACTCCCCCACACTCTGGGACACTTTTGGGGGCAGATTCTCTTTGACACGAGGCAAGGTGTTTGCTTTTAACAAGTCTGATCCACTCAGTGGTCTACCACTTCTCTGCTGCTTTGGGCTTTTTCCAGAGCCAAGTTTAGGATGGTGCCCATCCTTGGTGCTTGCTCTAGGACTTTTGTTCTCTCCACCTGTCCTTAATAGACTAAGCCCTCGTCCCGCAGATAGGGACTTATCTTCTAGGCTCTCGCTGCTGGCTGAACTGGAGGAGAAAGAGGAGGAAGACATGGAGAGTTGGCAGCCTCCCGCTGGACCCAAAGTAATTTTGTTACGTTTACTAAATGCTGTGGTCCCTTTTCTACTGGTTTGATCAACACTGCTATCGCTTTTCGCTTCCCCTTTGCTCAAGTCATCCTCAAAGCGAGTACAAAGAGTATGTTGATAGGCTCTTGGAAGAGAGAAATAAGAATTGAACATTTTTGGCTGTATTTGGTTTTGTTCAGGCTGAGAGGGAGGTGTGCTGCAGGCAGAGCGGCTGCTGACAGGAGACACGTTCATGTAGTTGCTCTGAGAGTGGCTCTCCAGGCGGCCCCTGCCTTCCCACATGCTCAGACCATGAAGATCTGTAGAGCTGCTGCTGTTGGGAGACATGAGCATGTAACCCTCAGCGCTGGGCTGTCGCATGTGGCGAGGGGGAGATACGCTGTTATTGGGGGTCATTGCCATGTATTCGTCTCCTCCTTTGTCTAACATGCCCATCGCAAGAGACAGAGACACTGGAGGAGTTGTGATACCAGGCAGCATTGACATGTAGCCACTATCTACTGCTCCAGCAGCAGCTCCTCGTCTTTTCTCTACCCTCTTTTTGCCTTCAACAGTAGACCCCCTGTCTGCACACTGTGACATGAATGTGTACTCCTCATCCTCATCTTCTTCCTCTTTTCGGAGTGGAGTGAGCCGTTCTTGAGATGCCAAAGGTAAAGAAGATCTTTTACTGAGCAGTCTGTGTTCTGCCTCACACTCTCTACTTGAAGATCGCCGCAGGATCCTTCGGCCTTTGGAGTGTTGATGTGAGTGCCCCATCATGATGTAGCTGGACGAGCCTTCTCCGTGATGCCCAGACAAACTTGGGACAAGCAAAGAGTGTTCCCCAGGACTAGAGCCATACTCGTCAGATGAGCCGTAGTCACTGGGGGAGCCTGATATGGACACTCTCTGAGAGACTCGGGGGTAAGCACAGATTGTCATGCCTCCAACTGCTGCCCCCACCAGCCCACACTCAGAGCCGTGGCCAGAGCTGGAGGACAAGCTGGGGGCAGGGGAGGGTGCAGGGTTAGGTGTGTACCTCGCAAGGCTGAGGGTGATTTTAGCAGGGGTGGGAGCCCGGGTGGGTTTGGGCCTCAATGTGGGTGTTGTGGAACAAGATCCATTAAGGCTTGGGCTCGAACTGGCCCACGTTCCTTTGCCACTTGTTCCACTCTCCTCTGACCGTGCTCCGATGCTAGCTGTCCTAGCACGAGGAAAGCCATAGCGAGACGTGGGTGAAGTGCTTGTGCTGCTGCCTGGAGTCTCAGTGCGAGCACGTCTGGAGAAGCCCACCTGGCTGGGGGGGAGGTTTGAATGATGGCGACGACTCGGGACACTGATGGGGTTTGAGGCTGTACCACAGGATGTCCCCACAGACTGCGACTTACTGCGCTGTCGAAATTCTTCGCTTAAGGCCTTCATGGCTTCCAGCAGGGTCTCATGCATGTTCTGTGCCACCACGGAGTCATCCACCTGCATCCAGAACTCTCCTGGACCCGTGATGGCCGAACGGCCCACTTCTATGAAGAAAAAGTTCTCAGAGTGACCACATCGGCGCACGTTCATCAGCTGCAACACCACAGAGGCCACGTCTGAATTGAGTTTGACAAAGTTGACTGTCTTGTCAGTGAGGCACAGCCGGTAGATGCCCACCAGGTTTCTGGCATGTCCAAGACCTTTTGGCCACACCTTAACCTGCCAAACTTCTTTAAAGGTCGGGATTGGGGATGGTGAACTGCATTCACCACTACTGCCATAGTCATCTGGAGTTTTGCCTAGGAGAAATTAGAAATAATTATCATAATGTGTTGTACAATAGAATTTAATAGTATATACATGTGGTTCATAATATGAATATGAATGATTGTGTGTGTGTGTGTGTGTGTGTGTGTGTGTGTGTGTGTGTGTGTGTGTGTGTGTGCGTGTGTGTGTGTGTGCGTGTGCGTGTGTGTCTGTGTGTGCGTGTGTGTATGAATGTAATACACACCCTGTATGGTGGAAGCAGTAAATGTATCGTGCACAAGAGCGATTTGATGTATCTGGCTATGTATTTGGCTATTCCTGATATGTATGCGAGTTAAACGTGAGTACAAATGCAGGAGTCCCTCCCGCAAGACGCTATCACGCCTTCGCGCTGGGCAAGCCCTTTCTGACAGAGGCGCACGAGTGAAAACAGGGAGGGTGGTGCTTTACTACGCCATAATTAGGCCTGTAACAATAAAAAACGGGTTCCATCTGGAAAATTAACATTTTTCTAAGGTTCACCGACAAAATGTAGTCTCCAAATCAACGGTGGCGTATTGAGCGAATGTAGGTTAGAAGAACACACGCACACATACACGGAGTGAGAGAGAGAGAGAGAGAGAGAGAGAGAGAGAGAGAGAGAGAGAGAGAGAGAGAGAGAGAGAGAGAGAGAGAGAGAGAGAGAGAGAGAGAGAGAGAGAGAGAGAGAGAGAGAGAGAGAGAGAGAGAGAGAGAGAGAGAGAGAGAGAGAGAGAGAGCGAGCGAGCGAGCGAGCGAGAGAGAGAGAGAGAGAGAGAGAGAGAGAGAGAGAGAGAGAGAGCGAGCGAGCGAGCGAGAGAGAGAGAGAGAGAGAGAGCTGTGCAGAAAAACAACAACACCGCTTCAGCGGAGTGCACCGCGATAGGCTACTACTATATGATGCGTCCCTTGCATGGTTGCTATATGCTCACTGCGCCATGCAAAATACACCGTCACAGCGAATGGGATGTGTCTCACTGGAAAAACAAGCTGCTCTTCAACATGTAGGCACCGACTGAGCACAACATAATGCACATAAATGAATTGTGAGCATGCAAATGATGCACATTGTCCTCAAACATGAACCCAATGCCCTGAAGTGAATCATACGGTCAAAATGTCAACGTTATGAATAAGAAGAGGATGCTTCCTATAAAACTGAGACATAATGTACATGATGGTGACTGGAGGTCAGGCCCTGAGCACAAAATACCCAGTCTGACTAGAACCCAGCTGTGAATCTTACAGTTGCACTGAAGGTCCAGCATCGCTTGGTACCACTCGTTTTGGATCTCCTCGCTGTCCGCCGCTATGGCAAAGCTCTCACTGCGGGTGTAAAGCACTACCATGTGCTTGTTTTTGGAATCTGCCCGCTTGTTGATGTTAAAGCAAGTCTCCAGACTGAGCACTTTCTTGGGCACAGGAGATTTACTGCGGAATTTTTTCTCGTTTTCATAGTACTCCAAGCGCGCGGGACCACGCTCCGAGGCCGCTCTCAGCACGAAGAAGCGCCGGTGCATTGATTTATGTTTGCGGAGATAGCCGCTCTTCTGGACGTCCTCATAGCTGTGCTGCTCGGGTGCCTGGTTCTCCATAGCCAACGCCAAATGAGACAACCGCACGCCGAAAATTCAGCCAAGAACCCCGGGGTCCACGCGGTGCCCTCAGGAATCAGCTACATCCCTCGTCCTCCCCGCATCCCGACGTCCGTCTGAGCGCACGCAGAGCAGAGACGCTCTGAGGGGGTCATTCTAAGGGAAGGGTCCGTGCACCGCCACCAGAGCGTGCACGGTGCTCGTGTTGCAGCCCAACCCAGTCCAGCACGGAGCGCTCTCCTCTCCTCCACCTGTCTGATGCCCAGTCTGTGCGGACGCGAACAAGGCGCAGCAGGAACGCGCGCTTCCGGGAACTCTTACAAAATAAAGCTTGTTTCTATGCGTTTAGCGGGTATCGTGCCAATCCCCCCATGTCATCCCAGAGGTCTACTCAAGATGTTTACTTAAAGACTGCAACAATATTACTAATAATCAATCAGTTAAAGATGCCATTTCAAACAGAGGAGTGCGAGCCTGCAGCTTACCTTTGTGATACCAGTGATGTCTTTGCATCCTGCACCTTCAAATAAACGTGTCTTCATTAATTCACACACTGATCATAGGTGAAGCTGCCAACATCCTCTAACTCTGCGTAATACAGTTGCAAATGTGGCCGCATCGATCTGCAGACTATGAACACACTTCCGCTCAGCACTGCTGCGTACGGGTGACTTGACTGCGCACAGACTGGCACCTTGGTGCCGGTGTCAGTCATGAGGAGTGCAGAGGGCCGTCTGTGGGGACATCTACACAGTTTATGTCATGCTCTAGACTACATTTGTCCCCACATCAACATCATGGCACATTTGGCCAAAAACACGAGTTTCAGCTAACAGAAAATATCAAGTTAGTGATTTTGTGAGTACATTATGCTGCATGGTTTTCAAATAAAGCGGATGCAACCTTATCTTTCACCTAAGCAAAGAAGAAAAAATAATGCGGAACTCCATCTATGCCAAGCATTTATGTACATGTTATTTACAGAACGATTTGCATCTCCATCCATTAGTGTACAGAACATTATCTCTTTGGCAAATTGATTTAGACCTCAGAGAGATTTACATTAAAACAACTTCATACACACCCTCCTTCGAAAGATTCATGCAGTCCATGTCCGTTCTTGAGCATGCCTTTCTCTGTTCTTTACTAACCAGACTGCTTTCAAGGCTTAAGTCACTTAGAAATCAACATGGTCATTTGTGATTCTGGACTGCAGACTATATGTAACAAGAACAAACGTTTTCACCCTGGATAAAAAAGAAAATATACTAAAATGTTTTGCCTGCATCAGTTTTGATGCTACAGCTTTGTAGATAATAAAACAGCGCAGGATATTGTCTCCTGTCATGTTGATAATGCTCTTTATGTCGGGGTGAAGAAAAACCAAGCAGAAAACAGTCCTGTAGAAGCACCCAGCTCCTGCAGGGCACAAGGCCAACTAACTGTGTCCTAATGAACCACAGATTCCATGGCCTGAGGGTACATGAGGAGAGGCGTCTTGGGCCATATATGGCATACATGCACGACTCTGCACACGCCTTGGCCTTTACTGCGCCTTACGAAGCAGTTGTTTGAGTGTGACAAAAAGACCTTCAGTGCCACCTGTGTCAGACCTTAGAGGCTAAGTATGGAAGGGCCTGGTTAGTACAGCGATGGGCACACCAGACCGCCGGGAACACTAGGTGCCACAATGGAACGCCTGCGACTGTGACTTTCCCAATTATTGTTGTGTCCTTTGGCAAGACACTTCGCTGATACTGTTCAGTGTGAGTCTAGTGGCTGTGTGAATGATTGGTGATGATCGGAAGGGCCGATGGTGCAAACTATTTGCCTCACAGTAGTAGTTTGTGACCACAGTGTATGGAGTGAATGAATAGAGCCATGTGAAGCATCTTTGAGTGTCCAAAACTGTGCAATATCAAACGATGTATTATTATTATTATTGTTATTTTTCACCCAAACAGAATTCCAGATGTTCAAACCCTATAAGCTTAAGAAATGGTGTGAAATCCAAAACTTTCAATCAGAAAAATTAAAATAATAATGCTCATACCTTAAGTGACCGACTATTGACTGATCATAAGGGTTTGAGCTTGTAAGGAACCTACATGACCAAACTAAAAATAAATCCGATGCTTCTTGCAAGTGCTTGGGATCAGCAGACCACTTTTGGGAGCAGTTAATCACATTTAGTCACTTTTGTCATGCTTTTGTGTGCAGGGATCTTCTTCATGAACCAAAATCACTTTATCCCATCTTCTTTTGTCGATCCAAAAACTTCTGGCGTCTGTCTACTGGGATTTCCTCTAAACCAGTGTCTCCCAAAGTGGGGTCCGCGGCCCCCTGGTGGGCCGCGAGGGTACTGCAGGGGGGCCGCGGGAGGTCATAAAAAAAAAAAAAATAATATAATTATTTAATGTTAAATGTATAATGTTTCGTTTGTAATATTAAAATATTTGTGTTCATTATTTGACTTGAATAATCCACTGTAATCATTTTTGTATTACAATGTTTGTAGCAGAGGCTATTTCCCCAAAATAAAATAACCAGAAGAGCCTATTCTTAATGTTGTCTTCTTGGTTATTATTTTGGGGGGCCACGCAGACCCGTCAGATTTTTAAGGGGGCCTCGGTGTTACTGAGTTTGGGAATGGCTGCTCTAAACTAATACCATGATTACTCCCCCTGTAACACAGATTTAAATGTAAATGGGCTTCCAATGAAATGTTATTCAATGCATCAATGAGAAAAAAAAACATGTATACCCTTGAAGGTCAGGTGGAATAGGTAGTTGTTTGTTGAAATCTTCTCTTCCCACTAACCAGTATGTGTTTTCAATGCCTTTCCCCTGGAAGAAAAACATATTTGCATTTCAGAGGTGCTGCACAAGGACACTGTACATGATGTCGAGGGATGTTCATTGATTATACCTTTAGCTCTGTCAGGCCTCTTGTGCTAATCTTGTATCCCAGCTTCAAGCTGTTTAAAACGTCAACGGTACTCTGATTGACATGAATTCGATAAGCTGTCCAATGAAAACAAATAATTGTTTTACATTAATAGATCCCCATGGACATAGATTTGACAAATGTTTCACACGAGTATATTGGTATACAAACAGATTTTTCCACCAAAAGGTAACAGTCAAGTCAAAGCGTCACTTTGGGTTCATAACAATGTTCTGTCATTTAAGTTAAACGTAAAATGGGGGTAACCCTGACTGAACAGTTCACAGAATCATCACTAGAGCTCTAATTCTACTGATAGCTTTAAAGGATTAGTGCAGAGTGCACGCCCAGTTTAGCCTCAAGAGAGACACAACCTTCTTACTAATGCTTATGCTCCTTCTACAGGGGGCCCCGGGTTTTACTCTTTTTGGACTAAAAGGCTTTTACGGACAATATCTATCTAGATTGTGTGCCATAATACTTACGCAACCCTGTAGACTCCATTCGTGATGCAGTGTTGACGGTATCCCCAAACAGGCAGTATCGAGGCATGGTGAGACCCACCACTCCAGCCACCACAGGGCCTGAGACAGAACAGTGGACAACTTATTCTAATGATGGGACTCATTCATCATTTTATGTGAAATGTACTTACTATAAACCTTTATTATAATTGGAATATGAATTCAGAATATGAAATGGTGTACACTGTGTTAATTGGATGACACCACCACTAAGTGGATAAGGTTCAGAATCCCAGGAATAGTTTTCAGACATGGATAAAGGAAGTAAAAATACCTCTCTACCTCAGCAGCTTGAGAAGCTGCACTACTCCTTCTTGTAAAACACAGACTTAATAGTGCTCATGTTTTTTAGGCGGAGAACATAATGTAATTTCACAAAAATACAAAAAAAATGTCACATACCGGAATGGAGGCCAATGCGAATCCTGACTTTGAGGTCTGGCATGTGCCTCATCTTGAACGTCCCAATGCAGTGCAGGATGTCCAGAGACATGTTGGCCATCTCTGCTGCATGACGATTTCCATTCCTGTTGGGGACTCCTGATGCTACCATGTAAGCATCACCAATAGTTTCGACCTGAAAATCACATGCACATAATAATATTGACTGTGGTATTGTTTTTCTTTCAAATGAACACCAGATTCCACTTACTTTATACACATCATGTAATCCAATGATGGCATCAAAACAGGTATAAAGGTCATTCAGTAGGTCAACAACCTCTATGGGCTCGCTCAGAGCAGAGATAGTGGTGAATCCCACAATATCACTGAAGTATAATGTAACTTCACTAAAATGCTCCGGCTTTACAGGTTTGCCCAGTTTTAGTGCCTGGGCCACGGATCTACGAGACACAACAAAGGAAATAATCAAGCATCCATATTGAACATACCAACATTGAAACACATCTGATATGACACAATGGAAGCAGTCCAGGGACTCACTTGGGCAACATCTGAGCCAAGAGTTTATCCGTCTTCTGCCTTTCTACCTCCAGCTCCTCTGTCCTCTCTCGAATCAAATCCTCCAGATTTGAAGAATACTGCTCCAGCATACGGAGCATGGAGTCTATTATGTTGGTCTTCTTTCCCTTAGTGATGTTCTTAAACTAAAACATAGAAATGAATACATCGATACATATGTTATCAAACCCACAGTCAGATCACATGGTCACATGTGCTGTGTAGGTTACCTGTTTGAATATATCCTCAAAGTTAGGTCTTTTCTCTGGCTCCTCGGCCCAGGCTTGTTTCATCACCTGAATCACATCCAGGGGCGCCTCATCTATACACACTGTTGGTCTGCATAATGGAGGCGGCTCACGAATCTTGCTGATAATTTCTATCACCAGAAAGTACCAAATCAAATCAAACTTGCCTCATCTGTTCTGTATCAGCATATATTTGTGGACTAGGGTAATTGATTACCTTTTGCTGGCATATCAAGCATAGAGAACGGAGGAGAGCGACTGATAACTTCCTGAACAATTATAGAAAAGCTGTACACATCTCCGCAAAAAGATCCTCGTCTTCTTGCTGTTGAATTACGAAGAAACTCAGGAGCGGTCCAAAACAAGTCTGAAAAATAAATAAAAACAACCCAAAAGAGTATGAGTACATTTGCAGAGTCTGCTGAGAATGGTTAGAACAGGCATTGACAGATGGCTCACCTTCAGGTTGCTCTTCCTCTGTGACAATGTTCTGGGTCAGTAATATTTCATTATATCCATAATCCGTGACTTTCAGCACAAAGCGGCCGTCAACAATACAGTTTCTGGACTTGAGCCGCCCATGAATTATCCCCCGGTGGTGCAAGTACTTCATCCCCTGATGCAATCCAAAACATAAAACATATGAATTAGTCATCTAGCCTTCGTTCCAAACAAATAATGAGTGCTTTACCCGAATCAGATCCATCAACAGAGAGGATTTGAACATCCAGTCCAGTCTTACGTCTTCGTTTAGGAGCAGCTCTTCCAGGCTTCCGCGAGAGCAGTGTTCGGTCACAACACCGAAGATCCCAGAGTCAAAAAACAGTCCTAAAAACAGGTTTAAGTTCTCATGCCGCATGTCCCTGAGCTGGAAATCAAGAACAATCCCGCAATTAGTTATAATGCACCTTTTGCATGTAATATGTTGGGCAATTTACACCTGTCTAGTTTATTTCAATAACATTCTGTCTTACCCTGATAAAGATATCCTCTGTTGCACCATTGACTGAACTTACTCCACAAGGACATTTTTTCAACCAAACCCAATCGCCCTAAGAATAAAAATGTGGGCATAAATATTCATACATACAAAATTAAAGATCAAGTACATCAGATACCCCAATTTTCATACCTCATAAACGGCAACATTTGAGCTGTCTGGAGTAGATGCCATGTAACTCCGGCCCGATACAGAGTGGTGGGGTGTCTTCAGATCAATGTTACTTTTCATAATGCTTTCATCGTTGAGTCTCTGCGCAAGAACTCAGTAAGAACACTGCTCAAGATAGAAATGAACTAGAATTTATTTAGAGAATATGTAAAAGGCATACTCTTTTGCTGATCTGAGTGTTAATAAAAACCAGGTCATCCAGGGTGAGAACTACTTTGGAAGATCCACCACTACCACCTCCAAAATTGAATCCAACACGTCTACTTCTTCTGAAATTACCGCGAAGCAGCATGTTATAGATTTAATTCTGCGGGTCAAAGAGAGGCAGCTTAATATACTCACTTGAATCGCAGAAACATGTTCAGTGCAGCTCCCGCAGCCAAAGCAGAGAAGAATAGGAAGAGAAACACTTGTATTATTGGATCCATTCCTGTGATGGAAAAAATAATTTACTCTCACAATTTATACATGCGGTGATATCTGTATTTCAAACGAACATTCACCTGAACAGGCAAAATATGGGCTGAACCAGCAGCTTGAATCTGTGTAAGGAGTACTTCCTGCAAAATGGATGGAGCGTCCAAGATATTTCAAGCCTCCAGTTCTCCCATCGTTGTGCATGGCCTCCAAGACATGAGTGGAGTAAAGAGTTGTACCCATGCCACTGTAGTCCAGCACCACAAATCTGGCTTCCATGCCCTGACCATTTTCACCCGCTCTAAGATATTGGTTGAAGCCTTGAAATTCAAATTCTTTCTGATTAGAACCCAGAATTTCTCCAGTCACCCAGCGACCACTGTTGACCCGAGCCTGCTCTACTGCCATGGCTGTGAAATACATCATGTTGTAAATGGTCCCAAAGAAAGGAGATACCTAGAAATGACAGATACAGATGTAAACAAGCTGCTTTTTCGTCAAATGTTGAGTGTGTGTTTGTGTGAACAAACCTGCTCTGGTTCTGCGCTGCTGCGTATCTCGTACTTGTCCTTTGCGTCTCTGAAGGCCTCAAAGAAGTCCATTTTCCCAGAATCCATTGTGATGGTAAGAACGCCGTCATAGGCCTTCCGCAGCTTGGTGTCATTGGCCAAAATAGGGTAAGACACATCCTTGTAGGGGAGTGAGTATAGAAGGGTGTCATAGGGGATGAAAATATATCCACGGTCAATCATTCGCATCTGATGAGCTGTGGTCAGGAGCTGGTATTGAGCCTGACCTCCAATCAGCACAGATGACATGCACATGACAACCACTGCAGAAAGAGAAGTACAACTGACAATTTGCTATTTGTGAGATTGACAAGAGACAATAGAGGTGTCTTCACACATACCTCGCACACGATCAGTCTCTTTCACACTGGTCAGGGCTCGTCTGGGTCCATCTTTGTCCCTCTCCATCACGACCACTGGCTTAACAGGCAGCCCCAGATCTCTGAGAGATGATGCCAACTCATACCCTGTGGCCTCCCAAATATCGCTTTCCTCTGTTATAACAGCCACATGTGCCCACTTGAAATACCTCAACACATTGAAAAGGATTTGGGATGACAACGGCAATGGTCGCAGAAAATTTGTGTGCAGTTGTTCCATGCGAGGCTTCAGACACGCCCATGAAAGTAGTCCTGTATCCCACTGTTTGGCATAGAGCGTTGCAGACGAGCAGTAAGCAGGGTTGGCTGGTCCCAGGAAAGCCGAACCATAACCCTCCAAATCCCCAAAGTGAGCCAGGGCTCGAGATGATTTACAGTCCTCAGTGATCAGAGAATAGTCGTACCAGTAGCCTTTGTTCAGACTGGGGTCTTTATTGATGCGAGCAATAGCAAGGCGTGCTGCTACATCAGGAAGAGCTTTGGAGTACAGACTATCACATGTCCAGGGTCCAACCAAGGCCAATTTGAAGGTTGTGGCCCATGCTTGACATGGTAGAAATAAAAATAATATCAAAATGAGTAGGATCCAGAGGTTTGACCCGTTTGCAGACTGTTGCATTCGTAATGATGGCAGCTGAGGTGTTAGCGATGATGATAATGACAGGGCTTTGAATGAATGGCTCTGAAAACAGTTCCTTTTGTGGTGTAAAGAGAAGTGTCTTTTATGTTTTGGGTCCATAACTGGTTGACGCTGCCATCGTGGGTGGTAGGAGAGGTTGTGGAGAAGGTGAGGGTCCTGGTGACTATCCATCTTCCCACTTTGATGTTGGAGGCTGATTAGCTGAGGCAAACGCTCTTTGTAGAGGGGGATGTCACCGTTGGCACTTAGTGAGCGTCTTGTTCCTGAGCCATCACTGGAACAGGCAAATAAGAAAATAATGATTTAATCTTCAGCTACAGTTCAACACGTGTATCAGGAACTCATAAAGTATTCTTTCACTTCAGTATCAACTGATCTGTCGAGGACAAACTGTTGAAGTTTGTAGCCAAGAAACTTTGTGCTAAATCTCGACGGATGTATCTATATTTAGCTTTCGTCTTGTCGCATCGCAGACATTTCAGACTTTCTAAAGTCATTTGAGTAATACAAATACAAAATGATAATTTTAGCTACTTTTAAAAATGGTATAAAGGAGAAATGAGGATTGATAGAATTAAAATCAAAACTAAAATATAAATACATTGATTGACGACTTCATTTTTCATGACCTGTCTTTTGTACATGCGTTTGAAAACGTAAACACCAACACTAGTTTCTACTGCATGTGTCTGTTTGTAATACATCTTGGTGGTGTTGCTGATAGGTTACCGGAGGTCCTCTAATGGTCTGACAATGGCTTATCATTTACTAATGGTTTTAGAGAGGCCCACAATGCCTCAAATGGTCAAATAGTGCGCCTATTTATTGACGCTAAATTGAATGTTTACCACTTAAAATTAAGTTCTTAATTCATCATTATACATTCAAGAACATGAAAATTATGTGGTATGGGATTAGTCCTGCAAATGTAGTTTCTTTTTACAACCTGATCACCAGAATTGAGTGGAAGGGGAAGTTGGCAAATATCGTCTATGGAAAGTTCTTACCTTCAAGTTTTTGTTTGAGTTGCACCATTTCAGATTCCAGTGCATGAAGATTTCAGCTGTGATCATTTCTGAGCTTCACAAAAGGAAAATACATCTTCATTTGCGAAATCCAGATTCAAATTTTCAGAGTTTAGGACAAACCTGATGCAGAGGCACCAGCTGTGCTCCTCAAATGTACTCAAAAATGTCATGCAACGATTGTAGAAGTGGAAGTTAAAAGGAAGGTTAGAAAGGACATGACATGGAAGCTTTGACTTCTCAGCCTTAGCTCTTAATCCACAACACTGTGAGTGGGTGGAGGAGCAGGAGGAGGAGAAAGTTTAACTGTTTGACTTAAGTGGCGGAAAGACTATTCATTACTGTTGGATGTACTGTTTGCTAACATCAGAAATTATATTGATTATATACTGTACATCAATTGTTGTAGTTTGTGAGCAGTGGTCTGCAGTAATGTGACCGTGTGCTGTTCTGACACAGAGCGATGGATCAGACAAACCAGTGAATACTTTCATCATATTTGTCATATTGGTAATTTATGTGGTAAGAATAACCACGACATTTAAACACTAAGAATGCAAAGGGTCTAAAATAAAAGTGATAGTGGGAGATGCAGTATCTCTTGTCTTTATAGCAACCTTGTTGAACTAATCAGATTAGTAAGGTGAGGCAGTGCTAAACTGATCGGTGCCTCAAGCCTCTTAGCAGCATCTCTGACACAGAGCGACAGATCAGAACAGCACAAGGTCACATAACTGCAGACCCTGATCTGAGGAGAACAGTGGCACCAGCCGAGTACGTACAGCTGAATATATTTTGCTATTATAATTATGAGTTGGTTTGCCTGATACTTTAGAGCGATTTGTCTCCATATATCAACTTCTCTCTCATAAAGATACAAACTGACTCCTGCGCTCACTTCAGCTGAAACAAAGTCAGAGTGAGGTCAGTCCAGGGCTTAGACGTTTGTCTGCTTCATGACCCGACTTAATTGATCAGCTGATATCAAACCTGTCTGTGCCACTGACGTCATGGCGCTGGAACAGACGGAAAGGGGAGCGTTCCCAGAAAAAGAGCTTCTGCTGATGTCCTGCAGAACTAACGCTGTATCTTGGTGTATATTATCAGAGCCATCAATAGATCACAACCCTTTACTACTGTCAGTATAGTACGGTAATAATACACCAAAAATGTTTCTCATGGCATTATTCATCTGCCCTGTGGCAGACTGACATCGACCCCTCTGACATTCACACTCTAGACTCATACCAGACGAAGTGGGTTAAGTGTCTAAGGTTAAAACAGCAGTTTGGCACTTTACAGCCGTAGCACTGTTGCACCTCATGTTCCCAGAGTTCTCACATCTTAGTCATTTTTCACTCAATAAAATGAACTTTTAATCTGAACTGTATATTATATCATACATCATGTGTAAGTAAGTTAACAATACCATTGTATGCTTTAAAGTTTGAACTGGGGGTGGGGGTGAACTGGGGGCAGTAACTTTTATGAATACAAAATCATATTTAGATAATCAAGTGCAAGACATTATATATTATTCCTGTAAAATAACCACTATAGATTAATGTCTCATATTATCATGAATAACATGTATAATTCAGATTGAAATCCTGCTATATTATATTTAACTTCCTCCTAGAGTACTGTGCAAAAACATGGATTTATTTGATTTAAACTTTTGAACTGTCAAACAGTTCAGCAGTTGTGACAGGCAGCAGTATCAGGCTGTTATTAACTGTTGGCTTAGACCAAATTGAGAATCGCATGATATCACGTACTTGTGTATATCTGGTGAAAGCTCACTATGCTCACATGTTCACACTATTCTTACAACGCACTCATGTTATTTCCTTGTGTTCTTCTTCACATCAAAAAACACACGTCTGAATAAGTTCTTCTTGTGAACATTCATTGTCTCTGGTGGATTGATGTTTGCACATTTCCTGTCTTTTTGTACACCCCAAGTGACCCTTGTGAATCCTAATGTACATTTTTTCAATGTAAGATCAATAAATGTTTAGCTTATTTGATGCATTTCCATTCACAGGTCGTTAGAAATTGGATTTTTACTCTGAGATATGATTCATTTGATATTTGAATGTACGTCATGTCTATCATTAAACAGTATATGCATCTTATCTCTCCCTGATAGTCATAAAAAAGTACATTCCAGGAGCTTCCTGCACCATATGGAAGTGATAATCATTTATCTTAGTCATTTTACTCTGTATCGCATGAATAGGCAAATAACGTAACTATGATGTTACCACAAACAAAATCCGGGACTATGAACGTTTGAGAAAATGAAATTAAAAAATGAGTTGTAAATTTGGCTCATATCAAGTAATCATACAAGGACACTAGGCACTAACACTTCCATCATTCAAGCACGCCAACTGAGGTAACAGTATTTTTCAAACAGTCAGAATGTGAGGAACACCAGGATTAATGCATATTATTTAGTTATATATGTACAGCACAAGTTGTCAATGAGAATATTAGTGCATCGTTTTGATCCGATTGGCCACTCAAAAACGTTATTCGTTTATCTCACATAAGGTGCTGGTTCTACTGGTCACAGCTGCCTTAGGGCACAAAGGGCAAAGGTAAGGCTGCCTTTCATTGGTTTCTCTGACCACCACCACCACCACCACGCACACACACTGGTTACCAGGCTCTTTTTACATACTGATGTGACAGTTTGTCTGAAAGTTAGTTTAAAGTAATAAACCAACAACTTATTGTGGAAACCTTTCTTGATAATGAAAATATCTTAAAACGTAAAAGGGCAATTACCTGGCAATATAAATACAAATTAAATCATAGACTGGGCAATATCTGTTGTGACAAGACACTGTAGCGCCATCCTGTGGCTTTAGATGAAAAGAGCCATCTTTGTAAAGCCTTAGAATGTACATCTTGCATCAAGGTGGATAATAGCCTTTTGCTATCATGGATAAACAACAACAAAGTTCTATCATCATGATTTAGAGCTTATCCATGTTCTATCATGGGCCGAGGTGACTTCACTCATTTGAATGAGGACACTTTCTGCTTACATGAAACGTGACACAATGTCTCAAAATGACATTCTTATCTGCAGCTTTTTTAATCTCCTTTTGGTGGGTGATTACCCATGCACTGAGGACTGAGTCATGTCAGAAATAGCGGGCACATAACTTGTGCCATGTGTTCATGTTAGTTGCCTCATTCTGAACAGTGAATACATTAATTCAACTGATTTGAATACATTAATTCAACTGATTTGAATACTGAATTGTGTAGTTAAGAAAAATGAATGTGTGATGTCACTCATGGGCGGAGCCACAGGAGCAGGACAGCTGGGAGGGGCAGTGTGCCTCCTGTTTATGCAAACCATCTTTAAAGTTCAGTTTATGACCTACTTCAGCCATTTGGGCACCATGCTGCTGTCTGACAGTCTGGCCACCATCGGAGGCTTGTCAGTACTGTGGCATTTGCTTCATCTGCTTTGGACATGCTGGCAAGGGTTCAGACAATATATTTTATCTCAATTTTGTCAGGTGGATTTAAGAAGATATGGCCAATGGGCGGGTAAGTTAATCCATAATGCAAATTGTCTTTTGTCAAATGTTGTTTCCAATTTCATAATAGTTGTTTTTGCAGTGGTGACAGGTGCCACTTCTGGCATTGGTAAAGCTTATGCCACTGAGGTAAGAAATATATGCAAGATATTTGTTCATGTATTACATTTTTTAATAACACTTGACCATTTGTAGTTGGCACGCAGAGGTCTGGACATCGTGTTGGTGAGTCGATCAGAAGATAAACTTCAACAAGTGGCTAAAGAGATAGGTACATCTTTTTAGCATTTTGTTCTCATGCAGTGGGACTTGTGTAAAATACCAGTATACATTTTATCAGATGAGATTTACGGGCGAAAGACTGTCATTGTTCAGGTGGACTTTGCTGATGGACACAACATCTACCCTAAAATTGAAAAGGCACTGCAAGATCTGGAGATAGGCATCCTTGGTAAGTCTGATGAGTCAAAGAAACATGTTTAAACATTGCTCTTGTAAAACAGAATCTTTTTCTTTCTTTCTAATCTTTGTGGTTATAGTTAATAATGTCGGGATTGCTTATTCAAAAAACTTTGCCTTTTTCCTGGAGACATCTGACGCTCACAAGGTATGTTCTAAATATGACCTGAAGACTTGAAACATGAAACTTAAACCGTTCTTGTTTTTAGAAAATCGCAAACATTGTCAACTGTAACATGCTGTCCGTCCCTCAGGTAAAGCGCTTTCCTAAAACATTCACCTTAACATTTGATTTAATTTATAATGTGATTTGCAGATGAGCAAGCTTGTTCTTCCACTAATGGTCTCACGGTAAACTGCCATTTTGAAACTATCAACTCAACAGGGAATGAATTGTGTGACGCTCTGGTCTTTTCAGGGGGAGAGGTCTGATTATTAACATCTCATCTGAAACTGGCGTTCGCCCGCACCCTCTGCTCACTCTATATTCTGCAACAAAGGTAACGTAAGGCTGGAGTACCGGACTTTAAAACAATGAAAGAAATAACAATGCAATGGGAATTCATACAGTTCGAAAAGTTTAGTTCAATCCTCGGTTTTCACATGCATGTATTTTTTTGTTTCTGAAAAACCAGTGATGGCCACAGTCAACTGTAGGTCAACTGTAGGTCAACTGTAGGTCAACTGTAGGTCAACTGTAGGCCGCACAGACCTCTCCTTCAACGCACTCGATCTTTAGTAATTAATGTGCGAATCTTTATTCCTGAAAAACAGATCTAAACGATACTGTGTTCTGATTTGTTCACAAAATTCAAAGTTTACGACTTTTAAGACTTTCTGTTTGAATATCCTGTATTGAAAAAAGTTCGATACCCTAGCTATGTACCTACTTCTGAAAAAAATTTTAAGCAGTGACATAGAAACATCTTAAAGAGTTTCTACTGACTCGTCCAGGAGAAGGGCCTCCTGCTTTATTACATGGATCCGTTTTCCTTTGTTTGTAATCTGGAAATACACATTTACTTATTTCATTTTCCATATGGTGGATTTACTTTTCATTTCTACCTCAGGTGACTTTCCTTTCTTACTGTTGCTTTAAAATGATAATTGTATTTCTTTTCAGCTTTTTGTCACATATTTTTCTCAGTGTCTTCATGCAGAGTATAAATCAAAAGGAATAATTGTTCAGGTACAGGTCATGTAACTTCACTCATAACATCAAAACAGGATGCTTCCAAATGCACAGAAACAATGTCAACCCTTTCTTTCAGTGCGTGGCCCCTTGCATGGTGTCCACTAACATGACGAAACACACCGCTGTCAGCTGTATGAGTAAAAGTGCTCAAGAGTTTGTTGATGAAGCTTTAAACACTGTGGGTTACTCCACATACACCAGTGGCTGCCTGTCCCATGCACTGCAGGTATGTCTGAGTGTCCAGAGTCAAAAGTATTGACCAAGTTCTGATTCATTTATAATATTTCTGTTTTGTAGAGTGTGGCTCTCACGGTTTTGTTGCCCGACTGGCTGCGAATGTCCTCCGTCTTCATCAGACTGTTAAGAAAAATATCGGATGTGAGCCCATCCCATAAAGAAAAACTGAAGCTTATGCAAAAGGAAGAATAAACACAATGCTTCCTCTACACAATAAGAATATAAGTTTGACTTTTAACAACTTTGTCCTTTGTTTTGTTTAATGAAATACGATTTCAATGTATTGACAACAATTGAAAAGGAATGCTTATCTGACCAAATGTCTTACCTTCAAATAACTGCACTGATTTTGTGTCATATGCACATATATATATATATTAGACTATACAATATACATCTGTTGTGTCAATCTTCAAGTATTAGGACATGTCCTATTGGTTTTAAGCGACTGATAGAAAGTCCACATTAACAGAATGACATGTGCCTCTTTGGCACCTTTTAGTGAATGCAGTGAGTTCAGATACCATGTATCTCAGCGACCTCTCAAAGGTCTGTGTATGTCACTGGCGTAACACCGTGGATCAGCAGAGTTGGCCCCAAATTGTTAGTCACAGTCTCCAACTGATTGATGTACTGTTGGGCCTGGTTGGAGTTTGCCGAGGGCCGGGGCAGGTAGAGGAAGCGGACTGCAGCCTGAGAGCTGTGCTCTATGAGCAGAGTGTTGACTGCAGTCAGGAAGTCCTCCGACAGAGGCTGGCCTGGCTCCTCCTGAGGCCCAGCATGATGCACTACCGAGTCCCAGGGGACAATCTTAATTGAAGCCCTGATTCGAAGTTTTTTCAGCAGCTCCCGAAAAGTTTCCTCGTTCATAACCCAGCCCTGGCTGCCAGATATGGTCTCAACGTTCAAGAAGATCCTCATGCGTGCATTACGCCACCTGCTGGACATGTTTAAAACACAGGCCATTTGCAGCAGAAAGAGGCTGCACACATCTTCATAGTCACAGCTGTCAGGCTGCAGCAGGTTCAGCGGCCACACGTCAATGGTGCGGTTGGAGCCGTCCACTTTGCTGTCCTTCTCCTCACCCTCCAACTGAAAGAAGTATCGTCCCAGACACACATTCTTACTCATCTTTAATGCGTCTGAAATAATGCCCACATACTCCTCGGGGGAGAGCCAGCGGGGGCTCTCCACGTGGCGCACTGGGGGAAAATGTGCCTGCAGAGATGGAAGATCCACTCCAAAGTTATACTCATCCTCCTCATTGTCCTGGGCCACAGAGGCACTGCAGAAGGCCGAGTCCTGCAGGAAGAAGTCTTCAGGAATACAGCTGTCGTAGAAACCCAGGATAAGGGTGTTGGGCTTCATCCCACCTGAGGGGAAAGCAGACTTGTATTACCCACTAAATGAAGTGGGTTTGAATATTTGAATATACAGTTAGAACACATCCTGAATGTGGATCTTGTGTAAAATGATAAAACCCAGTTGCTGACCAAGTCCTGTGATGCGCAGGAGGTGTTGAGTTCCTTGTCGGACAGATGGAGACAGCGTCAGGTCCACAAAAGCTTTGACGTCCAGTTTATCCACAAGACTGAGCCAGAAGTTGTACTGCTGCTGCACCGGATCTGACGGCAGCAAGTCTAAAAACATCCAGAAAGTAGTGTATAAATAAGAATACTAATGAGAATTATTCTTGTTATTACTACTATAACCAATCTAATCTGTTGTTTTCCAAGATAAAAGTATAGGATGAGACTGATGCTGGGCTACGCAACTTTTTTGTTTCAAATAACAAATGTTTTACCCAATGTGTTACAACCGGTCTTTAAAATCAAAATGTTTTAACAAATCAGAAAACATCAGCTTTATGAATACAGCCCTGTGGACTCACCACCTGCAGGAGGATCAGTGAGGGGCTGGTGCTCCGTGTACTGGGTGCATCTCTGACTGCCACCCCCCCGACCCAGAAATGGATTAAGGGGAAGAAAATGGATGGATGGATGGATGGAAAACAATCATTTCAGTTCTATTCAAACACTTTTTTTGAGTGATATTATAATAAGATGCATGTTTTCCCATGGGTAAAAATAGAGCAACATTGAACACTGAAATAACAGATTGAAAAAGAATAGATATTTTCTTTGTGGTATTACTACTGTGCACAAAGCTGACTTGAGTGGCTTTGTAAGTGACCATTACCCAGATCTCCCAGCTGCACATGGCCCAGCACATACAGGCCGCCCTTCTTCAGCTGGTTCACAAACAGGATGAGCTGACAGGACGAGCGTGGATTGGCCACCATCAGCAGAACCTGAGGCCTCCAGAACTTTACGTGGTCCTTCCTCACATCCAGCATCAACAAGTACTTCCGGACCTGAGCAACAAGCAAAGTGAGCAGGGCAATACGACCACATAATAAACAGCTAATGTTACATTTTTGCCTAGATTGAATATAATGTATGATTGGATTCTGAACAATGGACCTTGGATTCTTCATGCTTCCTTTACTCAGCCTTTCTGGTTTTAATCTGTAGCAATTTGTAGAAAGATATTTGCTTTTAAAAAAGGGATGTGATTAGCTTGTGACTTTCTTGTGACAGACCAAGAAAAACACAATAAAACCACTGGAGATTTTTCATTTAACCAGTGGCTATTATATTTCAGGAACCACTGAACCACAGTTATACATTACTTCTTTGTTCAGTTATAATAATGGTGAAATCAAAAGCATATTGCATTTATGTGGGCTACAAGTGTAATTCGCTTTTAAGACTTTAACTACGGTGAAAAGTTTAATGAATCCCTAAATATTACAGCAATTCATCTCATCTTTAATTTTATTTAATCTTGTTTTGTGTTATCCTTTTATTACTACTGTTCTGTCACAAGCAACACTGACATTCCCCACTGTGGGATGAATAATTAATGCAACAGATGAAAAAGAACAATGCTAATGGAAATAAAAAGATAAAAAACTTGGAAACTAGAAATTTGTTAAAAGGTTAATTTATTTCTATAAATTAAACTTAAAATGTGGAACAAATACATGATATGAATTAATTACACACTGAAAACAAATAACAAATAAAGGCTTGATGGTTCCCACTTTGTGTGGTATAAGTTATAATATTTTCTCATTGAAAGTAAATTGACTTTTTAGACTAATCTCAGAGTGTCACCTGTGTGCGTTTTCTACATATGTCCTCGTTCTACCTGTGAAACTTGTGTCACAAAAAGGCACTTACATCTCGGATCTATTAAGTATACTATATAAGTATTTTTGACAATGTTGTGGTAATGTTTTGGGTCATACCTGGTGGAAGATGAGGGCCTGGCTGATGTAGCCCCAGCTGCTGGTGGGGGATCTGTAGTGCAGGAAGAGCAGGAGGATCAACAGCAGAACAATGCTCCCGGACGAGTACACCGGATTTATGACAAACATCATGACGAGGCAGCTCAGGATACCCAGAAGACAAGTGTGCCACGAGAAATACCGGAAAGTGGGTCTACAAACACACAGGAGAGGCCAGCTTTAAAACAGAAATACTTTTTACCTTTACAAAGCCTGTTGACAATGGAAAGAATGTAAACATAACCTTCTACAATATTAACAAACATTTAAATAATTGGATAGTATCATTGTACTAACAACAACATTTGCATACATTTTGCTCCACGTTCCTGTTAGAATAGCCTGTTTGACCCATAAACAGTACAATAGGAGTGACTCAGTATATAGTGTTTGCCGAATGCATAGGCTAGCTGGAGCCAACATCCTTATATGGGGATTTTTTTTCCAAGAGGGATTTACTTTTCAATGTCGATAGGATTCTAAACATGGTTCGACTGTTGGGTGACCTATGTTAGCTAAACTTAGATGTGAGTAGAAAGGTGGGTGGCGTTTACCAGGCGGAAAAGCAGTTTTCCAGAGAATAAAAAGTAGCATTAGAATGCGTTGGATAACTCTGTTCCTGGGTACGCTACCAACGTCAAGGAGTCATATAGAAAGCATGTTAGCGCACATGCTCATGGACCCTTTTGAGCCGGGACCTGCCCCTACTGGTTAAAACTGGACTCCCCTGAGGAAAAGGGTGGAGTCGGGCGTGCTCCTGCTCAGGTTAGAACTAAAACCTGCAGCCACACCGTCCCTTTGAGGACCGGTTTGACACCCCTAACATATAGGACAGCATGGCCTACACTTTTCACCTGAAGTTTGGAGCTGAGGCCCACTCAAGAGCCAAACAAGCCAGGTCTACAGCAGCAAAGGCCAGGAGATAGAAAACTGTCACCAGACTGGCCACTGCATTCAACTGCCCTGCAAAAACCACCAACTAACAAGACAAAAACACAGCTTCAGGTTAAATGTGCAACTGTAAACTGTCTAAAACAAAAGAAGCAGACCTGTGCCAGACCCCAGGTGTACAGAACTGCCACCCATGGGTTCCCGGAGCTGGACTTCACAGCAGCTGGGGCTAACGGCAGACCTATGGCAAAAACACACTGTGACATTAGGCCTGTAACCGTGCCTCTCAGTCACTTCTTACCAAAGAGATGGTCCACGGCAAGAGCGTGGAGAATACGAGAGGCTCCAATCATGGCACACATGGCAGCCGACAGGGAGGCGCAGTAAATGCCAATCGTCACGAACGGTGGCCACAGATTTATCTTCTGCAGGAACCCGTAATCCTGGATCAATAAAGTCCTAGATTTTTTGAATAAATAAAAAACATATCTGACATGTTGTTTCAATTAAATCGGTATGTAATCTAAAGCCATCAGTCAGTGTACCTGTCACAAGTGGCAGCGACCATCATAAAGAGAAGGAAATAGACTGTGAACGTGTAGAGGACGGCCACAATGGTGCCCCTGGGAATGGAGACGCTCGGAGTCTTCAATTCGCCTTCAAGAACAAATGGAATCATCATTGAAAATATTAAAAAGGTATGTTAAAGATAACATAACTGCTATGTTCCTAATGCAATGTTTCTTCCTAATCCAAAAAAACTCACATCCATCCATCCATCCATTTTCTACCCTTTAATCCATTTCTGGGTCAGGGGGGTGGCAATCAGAGATGCCACCCAAGTCTCATAGCACCAGCCCCTCACTGACCCTCTGCAGGTGGTGAGTCCACAGGAGGACGGCTGCTCTCTGAGTGTGAGCATAGCCTTGATCTTTCAGTGGGGGCTTTGGGCAAAGTGGGGTTAAGTGTCTTGCCCAAGGACATAACAACAGCAGTCATCAGTGGGAGTCGGTGGAGGAGGTGCAGAGGTGGGAATTGAACCCACGACCTTCTGGGCTTAAGGCCAATGCTCTACCAACTGAGCTACTGAACTCACAAATTGATCAAATTAATTTCACTAGGTCGGAGAGCCTATTGGCTATTTTGGGCCTATTTGAGCCCAAATAAGATATAGACAGCACTTTGTGTAGAGAATTCCTTATCTCTGGAGAAAAAAGTAAGGCACCCGAGCTTTAAGATACATTTGAAGCATTCAGACTTGCCATTGATATTATTATTATATTTAAACAAAGTGTCCTACCACAATTACGCTGACGACACTCAGATCTATGTCTCACTGACTGCAGGAGAACATGGACCACTGGATTTGCTCCTTCACTGTATCCAACAGATCAGTGACTGGATGCAAAATAATTTCCTCCAGCTAAATGCAGACAAAACCGAAATCATTGTCTTTGGTCCCCAGAAACAAAGAGAGGGCGTCATTTGTCAACTTCAGTCTCTCTCCCTACTTCCTTCAGACAAGGTCAGAAATTTGGGGGTAATACTGGACTCAGACCTAAATTTCAATAGCCACATAAAATCAATAACATCAACAGCTTTTTACCATCTGAAGAACATTGCCAAAGTTAGAAATATAGTGTCCAGGGCAGACTTGGAGATTCTTGTCCATGCATTTGTCTCCAGCAGGCTAGACTACTGCAATGGCCTGCTTACAGGTCTGTCCAAACAGACCTGTAAGCAGCTGCAGTACATCCAAAATGCAGCAGCTAGAGTCCTGACAGGAACCAGGAAGTATGACCATATTAGTCCGGTCCTCAGGTCTCTGCACTGGCTTCCTGTGGCTCAAAGAATAGATTTTAAAACGGCTCTGCTTGTGTACAAGTCTCTCCATGGCCTTGCACCAGAATACATTAGTGACATGTTGGTGTCATATGAACCGGCCCGGACTCTGAGGAGCACAGGGACTGGCCTCCTGCTGGTGCCCAGAGTGAGAACCAAACATGGGGAGGCTGCGTTTCAGATCCATGCAGCTAAGATCTGGAACGGTCTCCCTGAGGGTGTGAGGGAGGCGTCTACTCTGTCGGTGTTTAAATCCAGGTTGAAGACTGTTCTGTTTGCCTGTGCATATAACTGAAGGATTTTATCTCCATTTTTAATGCACTGCTGTCATTTATTTATTTTTTTAAATTTCTTGTGTAATTTTGAAAGTTTTAATGGTTTTATTCTTTTGTGTGATTTTAATGTTTTAATTGTGTTTTAATCTTGTGTGATTTTAATGTTTTAATTGTGATTCTGGTGTTTGTTTTATGTGATGATTTGTGATGTGGACTGTGAAGCGCTTTGTGTTGCCCTGTGTATGAAAGGCGCTCTACAAATAAACTTTGATTGATTGATTGATTGATATTTTAGAAAAATGTATTCAATGTACAAAGTTCTTACCAGACATGTTGGCACCGGCCATGATTCCAGTGCAACTTGTAAACATGACTGCAAAAACTGTAGCAAAGGACATGACGGTGTTGGTGCTGTAATCAAGTGAATATCCAGCTGCAAAAAGAAAAAGACTAGTATGAAACATGAATCAGTCCTTATATAAGTGAGCGCTGTAAGCAGACTCACAGCCCAGGTTGTTCTGCAGGGTCTTGGCGCTGTAGCCGGTGTAGCTGCCGTTGAAGTGGCGGCTGGTGTTGCCTGGGCCCTGGTGTGTGATGTTGAAGCTGATGGGTTTGACAGCCATCGAGCTGATGAATACGGACAGTAAAGACACAGTGACCACTATGAGGATGACAAAGGCCGTGCGCGAATAAATGTGTGCACCCACAAGACACACGATCAGACACAGCAGCAGGATCCCAGAGGAGTACAGGACCGTGTACCAGTACCCCTGTGGAAGGACCTGCACACTGCTCGACAACTGGGATTCTGCAATGCAAAAATACACATTAGTGATGCTCAAGTATCAGGAGTACAGTCACAGCCAACCTGCCCAAAACTACAAAACTAATACACTCCATGTTGTGTTGGTTGTGTTGGTTGGTTGGTTGAAAATGGCAGAAGACTGGTATGATGTCATGAAATATACTTTTTATAATGGAGAATCTGACAGCTATTACAAGATTGGAAAGTGCCATAGACAGGACTAATGGAGTGGCACTGCGTGATATTATTACATTTGGGAACAGTCTTTTGAAAGCCATACATGATTCCACCAGTAGAGGGCGCGTGGTTCTTTCGCTAAATTGAAGTAGTCACTTGAGGTCACGGTGAAAAACATGCACCTAGAGATTTCCTGTAATCAGGGCCGGCCCTAGGCTATCAGGCAGTTTTAATCTTTTGCAGACCCTGCGATGACATTAAAACTGCTGCATCAGTGAGTTTTCCCATCATTCTGAGATATTTAACTCTTAGAAGAGTGTTAGAGTGTTACATATATTTCAGAGTGAAAAATATCTGAGCTGAGGTTGCTCTCACAGAGGGACACGAGAGCGCTCTGAGCAATTAGCTCACCGCTGATCAGAGCAGAGCAAGAGCGGGTTGAGCGCGAGCAGAGTATTGCACAAAAGTGTTAATTCACCAGAAACTGATTTTATAAAAGACACTGAAACACTAAAATCCCCACAACCTTCAAGCTGTAGGTTCCCTGTCAGCTGAGGAAGAGCCGTTTTAGTTCACATTGAGTTTTATGGGAAGATTTCCTGACCAGCAAATGTGAATTTTAAGCTGCAGTGCCCCTTGTCCATGCTGCAGACAGGTTTAAACTAGCAATATTCTATCCAGATAATATAATACGACATTACAATATGTCTCCTTTAACGACACACACACCTGAGTCCTTTCCAAACACATCCAAAATGGCTTCCACGAGACCAAGAACGTACTCTCCGCACGCACAAACTTTGGCAAGAAAAAACATAAGACCAATGCTGCCTCCGAACTCAGGGCCCAGTGAGCGGCTGATCATGTCTGTCGGTAGTGGTTAAGGAGTATTCCAAAGTGCCCTGAGGAGCTTTAAAGTGCCAAAGTGCCCTGAGGAGGGGGCTTTAGTGCAGCCGTCTGAAGGATACAGTATGCACCTCCGCCCTTTATGGCTCCGTTTGTGGAGATGGCACAGATGGACAGGATGGTGAGAGATATGATGGTGTACGCTACCCCCACCATTAGGAGCCCCTGCAGCAGCCCGGCGTGACCCACCACAAAACCTGCACAACACAAACCACACAATTCTGATCCATCCACTTCTCTGTACGACAATCAGGAAAAACACACACACTTTCAAATGGGACTTTTCTCTTCTTTCATCAAACAGAGTGCATATTATGAACCTCAACACATTTAGAATAGATAGACTCCTTAAGGGACAAATAAAGGATCTCCCTTAATCTAGAATAACAGGCAAGGGAAGTTTATTTGTATAGCACAATGAAGAAAACTGAGAAATAGATGGATATGCATTTGACTGAGAATCCAACAAACTTTATTGATCTAAAAGGCAAATCTCACAATAGCTCATGCGTTAAAATATATTAACATAATAAATATCAAAATGCATATAATTTGTTTTTTCACGAGGCCTGTCATCATCTTTTAGGAGCAAAGCTTAAGCATAAGAATTTCAATAGCAGTGAACTAATTATGCTGCTTTTCTACTTACCCGTTCGCAGAAAGAGCACAATACTAAACATTGACAGGATAGTTGGCACCATGACTCCAAAGAAAGTGTTGAGTCTCCGTGGGTCTGTGCTGGATTCAGGACTGGACTGCGGACTGGACTGGGGACTGGACTGGGGACTGGACTCTGGGGGGGTCTCAGGACCCATGCCACAAGCCACTCTGGTCAGGCCACACACGCCTGAGGTCAGCAGCGGCGTGTGCTCGTTAGACATGCTGACGGAGGTTTGAAACTGTCTGGAAACAAAGAGAACACTATGAAGTTCAACAGATGCAGATCTTGTCACGAGTGAGAAACAATAACTAGAACAGCACTTGTAGAGCGCAGACTTCTGCCAGGAGGAGCATCTCCATTCCTTAAAATAATGTGGGATCCAGATCACCTCCAAAATGTGATAATTCGTTCCCTGCTATGGCTGCAGCAATCAATTGTTTTAGTAATCGAGTAATGGATTATAACCTTTGATCAATCGAGTAACCCAAACTATTATTAATTCATAATAACTACAAGTTTTAGAAAAAAAGTATGAATTATGGTTAAAAGAAACACATTTTTGGGCAAATGTTTACATATATTGTCTTTTTTCATAATCAGTATGTTCCTCTCAGTACAGTACTGAAACAGCTCTGTGTCAAACCATTTCAGATTCACAAAGTTTTGAGAAGTTCTACAAATGAACCAATTGATCGAGTCGATTAAAATGGAAACAATGTTTTTTTGTAACTGAATAATTTGACAAACTCAATCGTTTCAGCCACAACTATAGCCACAGCTGCCCAGGGAAAGACAACATGATTTTGTTTATTGTGTTACCAATATTGTAGTAGACCATTTCTAAAGAACTATTAAGACTTCAGATCATGTATGAATGTTGAACAGCTTGTTGTGTGTTGTTGGATTCGGACTGGCGAATGACATGACATCATCTGCAAACCTGTGTTAACATAACACATAACTTGGATTGAAGTGTTATGTCTCTTCCTGTAATGGTCTCTCAGGCTTCAGAGCAAAACATGGCCATAAAACTATGATAAGCCATGATAAGGTCTGTATCTTGGCTATTTGAACGCCCGCCACCTCCCGACCACCACATTAGATTTAACCTTTTTGCTCACACCTAAGTTTGGTATTTACAGTCAGCTGACTCACACTCACCGACTAACTATTGTGTCAGCTCCAAGGGCCAGGGAGTACCTAACTTTCAAAACACAACAATTGAGCTATATCATAAAATGCATGCATCTCATTCCTTACCCTCAAAACCATGTTGTTCTTTCACTAGTTTCCCCATACATGTCTTGGCCTCTGTCACATCTTTAGATCAGCTTTTCCAGGCAAAAAGTGAAACTCAGCCAATCATCTCTCAGCCCAAAGTGACTCAGCAGGCTCTGACTTACAAGAAAATTATACAATGCTTTCTAATAAGGAGACAATGGGGTCTGATTTGTAAGCCAATGTTGTAATGCGTATATACTTTTGTGTTGAAATAAACAGCATGTGTTATTTACAAAACAAACAATATGGGGACACTCCAGCTTGAACTATATGGTAGTAGAACAGTAGAAGTTTTCAATCCTGTTATTAAAAGAGTAAAGAGTCGGTGTACAGTACAAGTGTATACATGTTTTGACTGATTGGAAACACTCCCTGGTGGTTCCAACCCTGACATCAAGGCTTCGCAGACATGAGTGATGCTAAATGACCTGCATCTTTCCAATTTAAAAAAGAACTCGAATCCAGATGTGCACAAGAAATATTGGATGTGATAATAATAGAGATAACAAGCCTATCGTAAACAGACACACATCACACTTTGGGGAAATAAAGCAATTAAAAGAGCGCGTTTCCAAAAATAGGCGATTCTGTTGTCGTCACGATTACGTAGCAGCAGCAGGAGCAGCAGCAGGAGCAGCAGCAGGGAGGCGACATAAAGCAGAAGTTCATGTGCACAGCTGCATACCACACACGGTAATAACGCCAACAGTAAATAAATGAGTAATTCCCGCACAGTACGTCCTGCGTGGGTTACCTCTGTGGAGAGCGAGGCTGGCGCACTTCCTGAACTCACTGCCTGATGTGTCCCAGTCTGAGCGGACACACGGCGCGCCTGGAGTCCCCTGATGTCCGCGGATCTCACTGACCAGGAAGAAGAAGTTGTTGGAGGCTGAAAGAGACAGATGTGAGACCCAATAATAAAAACACTGCGCCCATGACACGCCTTGTCGATGTTTTTTTTTTTTTTTTTTTTTTTAACAAAAGAGGAAACTGCTCATGTGACTGAAAAGGGGAGGGAAGGTCCTGCACAAACTCCAATAGTGCGCACTTATCTACTAGTCCCGCCCCGTACTGTTAAATACTTTAGACCCGTGGTTCTCAAAGTGGGGGGAAGGACCTCCAGGCCAGGGTGGCATGAGATGATAACAATGCAGGTCAAATAACACTTACACAATAAAATACCTTACTAGGTACTTCTTAAAAAGCTGGAGCACCTAATATTTTTGTTTGATTAATACATTTTAATACATCACAACAAAAGAAGTATTGTTTAAGTGATATTTTGTGAACAATTCAGTTCACGACATTTGTCCTTTCATACTGAGAGCATTCTTGTAAGAAAGAGCCAGTGTTTTGGCTGAGTGAGGTTGGTATTCTCGCTGAATAAGATGATCCACTGATACATGAAACATGATGAATACGTGAATGCATTTTTTTGCTTTCAAAGTTAGGTATACCAGCATTACATTTCATTCAGTAGGGTGCCACGAGTTGATTCCACATATTTTGGGGGCCCTTTCTCCAACTGGGGGCACGGGTATTCCTACGGGTACATAAGGGTACATATGGTGTACAAAATGTAAAATATATCAATACTAAAAACAGCTCATGTAGCTTACTTTGTATTTGTTTGTAATGCTTAACTTACAGACTCTTTGTATTATAGACACTAGATGGCAGCATTGCACCAACACAAACATTTTCACTAATTAGGCCAATCCATCTCATATGTTAGTCTGGTTTTAATCATTTTTATGCTTTTGTTGACAGCATCGTATAGCCAGTGGCTTGCAGGCTATCATTACACTATTTAATAACATCTTAAAAAAAAAAAAAAGTCCCATTTACCTGTTGTTACTGTGCATCACACTATCCACTGTCAACCCAATTTATTCACTTTGTTTGCTATTATTCTTGTCCATGTGTACATCCACATGGGCCATTATTGACATTTGAAACCATAATACAATAGTAAGGATATTATTCTCGTGATACAGATGTGAGAGCTTGTTTTTCCACGGTGCTTTGCAGAAAGTGGAATGTCCTCATTCAGACCACAGTGCACGAAACTATGCTATAAAATCCATTCAACTAATTCCTTCTCTCAATGTTGGTTCCGTCACTACTTTTCCATGTACTTTTGGCCCCTATCACATCTTTAGACCATTTTTTCTACAAATAGAAAAGTGAAAAGGAAAACATCACCTTCACCAATCAACTGACAACTGTCAAATAATGACTAACTTTCAGGGAGATGTTGTAGTCTCATTTGATCAACATTTTATCAGACTCTTTCTGTTGGGACAAACATAATGTATTATTGAAGGGGAAACTGGTATTCCAGCTTTAATTAAAAATGAGATGAAAAATAAAATGAAGTGTCCCTCCTGCAGAGGGGCTGAGGGTCGCATCACTGCTGATGGGTGTGGTTGTAAAGTGCTCCAGACTCACGCATTTAAAGGAGCCTTCGGGGGAGCGCACACAGCCACCGCGTGACTGACTGCTCTCTTTCTGGACAAAAATGAGGAAAACCGCCATATTAACTCCCATTAAATGCTTGTAGATACGTGTTTGGCTTGCACATATGTTGCACTGCTGCGTTCGGAGCTGAAGAAGTCTCGGTGAAGGGAGGAAACCAAAGAGGAAGGAAGCGAAGAGGATAGCGTCACGATCACCGAATACACGGAGTTAACGCGCTGCTTTTACAGACGATCGTTAATGAACGGCTTACGGCACAAGATCTTTTACAGTTGATCTTATTTTTGAGTTGTCGTCTTTAAAGACTGGACTGATCAAGGCAAGAAAGGAGCGGCGGTTCGGTCACACCAAAGGCCGAGTTTTTCGCCCCCAGCAGCAGTCGCGGTTGTCGAGGCTCAGAGAAGCAGCAGCAGCAGAGGACTAAAGCAATGGGAATGTGTCTAGCCCTCCTACGACTGCCTGTTTGCTGAAAAACCCTCATCGTGACGCACGGAGCGGGCTTTGTATCTCAAGCGGAGCCCCTATTTGGATGAGTGAAGAAGACGTAAGAGCTCGGGCAGAAACAGAAAGGGAAAGAAGGGACCGTCGGCACAATTAACAGGTAGCCACCCAACAACAGATGCAGAGAAGGCGCATGCCAGTAAGATGGGACCATAAATGCTAGGATTGTAAGTAAACCACATCTATGTTAGTGAGCATCCACTGGAAGGCCTCAGATCAGTGCGTAGGGTTTTCCTTCCCTCCGCTCGCACTGGAGTGACCCACACATGATTATTCGGTTTCATGTGTATTGTGTTTGCCCCATTTCCTCCTCGTCTTGCCTTTTTATTCTGGCCTGTATTGCAGACTGGAGGCAGCAGCCCTTTCCCAGGCCATAGCTCTTGTGTTGAAGTGCCACATAGTCTGTGACATTTGCATCACCACTGGTAGGGAGGGCTGCGTGCGTGTGTACATGCACATGCATGTGTGCGTGCGTGTGCGTGCGTGTGCGTGCGCGCTTGTGTGTGCTCCAGCCTAGCTCCATGGCTCCAGCTGCAGATGTAACCATGCCATATTCCTTTAGTTATACATAAGATTAGCTTCTAATGGGGCGGGGTCAGTTTGACAGCACAACTCTGTTGCTCTCTGTCACTGAAATGTTTTTGGATGTGTTGCCTCCTGGGGTGGGAATAACCTCGCCTGGATAGCTTTATTTGATTATTATACAAAAATACATATCACGCCATCTATAGGCCTAAAAAATGTTGTTTTTAACCAAACAAATTATACAGTTATAACTGTAGTGGTTCTGATGTGTCTAATTGAATGAGGAGATCATTCTAATGATTATACTTCATCCAAGTGAATGTGTCCATGCTCTGGCCATTATATGGAGAGTCAGGCACAGCTCACCATGTGAGTTGTGCCTGGATGAGGCAGCTCTTCTCTGGGTAAATGAGCAGCTGAGCCCGGAGACCATGGCCCAGCTCAGTCCTTTGGCTCCATTAGCGCACTGTGATCCATCTGCTTCCATCTCCCCTAGGGAACACTGACCTACTGTAGCTAATTGCACTTCCACACACTGTGAAATGTATGTCGTGAAGTCTTACTGTGAATTTAAATAGCCTCTCAAATGCAAATAACCAGCTCATGGTTTGGGCTGTGGTTTGCATGTGTTACTGTACTCCCATTTGAAAACAGGAAGCACTGCTTCCTTCTAAAACCCTGTGTTTACTTAGGTCTGATTCCATTAGGCTCAATATGATATATTTAAGCAAACGATACATTTATGAATGTTCAAACTACTGTTAGTGTGTCCCGCTGACCACACTGTCGCAGATTAGTCATAGCAGATTACGCTCCTCACTTTAACAAAGCAAGGCTAAACAGATTACATGGCTTTTGCCACTGAATGGATTTAGTCATTTATTTAGATTAAAATGTGTGGTTTATTCGTTTTGTTTTTTTTTTTTTATAAAACAAGGCCAAATACTAGAGTAAGACTTTTATTTTGCTTGACCTACTTTAATTTTTTGATGAAGTCTCTGGTTTAAGGGATTATAAAGTGTGATTCACAGACCACTATTTTAATCCAATGCATTGTACGTTCAAGAAGACTGCTTAATATGATTTTTCTCCCGACAGGTGACAGTTATCAATCATAATGAGTGAGTTGGAGCAACTACGTCAGGAGGCAGAGCAGCTACGCAACCAGATAAGAGTATGCCCATCCTTCCATTATGTTCCTCCAGATATTCCCCAGACCATGTGCTTCAATTGTACTTCATTTGTATTTACCACAGGACGCCAGGAAAGCATGTGGAGATTCAACTCTGACTCAAGTGAGTTTTTGTACTATAATTTTTTTGTTCTCCTATTTATTATTTCATCACATTTTGTAAGGAAATGTATTTAAAAACAAATGAACAATTTGCTTTGGCAGATCACTGCTGGTCTGGATCCTGTTGGGCGAATTCAGATGAGAACAAGACGCACTCTTCGTGGTCATCTTGCTAAAATCTATGCCATGCACTGGGGCACTGACTCCAGGTACCTACACCGTTCTATGAAATGTTTGGAAGGCAGCAACTTGAACCCCGTCTCTGCTGGATGGCTGTCGTGATGCGTCACCATTACATCTAAATTCCTGCTTCGGTCGCTCTGCATGTTCACACCGAGTCTGACATGAAGTGTGGGGTCCGACGTTTTTACACGTCAGTTCATGTCGCTCAGTGTGAAAGTGTGGTGTCACCATGAGACAGAGCAAAACTATTAATGGAGATCTGTTTGCCATAACAAAAAGGGCGTGGACACCAATGATTCTGTGTTTTTTATTCTCTACTTGTGTTCTGTTTTGGAGCTGGAAAAACTTGAGCTGAAGTCAAATTGCATGTTCATGGCCATGGCATGAACAACTATATATCCTGTTATCTACTTTGCATAGACAAATATGTTTCTTGCTTCTGCACAGGCTGCTGGTTAGTGCCTCTCAAGATGGAAAACTCATAGTTTGGGACAGTTACACCACTAATAAGGTAACTATTGAGTTCTGCACCATGGCTTCATTACATGCAGATGTTTACTTAAACGTTTTTCACATCAATAGATCCACGCCATTCCTCTGCGCTCCTCATGGGTCATGACATGCGCATATGCCCCCTCTGGTAATTATGTGGCATGTGGAGGTCTCGACAACATCTGCTCCATCTACTGCTTGAAAACACGAGAAGGCAACGTCCGGGTGAGCAGAGAGCTGCCAGGACACACAGGTGAGGCCCCTGCTCCAACTCTGCTCCAGTTTCTAGTTTCTATTTATGATCAAATCTAACGGCTGTCATTTCTTCCAGGATACCTTTCATGTTGCCGTTTCATAGATGACAATCAGATCATTACAAGTTCAGGAGACACCACATGGTGAGTTCAAATTCAATGTGACGCTGTATGATTTTGTTTTAGTTTTCCCTGAGTCTAACTGGTTCTGTGTGCAGTGCACTGTGGGACATAGAGACGAGTCAGCAGACCACGGTGTTCTCGGGACACACCGGGGACGTCATGAGCCTGTCTCTGTCTCCGGACCTGCGCACCTTTGTATCTGGAGCTTGTGATGCTTCGGTCAAACTCTGGGACATCAGGGACAGCATGTGCCGACAGACCTTCACTGGACATGAGTCTGACATCAATGCGATTTGTGTGAGTGCGGGATTATCAAAAACGGCTCGTATGACTATTGCATGATCTGGTTTGTGTAGTTTAGGTTCTGTGATGACTGTATCCTTCATAAGAGTCCTGTCCACTGTCTCCACAGTTCTTTCCCAATGGCAGTGCAGTTGCCACAGGGTCGGATGACGCCACCTGCAGGCTGTTTGACCTCCGTGCGGACCAGGAGCTGGGCCTGTATTGCCATGACAACATCATCTGTGGCATTACCTCGGTGGCGTTCTCCCGCTCCGGACGTCTCCTCCTGGCTGGTTATGACGACTTTAACTGCAACATCTGGGACGCCATGAAGGGCGACAGAGCAGGTCTGTGCCTTTCTCCACTAAAGCCTCCATTCCCACTGCCTCATTATTCACCCTCAGTTTAGCAATTACAAGCATGCAATGGTGATTTCCTCTTCTAAAAATTGCACTGAAACAAAAGTCATGATTATGTGGGTGCAAACAATAGTTGGTCACTTGTAAGTTGTACTCATAGTTCTGCTCCATTACTGTAGAGGTTTGGTCAGGATGATACAGATAATTAGTGATATTTTGATCTGATATTCACTTGCATGTTCAATTCTCTTGACACTTAAATGTCTGAAGCTGTTTTTTTGACAAACAACGTTAAATAAGTAAGGGATAATGTATATTACGTAGGTCATTATCGGAAAATAACTACCGACAGGGCGAAGCACGCGAAGGGGTCCGCGTCCGCCCTGAAGGTACTTATTTTCCGAACGTGACCTGCGTTATATACATTATCCCGCTTATTATACAGCTTTGTACCAACAGAACACACACAAAAAACTTCAGTCCACTCTTAGGAATGGCTAAAGGTTTATTTAGTGACAGAAAATAAAATAGTTCCCTAAGGCTTTCCCGTTAGGCTAGCAAATCCCAAACTAGAACTCTCTCGAGCTGCATGAAAACTGAACAAAGAATTCTGAACATCAGCGGTAAGTGACCCAAACATAAACTCAACCTAAATCCATAATTTGATCCTATGCAAATGTTCCTAAAATGTCCCGGAATCTACTTCCGCGTTTTTCGTGATCGCTTTTTCTCGCATTAAAACAGTATTTTTGTCTTGAAACCCTTAACAGAAAATTCTGAAAACCTCTGTGCACTTGTATTAAGAATGTATATAATGTATTCTCCGATTAACATTTAAATGTGTTGATTGATTGATATTTGTGTTTATTGAGCGTGTCTAGCTCCGGAGTGGCCGGAACTACTTGCGGAGTAATCCACACATCTGAATTACAAGCAGAGAGTGCGTTGCCATGGGCAGCGGCCATTATTGTTTTGAGAGGTCCGTTATAAAGAAATGATGACAGGTAGAACGTTTTGAAATTACATTCAAATCAATGGAGCGTTCTGCTGCTGTGAGGAGCTGTGTAATAAAAAGCATATAATAGCTTCTCTTTAATTCTATGTAGCAAAAGAATGGGAGAGGTGGACTTTATGCAGTGATAGATCTCCCCATATTAGAGTTATATAATTGTTGCATATGTTTTGAGCAGGGCACATTAAAGCTGCATTTCCTCACTTTATTTTTGTATTAAGAAAATTCAATCCATATCCATGCAGTGCATTGGGATATACGTCAAAAAAAAAAGAAGAAAAAAAGAAAAAGTAGCGCAGATTTGTGCTGGCGTGTCAGAGAATTTTAGATCAAGTTTTTGTGCAACAAGGAAGAGAATGTGTTTCGGGACCAGATTGTGACCAATCACAGCGGACCACTGGCCCCCACTTTCTTGAGAAATTCTACAGGTTTTTTGTTATTGCAGACAGCTGAGGTAAACAAGCGGCGGAGGCTAACTTGAAGCTTCCCGTGTCTTCGTTACTGGTTTTTGCTTACACAGCGAAACAGCCATCCAAAAGAAAGTCTCGTTCCTCCGCGCTTCACGGTTCAATCATTCTATGGTCTCGCCATCCACGTTCAAATGTGCGATCCATATTGTGAGACGTGAGCTCCGTAAACACATAAGCACAGCCTGAGTGGGAGGGGGGTGAGGGGTGATAGCTTTGTGAGTGCGGGGAGGACGAGCAGAAAGCCAGCGCTCGCATTCGAAATTTCACAAAGTGAGTTAGTGCAGCTTTAAGACCAGCTGGTTCATCTGGACGTTTAATTCAAAACAAAAAAAGTCGCTTATTCTGCGGCGTGCTTACATTCTCCATTTTAAAAGTACTTCAATATAATATAAAATTATATTATAATCAATGTGTGTGTGTGTTTGTGTATATATTTATATATATACAGTGCCTTGCGAAAGTATTCGGCCCCCTTGAACCTTTCAACATTTCGCCACATTTCAGGCTTCAAACAAAGATATAAAGATTACATTTTTTGTCAAGAATCAACAAGTGGGACACAGTCGTGAAGTGGAACGAAATTTATTGGATAATTTAAACTTTTTTAACAAATAAAAAACTGAAAAGTGGGGTGTGCAATATTATTCGGCCCCCTTGCGCTAATACTTTGTAGCGCCACCTTTTGCTGCAATTACAGCAGCAAGTCGCTTGGGGTATGTCTCTATCAGTTTTGCACATCGAGAGACTGGAATTCTTTCCCATTCTTCCTTGCAAAACAGCTCGAGCTCAGTGAGGTTGGATGGAGAGCGTTTGTGAACAGCAGTCTTCAGCTCTTTCCACAGATTCTCGATTGGATTCAGGTCTGGACTTTGACTTGGCCATTCTAACACCTGGATACGTCTATTTGTGAACCATTCCATTGTAGATTTGGCTTTATGTTTTGGATCATTGTCCTGTTGGAAGATAAATCTCCGTCCCAGTCTCAGGTCTTTTGCAGACTCCAACAGGTTTTCTTCCAGAATGGTCCTGTATTTGGCTCCATCCATCTTCCCATCAATTTTCGCCATCTTCCCTGTCCCTGCTGAAGAAAAGCAGGCCCAAACCATGATGCTGCCACCACCATGTTTGACAGTGGGGATGGTGTGTTCAGGGTGATGAGCTGTGTTGCTTTTACGCCAAATATATCGTTTTGCATTGTGGCCAAAAAGTTCGATTTTGGTTTCATCTGACCAGAGCACCTTCTTCCACATGTTTGGTGTGTCTCCCAGGTGGCTTGTGGCAAACTTTAAACGAGACTTTTTATGGATATCTTTGAGAAATGGCTTTCTTCTTGCCACTCTTCCATAAAGGCCAGATTTGTGCAGTGCACGACTGATTGTTGCCCTATGGACAGACTCTCCCACCTCAGCTGTAGTTATCTGCAGTTCATCCAGAGTGATCATGGGCCTCTTGGCTGCATCTCTGATCAGTCTTCTCCTTGTTTGAGATGAAAGTTTGGAGGGACGGCCGGGTCTTGGTAGATTTGCAGTGGTCTGATACTCCTTCCATTTCAATATAATTGCTTGCACAGTGCTCCTTGAGATGTTTAAAGCTTGGGAAATCTTTTTGTATCCAAATCCGGCTTTAAACTTCTCCACAACAGTATCTCGGACCTGCCTGGTGTGTTCCTTTGTCTTCATGGTTCTCTCTGCGCTTTAAAGAGAACCCTGAGACTATCAAAGAGCAGGTGCATTTATACGGAGACTTGATTACACACAAGTACATTCTATTTATCATCATCAGTCATTTAGGACAACATTGGATCATTCAAAGATCCTCACTGAACTTCTGGACTGAGTTTGCTGCACTGAAAGTAAAGGGGCCCAATAATATTGCACGCCCCACTTTTCAGTTTTTTATTTGTTAAAGTTTGAATTATCCAATAAATGTTGTTCCACTTCACGATTGTGTCCCACTTGTTGTTGATTCATTACAAAAAATTAAAATTTTATATCTTTATGTTTGAAGCCTGAAATGTGGCGAAATGTTGAAAGGTTCAAGGGGGCCGAATACCTTCGCAAGGCACTGTGTGTATATATATAATATATATATTTTTCAATAATATATTTGTATTTATTCATGCAAATAAACATGGGGTAGAGGAAAATGCTAATGCACTAGTTGCCAATCAGGACTTGTTTAGAGGTTATTACATAAATACCTTTAAGTATTAATGGGAGTAGGTTTATTTTAAAGAGAAGAGGAAAACTCTAGCCTGGCCTTAGCCATTCGTACATTCCGGTCAATTATCCTTTCCCTGCATGTCATTTGTACTACGGTGTGGTATGACCCGGCTAGGAAAGCTTTTTATAAGAGCCAGTATTTTTTCCAGAATTACTTTATGGCTTTTTTTTTGGCATTTGTGTATATTGTGTGTAGTTACTTTTTTTTACAGTATGAAAGTAATTTGAAAAAAATATTACTTTTATTGAATTTGCATTTGGATATTGGTTTGTTTTCTTTAGTAAAATGACTTGAGCATGGATAGTCAATCTCTACTTTCTCCTGGTTTAATAGTTTGGAATTAAGCCTTTGATGGGTATTTCTTTACATCCTCTGTTTTCTGCTGCAGGAGTGCTGGCGGGCCATGACAATCGAGTGAGCTGTCTGGGGGTGACTGACGATGGGATGGCAGTGAGCACCGGCTCCTGGGATAGCTTCCTAAAGATTTGGAACTGATTTGTGCACATGTAAACTTTACAAAAACACACACCCCAAAATACACTGTTGAAACTGGGACACTATTTGCACCTCTAATTACAATTTGTCCAAACAAACAGGCAAACCCCTGGGTTGTACTGTGTAAATAATATCCCAAAAGATACAAGGAGCAGTACACACCACACTACTTCCTGTTCTTGCACCTCAAAAGCGAACGTTTGAAATCTAAAAGTCTAATTGCTACCAAAAAGTGTCCCACATTTACACAAAGCCTTCAAACATAAACCCATGGTTCTTCAAATTTAGAGAAGAAATGTTGGGACATTTTTTTCTTTGTTTACAGTGAAGTTGAAAATGCACTTCCTTATTTTTTCCAATTCTTTTTGTCTTGTAAGAAAATAATTTGATCATGTTAATCTTTTACACTGAGGATAATCACTGACAGGCAGGCTTTAGCTAATATATGAAGTACAAATAATCTTTCATGTTAGTTTGGGTCATGTTTTTATAGATCTCCAAAACACCCAGGGACATCTCTTTGAGATGTTGTTTTTTAACACATTTACTTGTTTTTATCCCTTTGTGCCTCAGACACAGTCAAAGATTTGATCACATGATTGAAAGTGAACAGAGTAGAGTCAGTATGTGATATCTGGACGTCATGATGGTATAATTGTACATACTATTAATAAAATACAGACTGTCCTGCCTGTTTGGTGCTTCCTTTAAATGTGCTACTAGTAATTTAGCCTTCTTGAACGACAAACTGTATTGGGCATGTCAACTCACCGTTTTCTTTAATTGACTATTGACTAAAAAGGTACAATGAGTTTGGGAAACAACTTTAAATCTGCATAGCAACGCATTATGAAGTGTCCGTATTGATGACATTGTGAATGTTTCTATACATTGTTTCCAGAAAGAGGTCTAAACTGGCACGATGAAGCTATAAACCTGAGTAAAAGTAAGGTGCTCATAGAGATGCCAGGATGATCAGTTGCAAGCTCCCTGCAACTGACTGAACTAATAATCATTGTCAAAGATGGTGGTTCTCAAAGCAGTCGTTTGGAGAACTTATTGTGAAAGTTACACTGTATTTAACCAATAATTTAAAACAAATTGATCCCACATCTTATTCAAATGAACCTTTGATATGAATTGGACTCTATGTGCTCTTCGATTGAAAGCAAGCAGCACTAGGACCCTATTGGGGGACCTGCTAAATTGCATCTCAAATACATGTGTTTGGACTCAGCATCTATTCAAAATGGTAAAAGGGTTGTTGAATTACAACAATCTTGTTAATGTTGTGTTCAGCCTCTAGGTTAAACTAAGACACATGAATAAATGTAAAAAACACCAGTGAGGAGTGAACCCTAACCCATGATGGAGTCGAGAGCTCCAGTAGCCTACAGGCACAAGTAGGACCATGAAAACATGTGAGGAAAGGTCTACGAGCCAAAAGCTTCAAAAGACAGAGGTGCATTTTCCAAAGACATCAATACACTACGTTTTGATAGGGTTTCACACCTATTGTACTTCATCTTAAACTTGTTTTTGTGCACTATTGTTGAATGGTTTGTTTAATGGATTACAATCGAGGGAAAGGACGTTAACCAAATAGCATTTCCAAATGTAATGGATAAAATGTGTGTAAAATATAAATACAGTGTGTAAAATATATATGATAAGAAGTGTAATAAAACCATTTGTTTCTTTTAATCGAACATGGATAGGGTAGGAATAGTAGCGTATGGCGCCCTCTCGTGGGTGAACATTTTATTTAGTTATGGGCCGAAATATGAACTACATTAAAAGTGCAAATCTAAAGCTCTACTGTGCAACTTTGTGATAAACAATATTCAGAGGTAATGTTTTAGTCTGCATGGTACGTGAGCAGGCTTGCATCTGCACAAAAACATGAGTCATACTTGTCCTGGAGAGTCTTCCTCGTCCATAGGACTTGGTTTTGCAGCAGTCTTTCACATGACATAGAACTGACTTTTCCAATGAGAAAGTTAGTCATTAAAGTTAATGCAGATGTGACAAAGTGTTGCTGTTACCAGGTTCAAGAAAAAAAAGATCAATATACACAGTATAATGACAAACATTCAGAGGATTTTAAAAGTTTATTAGTCGATGAAATACAATCTGGATTTAATCTCTCACAATTAACAGACACCCCGCACACACCAAAACATTGCAAGACAATTCTGCTAAACAGAACATTGTAATAACTTTGGATACAGATTCATGTGCAAGCAACAGCCTTCAACAGACTGACTCTTCATTCTTTGATTACAACTTAAAACATCTAATCCGTTCTATTCTATGTATTTTTGTGAATGTCATTAAAGCAAACCAAACCAGAAATTACAGCAAACTCAAAGTTCTTGTGTCCACAGATTACAGGCAAAGAAGCAATTGACAAACCAGCCAACATTCATTCTGCCGAACACCAATACACTGAAATCGGTACAAGTCACTAAGATGAGAGGCCATGGTTTCAGTCATCATTTCATTGGATGTATTGCTAGACTTTTATTTCTCCTCACATCGTAACCCTTTGGAGCGTTCTTGCTTTCTAAAATCGGGCACAGTTCAAATCTATGCCATAATGTTAAAAGAATAAAATATCCATCAACACTCACCTTTATTCAACTGAAAGGGGCCTTTTTATGCGTGATATTTCTGCATATTTGATGTCATAGTGATGCAGAGACTGTACACAAAGGCACCATGCAGCACACTCTTTACAGCCACTGGGTCTCTACATTGGTTAGATATGCAAAAATATACACTTAACACATGAAACGTATTTTCACCTTAAAAACAGTGAATGTGTTCAATCACCTGACCAATAAAATATACTAATTTGGTTTCTTTAGACACTATTCTCAGTCTTTCCGAGGTACTGCCTCTGGCCCTGAAGTTCTTAGGTGAAATATAACCATACACCATATACTTTCAAAGCAATATTGGTCTTATTCATGATGCCAACGTAATTTTATAGAGAACACAAAAAAATCAAATGTCAACACTAAATATATCAAATTTACAGAAACATATACAGAATATGTGCATCCGGGTATTAATCACTTAAATGAAAGTGTTTTGGCCTTTTCTGTCAATTAACCACTACCATTATCCACCCAAGTGTGAGAAGCATCAAAGGTCAGGCCAGTTATTATAGTCAGGAGAGAAGGGATGACATTTGGAGCAACAAAAAGGTTTGAACTTGCTGCATCAGAATACATTGTGCTTTAATTAACAGAGAAGGTATAAGTAAATACAAATAAAATACAGGTACATTCACTTACAATATTAATAAAGAGTTATACAGAGTTTATAAAATATATCGAGCTACTTTTTCCAACTAACATCTTTAGCTTGAACATGTGCGTGTACTAAGACTGAATCGAGAACTGCTCTAGTGTATATGGCTTAGTGCTGGCTTCAGCGAACACTACAAGAACCCTCTATGTAAGACACAACATGTTTTTTTATTGCATTTTCTCTTTAAATACAGATTTACATGACTTTTCTCAAGGGGCGGTCAATTTCTTTTTGATTTAGTGATGGTTTTGTTACACCTCTCTACGTGTATCAGATAAGGGCTGATACTAACGACTCCTCACACCATCTACTCAAGGCACTGCTTAGACTGTAAACATGGCAGATTGATAAACACCATCAGAGCTCAGTGGAGTGAGACTTAAAAATGACTAAATCATGGCACAGATTATTGGTGCAACAACCAACAGTTTACCTTGTCATGTTACCGTTTATTCTGGACCAATATTTTTTATGCACGTTGAAGTTTTTGTCCCAGTGTGACGTCTTGTAGATCAAGTCAAAGTGCTTCCCAACGTCCATATAATATTTCTGACTAATCTGAAAATAAAATATCCATCTTCCCGTCTCAGATATATTATCTTCCATTAAAAATATAACATTTTCTAATTTTAACTAGTTATTTAAGCCATGAAAAGCCTGACAAGGTCTATTAACTCAAATAAGAATGGCTGTTTGTCCAAATGAAATGGTGACACAAAACATCAATCTTCTCAAATGCCACAACAGCCATTTCTTTGTTACAATGTTTCCAGTTAGCAAGGTTCCACCAATGAAACACTGAACTTTGGCAGAAAAGATTAAAAATATAATGGTCCTTCATGAGTGTAGGTGTCTAATGCAGGACTATATACAGCACCACATGTCTAACCCTGTGCCGACCCGAGCAGAGCAAAAGGGTTAAAGAAGAGAAAGCAGCCGCTCCTCTGGCCGTCCTCACATGTCGTCTTGTGAAACTATATTACACTGGAGACAAGTTTGTGCTCCATGCTCCACTTTCCTGCCACTGGTGTCTCCAATAATCCTTCAATTCAAAACTATTTGTCAAAATTGTAACGTGATAGAATTTCAATGTAGGTAAAATGCACTTATCTAAGGAACGCCACAAGAATATGTGTTTTTTTTCCCTACATGTCAACAATCGATTGTGTCACATCCGTATTATACTTTTAAATAAAGGCAGTTCAAGGATTTACAGTACTCACTTCAGTACTGAATGAACTAGGTATTTGTCATGGTTTATCATAGGCTGTACTTTTGTTATTAGGAGTAAGCCCTTATGAATGAGAGAAACTCAAATATTCTTTAGAATATAAACTTCAGTATTAGGACAGTCAGTGAAATGTTGCCACTGCAGACGGCTCAATATGCCACATTCACAAAGTGTAGATATTAATGCCATCTTCAGAACACGATTATCAGGAATGACTTAGCAAATCCACAGCAACGAAATAGTCAAGACCAAACACATTTTAACGATTTAAAGTAAGACAAAACTATACACAGTAAAAAGTAGTTTTAACGTTTGTAGAACATTGGAAAGTTGTCACAACATTTGTCAGCATGTTGGTATAAACAGTACTTAAGTGGATTGGAGAGTGGAATGGTTTTTCAGAGCTGTGAATGTAAGCATCTGTAGGTAAAATGAGGAAATGATGATTTGTGCATGCGCAAGCAAAAGGTTTAGGCCCCAGTGCCAAAAACCTGCAGTGTTCACTGACCACCAGCTGCGCCTTCACCAGTTCATGATACAGTTTCTGTTCAATGTCATGAAGTACACCTGACTGCTGCCTCCGGAGCGCACGGACGCGAAGAACACCTATAACAGAGATAGGGAGGCATCAGAGTTGCTGATATAGACAAAAACCATTTTACATTATTGTGTAACGCAAGAAACATTGAACATTGAACGCATTCAATACAATAATATTGTATTTTCCACTACAAGGATTTGTCGGAACTATCCAATGTCTCTTCCCAGATCCTGTGTGGAGATATGCAGACAGAGAGGTTGTTGTTCACGTACCTTGTCATTCCTCTCACAAAGAAACTTGAGCCTCTGAGCCCTTTTGTGCATGAACACACCGTCAAGATGACCGGTCTCCACAGACCGGATTTCAATGGCCTTCTCTCCCCAACCCATGATCTGATTTGAGCAAATGTGGGCTGCAATAAAGTCCAACATTAGTGATTTAGCCACAATATATTCGGTCAACAAAGAGTTGTTCCGTACCAACAGAAGTGGGCATTTCGCCCCACTGCAGGACCACATCCTTGATGATGCGTCCGTATGTGTTCACATAAACCCCTTCGTCCTCATAACAGAGTAACATCTCCATCCCATCAGAGCTGGGCAGGAACACAATAGCATGTGGGGTTATTTGGCTCTGAATCTGTGAACAGAATTACAACCATCAATTTACATACAAAAAAGCCAGAAACTCATTTGGAAGTAAATAGATTTTACATGAACAGGTATGTAGATGTCATAGTTGTTGCCAGAGTCCACATCAATGGCGTGGAAACCAGCAAGGGAGCCATAAATGACTTTGAGCCTCTGACCCTCCTCCACAGTCAGGTCCACGAGAACCGGTCGGTGTGGCAGATCAGAAAAAGACTGTTCACACAAGGAATACAGGTTAAGAGTTACCACAACTGAACCCTTATTAAAAATGTACATGAAATTCCATAGGGAAATAGAGAAAAGCTTACCTTAAAGGCCATGAATTTGTGATAAGGCTTTGGAGCCCAAGCATACACCTCTACTGCATTCTTCAAAGCAATCACCAGGAATTTGATTCTTTCATATTTGACTATAAGAATCATCAAAAGCAGACATTAAACCTCAGGGGGCTGATGGAATATAGGACAAGGATATGTTCAAGATATATTATTCTTTTGATGTGAAAGAAATTTCCCCTTACGAGCTAATGTGTAAATCATTTCATACATTTGATGACCAAAAAACACTACTAAAATCAATAACAAAAAAACAGATACAAATTTTGGAAAAAAATATTGTGGCAAGGGACTCATGCAGCAATTCTGCCACGTTGGTATCAAAAGCGAAACTTATACCACAGATAACATCGATCTTACAGAGTTCCCTTAACTGTGACTTGGAATAGCACAAATGGCAGCGATAACAAGGTTGTGGACAGGTCATGGTGGACATGTAACCACAACTCACCAACTTTGTAGTGAACACATCCCTCCATCTCGCCCACCGTGGTCCAGCCCTGTTTCTTCTCCACCTCAGGATCATTATGCAGGATCTTATTTCTAAGCCAGGCCAAGTAGTACACACGGACTTTGTTTTTCTTTCCTTGAGGGACAATGGAAATAAGAAAACTTAACATTTTTAGGGCACCAGGAATAGAATTTCAAGTGGCCACGGCTCCAAGTATTCAAAGACCTGATATAGTGATGAGCAGGTTGAGACCCTCCAGGACGTCCATCTGCTGGAACCTGCGGGAGTTGATTAGAGGATAAACCTTCCCTTGTCCACTACGGTCCAACAGCTTCAGTCCGTTTTCCGTGCCAACCAGCAAGTTCACCCCTGAAAACACAATCAGATCTTAACTACAGCACAAACCAATCTGAAGGAGAATAACGCAAAACGTGAAAAACCTCACCCCAAAGTGCAGCACACAGAATCTCAGAGTTGAATCTTTTCTTGTATTTCCGGATCTCTGGAGTGTCAGTGGGCGGCCGAGTGTTTGTGGGATTGACATTAACCATGGACCCCTTTCTCACTTCCATCTTCAGCTGTTCAAACCTTGATCCTAAAGATTGCACTCACTTATAACACAACATACAAATACAGTATTCAATTCGTAGAAAAAGCTTCATACAGACCGCTTAGGGATATGTTGTCTCCTTGGCCTGGGGACTGGTACATGCCCAGATCTACAAATGTCGTGAAGGAGGATTTTCCGGTGGCTTTGACCAATCCTCTAGACTGGTACTGAAACGTGCAAATAAAATGGTTTAAGAGCAGGACAAATTAATCAATCAGTAATTCTAGCTCGACAATCGTAATTATTCCTTTTTTTAACGCTCCATAGACTTAATATCAGTGCTCCAAAAAAATGTAAATGCTTTGTCTGACCTGGGTTTGTGAAATGCGCTATATAAAATTACGTTTTTGTCGAGAATACATTTTACTCATCATTGTTTTAGTCAAGTGTATACAAAATCCCGTATTAACTGACATTTCAGGACCTAAGAAACTAATCGATCATCAAAATAATCATCATTTACTTTGCTTTTTCAGATTTTTTTTTTTATGATCTTGAAAATATATTAGTTTTCCAACATTTCTTGCATTTAACTTACATCATAGACAGACTCTTTCCCAGGGGAGGAGTGGGAGGCAGAGTCTGTGGGAGAATGAGAGGGCTGAACCACGTCTGGTAAGTTAGTGTAACCATTATGGCTTCTCTTCTCTGGAGTCTTCAAGATACAACAAAAAAAAGGGAAAAAAAAGAAAAACGTTAAAAAGTCACTCAACATGGCTCCATATAATAAAATGTGTGGATTCAAATAACATTAACAAAAGGGGATTGGGGGATGCTGTAACTAAAATGATATAATAAATGGATTGTGATAATTATAATAGATAATTAATTCATTCTTGAATTCCCAATCGTTCATTCAGACTTCTTTGTGTGTGGAGATGGCTCACCCGCTGCACCAGCATGGTCTGATCGCCGTAGATCCTAGCCTGCTCGCCCTCTTCACCTTCATCTTCATGCACCACCATGGTGTTGACAGAATCGGTGTCTGCATCTCTGAGTCTACGATCCCAGTAAAATAAAAATATAATGAATTGATTCATTTCAAACCTGCACAACACACGTTTACTATATTCACAGAAAAAAATAATCAAACATTTCAATACAGGCGTTAAAATATGTTCATAAAATAAATTTGATTATGTGCACAGGCTGAAATTAAAACATGTAAGATAAAGAAAATGTCAGTGTTGCATCACCAGTTATACTAAATAAAATAAAATAAAAAATCTCTAACTCTAGCATGAAGAAGAAACAAGTATAAAATCCTTCCTTAGCGAAATTAGAACAAAAAAAACTGACTTGGCATAATAAAGAAGTGTAAAATCTCAGCCTTTGATATAATAAAGGGGTGAAAGTGTTCATACCGATCGGTGGGGCTCTCCTCCTCCTCTGGCCCCTCTCCACTCTCGCTCTCCTCACTGCTCTCGCTGCTCTCGGAAGACGAGGAATAATCATTGGCTTTTACTGGAGGTCTGGGCTGCTCCTCGGCTTTTTCCTTCGCATACAGGCCATGATCCTGCGTGTACATAAACGTATTAGAACACAATAGACCTCAAAATGTGTACTAGTTTTTACAACTAAAAACACATAAAATGAAACATGGAAAACACAAAATCGTCTTAATTTCCACCGAGTACGTGACAAATGAGACACCGGTACAAATTGGATTCAGTGAAATAAAATGTAAAAACCACAAATGCATGCGTTTGATCACGTTATGCAGATATCGTCATGACCATGCATAAAAAAAGAACATATGATTTTGCCGGAATGAGATACTAACCTCTCCTATAGCTCTCTTGTAACTCTGTAGTCAAACACATTATAAAGTGTAAGGAATTGTATTATAATAGCAAAAGTTGTCAAAACAGTTGCATCACTTTATCAACAATCACAAGCATTTCAATGAAAATGTTTTATTGAACCATTTTAAAATAGATGAAATAGACTCACAGCGGGGCGTCCAGGGCGTGAGGACGTGCGAGACTCCCCTGGCTTATGGCGATTGTCGTGGGACAGAATTGGTGAATCCATTTTTGAGGAACCTGGGGACAAAAGGGGTCCACCATTTACATTTTTATGAAGTGAGAAAGAAGTGCACGGGAACATACTCAGGATGCGGTGTCGCTCCAAGGAACCAGTTTGGGGCAAGTGGGAAATGACACTCATACCGTCTCCTCTCTCCCAGCGGTCATTGCGACTAAGATCTGGGTTGCTGCCATAAAGAAACCAATTATTATTCATAATTGTCATCTTTATCTGTCCATATGGATAGATAAATACCAAAGAGTTGTACCTGGCTCTTATTGGATGTCTAATGCCTGATGTTAAGTTTGTGTTCAGAGCTGTGGCAATTGATGAAGTTCTTTGGGGGATCTGAAGGATACAAAGAGATAAATGGCACTGTTCATAGTAATGTGAAACAGATTTGAAATATTGGGAGAAAGCCCTTACTTTGGGAGGCAGCTCCACATCAGGTAGGCGTATCCAGGGTCCACGCTCCTCTCTTATTTGATGCACCTGTGGGGCAGGGTTCTCAGAAGTAGGGTCTGAGTTTTGTCGCACCAACTCTCTAGAGTGAGTGGGACGGGGTGTGGGGGTGAGGGACGGGTCCTGGGTGGGGAAGGCAGACATGTTCTTAGTGGGTTGGTCACAGAGAGACTGTGAGCGAGGCACGGGAGCAGCATAGGGTTTTAGTGGCACCAAATGAGCCATCTGGAACTGTAGCAGCACCCAAAACCAGCAGCCACGTGTAAGCAAGGGAGGTGGGAAAATTCAGTGAAAGTCAAGAACAATTGTTGGAGAAAGAAGGGAAAAAAGAAAAAAAGGTAAGTTTAGAAGATAGCCAGAAAGTCACTATTAAAGCTGATTGAGAAGACAGAGATTGTCTTAGACCTAAAAAACACAGACCTTGCTCTGCCCCCCTTGGGGTTCAACAGGCCTCTGCATGGGAGGGGTCTGAGCAGACTGCGCCCCTGATTGACTGATTGAGTCAGAGCGAGACTGGATGGCGGTGTCAGAGACGGTGGTGCAGATCTTGGGTGAACCCTGTCTGTTGAGTTTACTTCGCTCCTCAACCTTTAAGAAAACAGTTAGAATACAGACGCACAGTATTTAAATATCTCAATAGTTTGATAAGACATAGAGGTTTACCTCACGTGCCCATGACGGCTTGTTATTAGGCTCCAGATTCTTGTTGTAGTGGTAAAGCTGAGGCTTCTTCTCTTGCTGCTGTTGTTGAAGAGACACCAAGTAGGCATGCTCCTGCTGCAGCTGCCTCTGCAGCCGCTCTGACTGTCGCTGCTCCTCCAGCTGCTTACGCTTGTACTCCTGAAGTCAACATTTACAAGTCATCACTCAACTGTAATTTAGGTTAATATATAGCAATCAAGACTTTATATAAACAACACAATTACTTCACTTTGTTGAAAATGTATATCAATTCAAGAGTAGAAGCCCAATTGTACATAGTATATAATTGTTGTTGTTAAATGTTGGTATGCTGGCATGTTTGATTAGTATGTAATGTTTTTAAGATCATGTGGCCAAAGTGTAACGGCACATTAGAGATCGACCGACATGGACCAGTCAAGGCTGATGGGTAATTTGAGTAAAATCCAAAACGTATCAATAATAAAGTCATGCCAGGTGGATGTGATTCTGCAATTTAGCGGGTTTGGTGCTAAAGTGTTAGGTAGCAGTTAGGACATTTTCAGAGCTTATTATATAATGCCTTGATTGATTTTAAAAAGAAGAGAAAAACATAGATATCAGATAGCCAGTATTTTGTTTTGTGGAAGGTAAGGATCGCTCATCTTTTGCAGCTGTGGTTATTTTTGTGTATTTTCCTTTTTTACATATGGAAGCTAAATGACAAAATAATTCGTTTTGGATCTGCGTTTGGATATTTTTAATATCCCTTCTGAACATATTAAGTACAGTTGGGGATGAAACAGAACTGGACCAAAGGAAAATAGGGAAGAGTTATGGAAACTAATTTGCAAACAATTTGTTATTAATGTGTGTGCATGTATGTTTGTCTCCAGACAGCACTGTGGCGGAGGCTCTCTCCAAGTAAGCATTCTCAATGTGTTCCGCAGAGTCTCCAAAACATGTTCTAGGGATGACAAGTCCAGTGAGAATGCTGGCCATGCAAGAACTGGGATGTTTCACGTTTTTGGATAAATCCAGGTTCATTGTTCAGAAACCTGTTTCTAGAAGTGGTGTTGGGAGATGTAGGATAAGTTGCGTTTTGATAAACAGACAGCTTCAAGCTACGGGTTAACCCAAAGTTATCTTGTTTGACCCAGAGTTAACCCAGGTTCAAGTAATTACGCTGCGATCAAGTTCACAAATAAAGCAGATGTTTATTGAGGTGGGATTTTGAAAGCAGAGATATAACGTGACAAGATCTTGAGTTGTGATCAGCTTTATAACTTTATTGATTTGGAGTGGAGCATTATTACACAGGTCACAATCAACAAACGAACAAAGGGATTTGTTAGTTATAATGTCTGAGGCATGTGATGGCCTCACCAGACAATGACCCGTTTCAGCAAAGAATAAGTGCTCTCTGAAACAGATTTGGACAGATTTCTGAACAATATCCGTTAGAGCTGAGTCTATGGAGCATATTGACAGAGTTTTATATTATTTGGTTGAATCCATAAAATAATTGTGTTCTAAAAGTGCCATGTGAACAAATTTTTTATCAAAAGGAATTTTATTTGGAGGCAGATACCATAAGTAGAGCCTGCTCCTGTAGTAACTGCTGCTGGAGGATTTCCAGCTGCCGCTGCTCCTCCTCTAGCTTGTGCCTGATAAATTCCTGCAGAGTAAAAGGGGATGATCAGGTAGAAAAACAAGCCGTGAAAACTTGCATTTAAACTATTTGTAATTGTTTATTTGCGTGTGTATTGTTGCATTTGTATATACATGTATTATGTGTGTTTATAAAGTACTTCGGAATACATTGTAAAATTGAGCTTTATAAATTTGTAAAAGTAGTACATAATTCATCAATAACAGGAAGCTAAAAACCACCGATAGAAGATGTACAATACAAAAAGTTACTGAATAACATTCAGAGGGACTGTGCTGCAATTGTCTAATATATATATCCAGAATATAGGGAGATGACATTTATAATTATCATCTCCCCAATTATATACACAAAGCTTTTTGTGTGCTTAGTACAAAAAACAAGAATAGAATATCTAAGCATTACTTTATTATTTGCAAAATGCTGATAAAACGGCTCTGGGTGGAGAGGAAATGAACAGGAGACACAACAAGCTCACCCACAAAAACTCATCTCTGAATAAATACTCTAATTTAGACGCTTGCTGCTATGGCAACCCACTCATGGAATTTCACTGTGCTGCTGAATGACACGCCCACGCTCCACTCTGATTGGGTCAGGGCAAACATGTCAGCATTGTGATTGGTTACCTGCTCTCTCTCTGCCATTCGTCTGTCTTCTTCCCTTCTCATATCGTCAAGTCTGCGATGGGGACCTTTTTCTTGCTGCCTCACCATTTCTCGCTCCTTTCGCTGTTGCTGTATGTGTAATCGGATGGACACAAATAATCATAAACACAGAAACTACTACAGACTGGTGTTTGTTTTGAAGCAATTGCCAGTAATGCAAATAAATGTCCATCTGGATAATGCTCTGAATGAGGTTTTTGACAGTTGTGTATTACTAAACAATTTAGTTTACCTCTTCGAGCCGCCGACGCTGCTCTTTCTGCTCCTCAATGCGCTTCTGTCGGTCGTGCAGTAGCTGTCTCTTGTGTTCCTCTGGGTCTCTGCGCTGAGCTGCCAGTTGGGCCTGTTGCCTTTTCAGCGCCTCCGATCGCTCCTTGTTCTCCTGCTGCAGACGCTGGAAGTCTCGCCTTAGAGTCGACTCCCCAGGCACATTCAGGATTGAACTAAAGTTCAAAAGTTCAAATTAAATCAATCAATCTACAAACTTTTAAAGGGGACGTAATGCAAAAGGTTGTGTTCATGTTCTAGAGTTCACTTGGATAGTAGGCTCCAGGACAACTCTGTTAAAGAGGCCGCTTTTAAGAGAAAGGAATGAACGTCCTTTCTACTGGCCCACATCACACCAATCCACCTATAGCCTCCGCTCAGCTTCAGAAAGTAGTCGGCCGTTTGTAGTTCAACAAGTTCAGCGGTAAAACAGCAGCAAAGATAGAATGTAGACCAACATTCAGTTTTAAGGAATCTCCAAAACTCTGGATTTAAAGCAACAACATTATCGAGCTGCTTCCTACGTACGTCCTCAACAAACAGCAACGATTGGTTAAAGTAAAAAGATACCCGCCCACTGTGGATTTTGAACTTCCTCATTCAGCTTGACCGAATGACTTTCTGAATTGCCCCTAAACGCATAAGCAGGAAAACAGACTCTGCTCCACTGATGTGAGGATATTTCTTTCTATCAAGCAAAAATGATCACTTAAACATGCATAAATTTCACTAAAAACGCTTTGAGTGTGTAAATGACAAGAAAAAAAAACTCAATCAAAAACTAAATTTAGAGTCACTTTTATCCATCCATCTTCATATGTATTATTTATTTTATTTTATTTTATTTTATTTTATACTTGCAAATTTTTTCTATTAAATAACAGTCTTCTCCAAATCTCAGCGCCTTGGTATCCAAATCACCTCTGGGATCCATTTTTAATAATTTGTCACAACATCCCATATTTCAGATAAATTGAAGTTTTGTGCACATCTTTGTGACAATTTGAAACAATGGACACCCTAGGAATCCATTTAACTCTTGTAGATGGGGTCTGACGTTGCAAAAGTGAAACAATAGGATGATCAGTCAGTAATTACCTGGATTCTCTGTCATCGCCTCGGTTTTCATCCTCTTCATCACTACCGCTGTACTCGTACTCCGTCTCCTCTATACAACACAGCAAACATCAGTAAAGAGAAAGTGTCGCTGTATTTTGCCAACATCTTCTTTTACACTCTTCCTACCCTTTTCCCCTCTTTTCTTGCGTGTCCGGTCAATGTGGTCTTTGAGCTGGATGCGGACCTGCCGCTCTGTCGCCTGGTCCCGGATAAACGAGTGTTTGAGGAGCTGCTCCGTGGACGGTCGGCTGGTATACGTCTTCACCAAACAGCCCTCGATGAAGTCAATGAACTTCTTTGACCTGTGAGTGTGCGGGCATTGTTGGAAAAGAAAGAACATAGCAGATAGTTTGAAGAAAAGCTCAGTAAGGAATGCTTCACTATAGCAACAATGCTGATGATAAAATGCAGTCCTTAAAGGGTTATTTTCATCAGTATCAGTTTTAACAATTAGTTCTGGAGATTAACAGCATACTAAGGCGGGGCTTTTCTTTGCATTGGCCTGGAAAGCTTTTTTTCTATTCCTATCTGAGAATTATACCAGCAGGTAGGATTACACATGTACTTGTTTGACAATGCAACAACAAATAGCTTACCATTTCTTCGACTTAAGTTTAGGGGGGGGATTCCGGGGAATCAAGAAGAGGGCTCTCATTGGGTGCATGTCACACAAAGCTGAAGAAATAAAAGGATATAGTGATGCAGCAGGTGTAGAGAATGGGGGCATAAAGCCATGAGCTACTGATTAGAGTAACATGAATGCAAGATCATATAATGGTGAGTAAATAATACAGGCCACCAATACAAACAGTCTCCTCAAAACATGTCTACAGCTGCTGTTATCCAATCTTTCCTGGAGCCTGGGGCTTAATGTGCAAGTGAATATAAGAACAAGGACTGTGAGTCACCCTTTTCCCAGCGTAGGTAGATAAACCGGACTGGGTAGCTACAGTTTCACATAAAAAGTCTAACATAACAGTTGTTTTGGATAAGCAGCAACCCCGATTTTAAAAAATGATGTGTATTTATTCTTATTTTGTCCACCCACAATGAACCTTTGAGCTAAATCTTTACATGGAGATTGACACATTTCGGCACTGATGGGAGCCGACTATTGTATTGCCCTACTGTCCAGCCAACATAATCTCAGTCTTGCCGCATTTCTCTTGTTTAATGACTCTGCCATGGGGTATTGTGCCTGTGTGTTTCTCTGTAGTACTCTAAGTGTACAACTACTGATACTGAATGAATTAAGCAGTGATGGGAGGAAGACCCCATTTAAATTACAACATATACTGTTGCATGTTGTATTTTATCAACACTTGCATTGTTAGCAACCTAACTTACATGTCACAACAGGAGAGTGGTCAACCCCAGGCCACAGCCACAATATGGACTGTGAAAGGCTTCATGTCCATTTTTAAAGTCACTTTGAACAATCTACGTAAGTCCATGCTTCCTCTAAATTGTTTTTCATTACAATGAGTCTACAAGCTCAGAGACCAGTGCAGGCGGTATGACAGTAAGACAGTGTTAGCATTGCACTTGTGCTTTTTCAATAAAACCAATAAAAGAAAATCCAACGCTAACATATGTACATGGACAAAGATATCAGGCAACTTCATTGAAATAGATCCAGTCAAGTTGGGAAAGTAAATGAAACAAAAGCATACTTCCAGTTTAAAAAATAATTGGCACAACTTCATTTGAATTAAGAACTTTAGTAGACTGTAGACTAAGCTTTGACAGTGACTTTAGCAACAAACGGCCTCCACAGGCTGGCTGCCATCTCACGACTACACCTTGATTACAGTGAGTCAGCGCCATCTGACAACACAGACAAGCCGACTAACCCCAATCCGCACATGACAGACACATCAATTCATGTCCATTCTCTCATGAATTTGTAAAGATCTATAAGCCCATTAAGTTATCAGAACACAAAGTGACTTACGGGGTGCTCCCTCAGCCATCTCGATGGCAGTTATTCCCAAAGACCAAATGTCACTCTGCAAATCAGACAATTTAGCATACATAATTAGAACAGCCTACTCTTCTACAGAAATATCAAAGATAATATAACAATATAACAGCAGGATACCCTGTAGTCATAAGTGGAGTCTGGGTTCTCATCACAGGCTATGACCTCTGGTGCCATCCAGTAAGGAGTCCCAATAAAAGTGTTCCTTCGACCGACAGTCCTGTCTAATTGAGCACTGACTCCAAAATCCACTGCAGAAACAGAAAAGGGGAGATGTTGAATGGCTGATGATCATCCAGTTTTCAGTTCCAGCTGGACAAAACTCTTACCAAGCTTGACTTCTGCATTCTCTGTCAGAAGGACGTTCTGCCCTTTGATGTCCCTATGGATTACTTTATGGGCATGGAGGTGGGACAGACCCTGTTCACAAAAACATACGTCATCAGCCTCGCCTGATCAAGAGCCATTTACACAATTTAAGAAGACAACTTATACCCGTAGGATTTCTCTGCAGATGTAAGCGATCCAATCTTCTTTTAAAGAGCTTCCTTTTGTGTTTTTTACAAGATCTGTCACTGATCCTGCCCCACAAAACTCCATCACCAACTGAAAAACATGAATCGCAATATATTATTCAAAATGAAAGGCATTAAAATCATATAGAATCTAAAAGGATGAGTACACACCCAGAGTTGATCATCATGCCCTGGTGGACTTTTCTTGACAAAAGCGCCGTAGTAAGTGGCAATGTTGCGATGGTGACTGTATTTCTTTAACATGTTGATTTCTGCTTTGATCTCCTCTTCCTCCTCCTCTGTAACATCCATCACCTTGATGGCCGCCAGCTGCCCAGTCTTGACGTGTCGTCCCTACAACAACAAATATATACCGGTACTAAATTTACTTTTGTGGGTTTCACAGCAGAAATGGCCCATAATAATTGTTTTTAGGCAGTTTTTTTCTGTAACTTTATGGAACAAAAAAGATTATTTGTATTAATTTTGGTTCATAAACAGGATCTTGCTTTAGAACTCAAAACATGTTACTTTACTTTGAAAAGATATACACTGCAAACAGCTATATGCCAGCTGCTTCAATGTTTGAACATGATTTAAGCTGGAAATGAGTAATAGAAGACATTTTCCAACAATGAATGACAGGAATGTTGTAAACTAATTCAAATTAATCAATTTCATTGTATTTCAATGGACCTTAAACTTAAGTGAAAAAAAAATTGCATAGTATAAAGTGTAAATTCCCTGTGAATTATCATTTCTTTGGTTTTTGACCCCATTATTTGGCTTAAAAAATAGCTATCATCTTATTTATTTATCCCCTAGGACTTGGGGAAACTTTCATGTTTTTGGCTCCCAGTGCATGAGCTATATAGAATTTATATTAAAGTAGTAGTATGGTTGTTTCCATAATATATATGAGGCTGAACATTCTACAGTGCTTTTTTCAGAATAAAAAAGTTTACACTTTTTAAGCCAACATAATTTGTGGCTAATATGCACAATTACTGACCTTGTACACCTGCCCATAGGTCCCATTGCCAACAACCTCGACAAGCTCAAAGATTCCAGCCGGATCCTGGAGGAAAACAAGAGAAGAATTCATCAGCTTCAGTATGTGACGTTTAGATCTATCTGGAACTAATGTTTTGTCTACACTTGTCTGTAAACAAGCTGAGAGAGGTAAGAGTACGAGAGGCATTTCTGTTTTCAAGGACAAAGCTGGCCAACAAAATTAGCAGTAATAGATCCTTCAAAAGTCTAATTTGTTTTGGGTGAGATAATGGCAAGGAAAAAACATGTCAAATTAATGCAATTTAGAAAAAACCCCCAAGAAGACAGTTTGATAAAAAACGGTTTAAGCCACATGTTTTTTTCTCCCTACAGCAGCACACCAGCAATATAATTTTGTAAATATAAAAATATATATACATTTTTCCTTGTTTATAACTACTTCATTTTTGGGTTCATCAAGGCTTCAAGTTTAGTCCTAATGCAATCCAATCCTGAATGTGTCAAATACATACAACATGCAGTGCATACGGATTTGGTGGAGCACCGATATGTTTTCATTTATCACAAAATATAACCACACCTCCAAAACATATTGAATTGGATTGAAAACAGTGTGAGACCAAGTAAATAATCATATTCCTGAGGTACAGATTTAAAGTTTATTAGCATTCACCAACACTTTACTTATACTCACACATCTAATAATATATTTATGACATATAAACAACTACTTCTTGGAAAATGATCCCAACCAAGTAAAAATTAAAAGAGGGACATATGCAAAGCCATTTGTGCTTATATTCTGATTCTAATAGACACTGATGATTGTGGCCTACACAAAATAACAATTATTTGTGTTTTATTTACTGAATAAATGTTGAACTTTATTACATCGTTATTATCATCATTAATATTAGTATGTTAAGATGTTTAGATGATAAAAGTGAGAAATAGTCGTTTGAAATTCATAATGATATATCCTCCAATGAAAACATACCCCTACATCCGCAACTGGCTATATTCACACTTTGGTTATAAGCAATCAAAGTCAAGGGGATTTCTATCAAAACATAACAAAGAGTGGACACTTTTAAGATGACCAACAAATGTAGAAAATACATCAGTGACGCACATGACTCATTATCCCGAATCATGAAGCACAGATCACACACAATCTATTGATACGAATAATGGGGAGGTCGCATTGATTTAATTATGTAATCCACTCCCCAGAGAAAACGAAAAGCTATTGCACTTTCACACCATTTCAATATAGCTTTAAGATGATGTGTGGGTGGAGAGGCTGCTGCTGGTTTCAAATGTACAGCATGACTTATCCAGCTTTCATCTGCTTCCAGTGATTGGCTTGAACCCTCCACAGGGAACGTAAATGCATTTGTGAGTGTGTGCATATAAAATACATGAAGGATAACATAAATCAGGCTTTAAGTTAGAGCATGCTTCATCTGGAGCTGTGATGTGAATCAGAGTATAAGGAACAATAATATACAGGGAGAGTGGGTGTTGAGGCAGAGGCGGCAAATTCACCCACGTCCAAAGCAAAAGGTGTGGGCTGAGAAGAAAGAAGTCAAGAGGAAGAGAACAGCTGCTTGGTGGACTAGCACCACCAATATAAAGTCATAAATAAGAGACAATGACCAGATAAACAGATAGAGTGTTTGGTGAAATGATGATTGTGTTGTTACACTGCAGGGATAGCTGTATAAAATAACTCCTTATCTGACCAGTCATAACCGTAGGATTAGGATATAATTAATATGGCTAATAATGCGATTCGATGCAATGCAATAAATCTAAATAGTTCCTCGCTCTCAAAACGGTTTGGCTTCAACACTAGTCTTCACATGCATGTATTTTGTGGAACGGTGCACCCTCACTCAGCTAATAAGCTCTCAACCCAAAGGGTCAAATAGTGACTTACAGAGCTGTTAGGCTTGCTAAGTATGCAAAAGACTATATGATTTCTCATAAGATAAAGATGGCGTGTGACGGTCAAATTTTCACAAAATGTCACTGTTGTAAACCTCTTTCTGTTGGGACAAAAAACCGTAGGTTCGAGCTTTAATAATGTTCATAAATGTGACTGTGTTTGAACATATATCAAAATGTAGGGCTTGGTTGGTCAGGCAAAATAACTCCTACATTTTGCCAAAGTGAGAGGAAGTGGACCATACGTTTCCTGCATTGACACAGGAAGCTCATCCAACTACCCTCACCAGCTGCAAGCAAGTCTATCAAGACTACCTGAACAAAACAATTATATTCAAATGTGTATGTATGTATGTGTAACATATATATGTGTATGTGTGTATGTGTAACATATGTATATGTAATTATATATATATATATATATATATATATATATAATCTACTGTAGCTGAACCACTGCACACATTTATAGTATGAAAGAGGCTTTGTAATTGTTGCAAAGTTACATAATGCCTGCCAATAGTGTGCACCAAATAAATCACAAGACTTTACTTTCTCACAAGAAAGCTGATAAGTCTGTAAATCTGTGTTGAAGTTGTTGCTTGTGTACACAATCTCACTCTGCATAATGTGTCAATTGGTTGTTTTCACAGTCTATACTCTTTTTTTATTATTATTATGTTCAAGATAGAAATGTTATACTTGTCCTTTGATGCTAGTTAGAGATTTTGTTTTATTTTTAATTAGTATAGCTATTGTTCATTTATCTTGTGCTGTGTGCTCCTCATTCCAATTGTTCTATAACTTGTGATGCAACACTGAAATTTCCCCACTGTGGGACGAATAAAGGATCTCTTAATCTTAATGATCACTGCTGCATAAGGTCAGAGGGGAAGTATATAGGGGACCAACGCTGAAAATAAATATGTGTTAATCTCTTATTTCTTAAAACTTCTTGTACATCAACAAAGAACGTGCAGGACAGACATGGTGTGTTCTGGCATTAGTTCATGTGTTCAGTTATAACCTGTGGAGTTAGTAAAGAACAGGATAAATACAACACAAATGTGATGAGGAAATTTGGTATTTCACCCATTCTCTCTTGCTGATTGAGACTATAGAAGACAAAAGCGGATGTCAAATACATTTACACTCAGATTTACATTCGAGATCAAGGAAACTGTCTTTCAACAGTGAAATAATACTCACCCTCAAAGCAGCCAGGTCTATGTCGTCCAGGCTTCGTGTGGGGGCGTTTTCAGACATTCTGACCAAACTTATTTATGTTAGCCAAGTAACCCAGTAATGTGCAACTAGCAGATCCGCGTTTGTATCCTTTATCGAATGCAAAAGCCTCGTTTTGAGAGAAAATACAACAGAAAGACCGTGGGAATATGACAAACACAGCGCTTAGACAAGCAAACACATTGCAGAATCAAGTGGCTCAGGCGCACGCAGCAGGCCAGCAGTAAAGTCTAGTCCAACGTTTCAATATTATCACCGGATTAGTGTTTCCATTTCAAAGGCATTTAACTTTAAATAACAATCGTGGGTCGCCAGTGGCGTGTTGGCCTGGTCTGAGAGCTGCCAGTCCTGCTCAATGGTTTACACCTTGCTGCGATAGAGACGTCGCGTCTCCTTTGCTTTGAGTCATCACAGGTCATCTTCAGGGAAAACTAAATAGGACAAAACTACCAAGTGGTGAATCTTCTGCACTGTTTATGAAGGTAAAATAATCAATATGGTCAAGTTGCGCAGACGCTGCCTTCAAGAACAACAATATCTGTGATGGCGCCCGAATCCGTCCGTACCAGAACCAGCTGCCCTAAGCATTACCCAAGCATTCAACTAGATCCACAAAACAGCCTCCAACATGCATTCGACACACAACACCGTCTCCACAGCAGCTGTCAAACTTAAATATGACTTCAATCTGCCGTAATTCCACAAATGATCAAAAAGATGGAGTCAAGCAGGCACAGTTTCGCATAACTGGCTAACCCACACGATGAAGGCCAACACAAGCTAAAGTATTTGTTCCATAATAAAGTTTCCTGGTTCATCCATGTTCTGTGTCCTGTGTTGACAGCCGCACTGAGCACTGTCCTCCGCACAGACCTATGGCACAGACCTCGCCTCCTCTGGACAACGCGCTAATTTGCGAGAACTGCGTTTTCCGACTTTACAACTTCTGCGTCTCAGCGAAACGGTGGCAACAGAAATACGATCCCCAAATGCACGATGCAGTGAACTTATCTCGCCATGTTTTGCTTTCCGAAGATCGCTCCCGCCTCCCTCCCTCTCCTGTGCTGCTGTAGTCTGATGGTGTAATGACGAGAAGCTGCACACAACACTCCTCAAGTGTTTTCTCCTTTCGGAAAACTACGGCGCTTCACTAGGGACAAACCAGAGGAACTACATTTCGAACTGCGCCAATTCAGGACAAGGTGTAAAATACAGTCCAGGGTTGTAAATAGTCTTTATACTGAAGCTCTGTAAAAACAATTGACGCCTACGAACTTGCAAACGACATTTAAGTGTTTGGATCTTTTATTTTAACAATGTATTCTATCCAGTTAATCATTTACATGTGCTTCACAAATGGGGCCAACAGTGTCTGCAGCACTGGGTCATATGTTGCCCATGGTTCTACAATAATCTAAAATATCCCCTTTTGAAACCGAGAAATAAAGCACAATAATCACACAGTATAAAACTATATTTAAAAGTGCTTTCAGTGGTATATATTCCAGTCTCCGATACAGAGCATCTAAGTAAAACTTTTATAGTGCTTTTTGGACACTCAAAGATGCTTCAAAAAACATAAAAAATAAACATTGAAGAACAAAATTAAGGAAAGGCAAGGTGAAACAATTGGGTTTGAGAAGTGATTTAAATATTTGGAAGAAAAGTGTAAACATTTAATTTCTGGGTCACTATTGTCACTATTGTGAAACATTAGTTAGAAGCCCTATACTTTGTCATTTTAAATAGAAAATTATATGTATTATATAAAAAGGTACATGAACAAGTTACAACATGGCATAAACATATTCTGATATAGGTACAGTATGCCTGCGGGGAAAGTCGGGGAAAATTCTTTTATACACATTTGCATTAGAATTACCAGTAAGTGTAAATGCATAAGGGTTGGGACCATTTATAATTATTTTTCATTTGAAAAGGATAAACCACATACACCAGTATGAGTGATCCCTTTTTGTTTTATCCTGCTGAAAATGAATGGTGCAATAAATTCCTTTTGCTGAATAGTTACTTAAAATTATTATTTTTAATGTTTTTTCAGTAGTATTTAGTTACTTCCCAAACACATAATAAAATACACAGAAGTAATCTATGTTGTGAGGGTCATACAGTTATCTTCTTCTCTCAGCACAATTCACACAGCCAGTTTTCATCTGACACATCAGCTGCTGGTTTCCGGTACAATTTCCTATTTTAGGCACCTTCTCTCTGCCCAATCCAGGCTTTTATTTCAGCTACAATCGAGTCATCTCTTTATATCCGTCACCATAACAACCACAAATGTTCTGACAGATTTGCTGGCACTGCAGCGAGAGGTGAGCGAGAGAAAGAGAAAAGACAGACACAGCCACCCACCAAAGAGCCTTGCCGCAAAACTGTAGGCTATGTTCCCCAATCATGAGGAACTCTCTGCAGTCCAGCAATTGCCAACACTTCTAACTCTGTTCTCATTCAGATATGGCATAGTAATGTAGACAGTATGAAACGCCTCGTAGCACAGTAAAGTACCCGCTTCGTAAGTGTTAACTACAATTATTCTAAAAAGGTATGTGCCAACACTCTGGAAGTCAGAGATAGTATGATAATTCCACTGCAATGCACAAACGTTATGTCCATAGTCCCAATGGAGCCATGCCTTCTTTAGTGTTGAGTGGAGGCAGCAGGTTCGCCGCGTTTAGATACTTCAGTGGGAAGTGCACCAGAAGGCCTCGGATGGCCTTGAGCTCCTCTGCCGCCTGCTCTGGGTCCGTGTCACACAAGCGCCCTGTAAACGAGTAATCTTTCGTATCCCGCATGGTGGGGGCTTTGTCACATGGCAAACATTTAAAGACCTGTACAACAAACATGATATTAACATTATAGACATAAACTCTTGAACACATCTTAAACAATCGTAATTACCCTGTCAAAAATGATGTCATTTTGCCTAGCAGCTTGATTCCAAACCAAAAAGAAAAAATCATCACTGATGGGATCGTCAAGATTGATGCTGGGGTCAGAAGCGGCTCCCACAAGAACACTGGACATTGCAAAAGTACATTAAAGTAACACAGCAAACAAAGATTCAACATTAGGATTAAAGGCAAGTGTAGTCTTAACCTGAAGCACTCTCTGCGCAGAGCGAGTGTGACAGGTCCAGCCTCATACTCCTGTCCATTCATCACAGATGGGACTCGCTCTTCATCTTCCACAAACACAGCCAACTCACTATCTCGGCTGCCCAGCATGCTGCGGTCATTGATGTTGGCAGAGCCTGGGACAACAAAAAAATAGTTTTGTGTAGACCCAGTTTATTGGAAAGTCTGCTCCATTATTAATAATTAAGGAAGTATTGTCTATTCACACAGACTAAGTGCTTTACAATTGCTGTGGAAATGTTTTCCCCTCACTCCACACACAGTGATGGAAGCAGGGTCGCCATACAAAATCAACCACTTTTCATTACATTTTTTTCAACATCAAAGGGCATTTGTCTAGGGACAAAGCACATTCCCATTGTAAATTTTTTTATTTATGGGGAGACAGTAGCTCAGTTGGTAGAGCATTGGCCTTTGGGCCTGGAGGTCGTGAGTTCGATTCCCACCATGGGATCTACTCCAACTGCTCCCACTGTGGCCTGACTGCTGTCGTTGTGTCCTTGGGCAAGACACTTAACCCCACATTGCCTGAAGCCCCCCGCTGAAAGATCAAGGCTGTTTCACAATTGACGGAGCAGCCATCTTCCTGTGGACTCACATTGCCACCCCCCCCGACCCAGAAATGGACAAATGGGGTTGAAAATGAAATGAAATGAAATGAAAAAAAAAAATGTTTTATTTAATTGTGAAATAGATGAACCATTATTATTCATAGTGTTTCCTCTTCACAAACTAGTTAACTATATATGAGTCGTTGGGGTGAACATAAATATAATGCGGCTTGTGGTAGCAGCGATACTGAGGGAGAGATTTTGACATGCTAGCAAGGATGCTAGCTTCGAGCCCCAGGTGGAGTGGGGCCTTTTTCACCATTACTTTTCCTATTCTAGAGGAATATTATTATTTGACTTCCCATGCACTGAACTACTTACCAATAATGTAGCAGCGATCGTCAGCGATGAGGGCCTTACTGTGAACATAAATGAACTCCGTCACTAAGGACTGGGAGAGCTGGGCATGGGTCCTCAGGCCACACACAGTGATGTACTCAGTCCACTGGTCTTTGACTACAACAAAGGACAACATGTTATCAACAGTAAAATACATACAACTCATACAGAGGTTCAAATGACAGCAGATTGTCCAAATGATGGAGGAAAAAGAAAAGTGTGATACCTATGATCAGAGACTTCATTTAAAAAGATGCAAAGAAACAGAGGGAAACATGTTAGAAAGAAAATATATGTGTTACAAAGATAAAGCCACTTACTTTCACCAAGCCTTGAAAGGATTGCATGTTCTCCACGACAAAGGGTCCTAAAATCAAACATTGTACATTTTAGTTTTCAAAGAAAGGTGGAGGTAAATTCATAAAAAACATAATACACAAAATAATACCTGTAAGTGAAGTGCAGGATAACATTAATGGCATTTGCCTCTCCAGACGTAACATCTCCCTCAAAGCCGGGAAGCAAAGGGATCACAATATAAACCCTGTATTTTTTTTGCTCCCTGCAAAAAAACAAAACAACTACTGATAATTCCATGTTCAGTTTCACATAGACATGTAACCAGAAGCCATGGTCTTGCCTGTGTGCACGCAAGATCCTGTTCACTATTGCATCTCCAATCCCATTGTAGACTGTACTTCCATCAGAACAGCTAATGAAAAACTGGTTCTGCACGCAATAAATGTAATGAAATTGTTGTGTACTTTGAGAAGTTTGAAGACATAACCACAGACAGTGATTTGTACAGTACCATTACTTATCATTTACATACAGTTTCAAGATACAAATGTCTATTTTTGTAGTATATTCTAAAAATTAAAAAAAAATGTTTAGTTTTACTGTAATTTTGCAGCATTTTGAGATTTTTATATTTTGAAATATGGTTTTAAACATCACAATGTGCAGAAGATTCAACTGAGCTTAAGCTTGCAATAATTGTGGCTCTTTGAGGAGTGGTTTGAAGACCACTGTTGCAGAGTAAATGTATAACTGCATTACCTCAATGTAGATGTAGTGCTCACTCTTCTCGATTGTTTGAAGATAGGCATTCAAGATTGAGTTTTCACAAGTTCCTGTAGACCATCGATCTGCTGATCTCAAAATCTACAACAAATCACATTCTTGCAACATTATGTTTACTGTGGAAAAGTAGTACATTGACAAAGTGTTGAATACAAATAAACTAAACTTTAACTCCTATGTGGAGCATGTTCAGGATCAGTTTCAGGCCTCCACCCTCAGATGAATAACTCAACATGTAACAAAGCCTATTGTTATCCTACAACTTGAGTCTAAGTCTGACATAAAAACTAGCACTTCCTGGATATCTTGGGATTTACAACAGGCCATTGGCATGCACCACATGGGAAAAGAAATAACAGCTCAACTCCAGGTCTTTGTGTTGGCGACTATATTGCAAAACATAAAGCATACATTAGACCAGAAGCCTGAAGTTAGCCCTTACTGCAGGACACTTGGCATATATTGAAACTCAAAATCTGAATTAACATGTTGAAATATTCAAATTAGTCTTTTTGAAATAAAATACATTCAGTTAATACCTGTACTTTGGCTTTCCTGGCCCCAGGCACAGTGAATGGTAGATCTTCAGCAGTGCAATGAGACTTTGGAAGAAGGTACGGGTAAAAGTCATCTTTGTATTTGCTCTTGAAAATCTAAAAAAGGAAGAAACAATATTTCATCTGTTAAAAAACAAAAAAAACCAAATTCTTGTTTAAAAAACCACAGGATGAGTTATACTTTTGTGAAGTTCCAGCGTTGGATGAAGTGACGCGCTAGATCTCTGGCAGCATTTCCATGAATATTTGCTGCAAGATCGCGCCATGGCATGCGAGGAACCTGGCTACGATCAATATTATCTAAACAACCAAAGCCATGAGTTTCCATTGACATAAGGCATTCGACTCTGGTGTTGAAGCAGATGACATACCTTCAAATGGTTTATCCAGTTGGACCCAATCTTTTTTGACGAAGTTGCTGTAGTCTTTGCCGAGCCACAGTTTAGTGTTGCCCCTCAGATCCACAGAGTCTGTTTCTGGTTCAGATGGAGGACCATCATCAACAACGGTTTTCTGTAAAAAAAAAAAAAAAAGCAGTCTGTGCTGGTGTTCAACAATTTCATACATATTAAGATAAAATTAAAGTTTATTGATATCAGAATGGAGAAGAGATTGGACAATGTACATGTTACATTTGGCATAAATAGGATCACTCAGGGTGTGCAAAAAGACAGGAAATGTGCAAATATGTTAAAAAAGGGAAAAACAGCTATAAAGCAACATTACCTCTGAATCTTCTACATTTGGGTCTGCTAACCCAAGATCAGTGAGTCTGTAGTGACTATCATCCCATCGCCCAAAAGCCAGGTCGATGCCTCCAACAAAAGCCACTATTTGGTCAATAGCAACCATTTTCTCATGATGAGCCCAGAGGAACACCACAGAGGAAACATGGTCTGGATGTCTCATGACCTGACAGACATTAAACGGTTCATGACTAGGTAGGTTGCTGTTGAGAAAGGGAAGTTATATATGTACATGAAATAGATACCTTAATGTTGGGGTGCTTATCCATGAGGACCCTCTTGCTGTGCTCACTGTTGATGCCAAGTGCAAGTTCTACCTCTTTGTAAAGTAGAACACAAATTTTGACTCCTTGTTCCTACAGAAATAGACTGACTTATATCGTGCAACAATGTACATTACAGAAAAATGTGGAAGGCAACCTACTGCTTTGCGTTTAAGTATCTCATCCAAACGCCAGTAATTGTCAGTTGCAGGTCTCTTGAGGTATATTTCAGGACTGAGCCTAAAAAATACAGACATACCTTGTTGTTTAAAAATCGATGATACTAACGTGAACACAAATAATATAAAAATTAAAACAACTTTATTTCAGAGTACTCACCACCAGTCTGTAATGAATATTTCCTCCTTCGCTTGTTCAAGGGCATCAGCCAAGTCTGCCAAGTATCCACTCCCATTCACATACCTGCATTCAATAAATGAAGTTAAATAAAGACATAAAAGCGGATTAAAAAAAAACATTTATTGTGGAACAACTCTGACCATTTAGTGAGTGTGTTTTCTCGAGGCGGAGCAAACCCTCCAAAGCGCTGTTGTTTGAAGTAGTCACAGGATTCTGCAAAACGGTTGATTTCATGACTCCACCAGTGGGTCTGTCTGTAGCTGCTGCACTTGATTATTAAGCTCCTAGACACAAAAGACACATGAACATGAACATGAACCTTTTCATGCGACACACAAGAATGCCCAATGGGAGACTAACCGAGTGAAGTTCTCAAAGCACACTCCATACGTGGTGTCTGTGTGGGCACGACCGACTTTCACTTTGAACTCGGGGTCAAAGAGCAGCACAAAGTTTATACTGCCATTGTCTCTGTCCATGTATAACAGGAAAGAATCCTTAACCACGAGCCAGCGGCGCGACCAGCGGAAACAAATCTGATGATGGCCAATGCAGTTCAAGCCCTGAATACGATGACCCCCGGACCTCTTCACTATGGGCCCCTCACTGAAATGCGTTGCAAACAGGGTCACAAACCAAAATCTAAATTCATAGTATGTAATTCATGGTATGTGACTTACAGGCCTTTTGGTCCCAGATCAGTGATGAAGGAAAGGGCACCCACTGAGAGAAATTCGAACTTAAAAATAAACAGAAAATGTGTTCATTAACACAGTATAGTTGTTTTTGTCAAACTGTGCCTCATACCATGCTGTGGTCATTTCTGCAAAATCTATTTTCCAACAAACTATTGAGATGTTCTTCCAGATATTTCTACAGCAATAAAAGGAAGTTTTGTAAGAAAATTATAGTAAATTAATAATGAAATACTGTTTAAAAAAATTGTAAATGTATGACCTTTTCATTACCATTTTGCTTGATGTTCTTCTTGAGCGTTCAATCCCATGAAGACTAGGCATTTCTTCGGACATGTCTCTCAGCAGGTGTCTCTCCTTTGCAAATCTGTATCAAAGATTTAAATATTCAAACTTTCTACAGACAGAGTAAGGTGACACTTGTTCAGCAGTAAATTCTGGACATTCACGGATAGAATCTTACTTTCCCAGTGGCATAAAGTGAAGCATCATCTTGTGTTTGTACAAGTCTCGATGAAGCTCCTGAAAGTGCTTGTACTTCCTCTTTACTATCCAGTGAAAAGGCCCATGGGTGAGACGCACAGTGTATAAAGTCCCTACACGCACCTAAAATAACATTTTAGTGAAACAATGTTCATTCAAACTATTCATATCAGTGCTAATATAGTCTTTGATGTCCACTGGATGTATACCTTGGATCTTGTGGTGTATTTCTCCGTATTGTCCACATGACATGTTACTGGGACCCCAGGAATCAAGTACGGAACGCCTTTTTCTTTTATTTCTGGTAGATGATGAACCACAAGGAAAGGACGGCCATCTAGAAAACAAGTGAATAAAAAGGGGGGGTGGGGGGATTCAAGCTCTTACATTGCATTACATTGTAACAAATTTACAATACAATATAAACAGGCTATTTGTTAAAAATGTATTCACCGCTACTGGACATGAGGCCATCCATCTCATCTGGACTGAGCACATGGAGGTCATGTGAGAAGCGTCTACGGCTGAGTTTTTGGGCAGATGTCTCATGGGCAAGAGGCTCGATTACTTCTTCTGGACCTGCCATGGTTCTACAGATGTTGAAATTAACTGAAACAAATAGGCTTTTATTACATATTGGAAATGTTTTGATTGGATTTAACGCTGTCTTAAAATCATGTTTTGCAGAATTGCAGCACATGTTTTGGAGTCTGTAACAAGAGCAGTCAGCGATGTATTAATCACTTTATGTATGCACTTCTCAACAAAAAAATATAGTAAACTGTTGAGAACTCGGATAACTACACTGATATTATTGACTGTGACAGTGAATGTCTTATTATTATGTCACACTTTCTAGACATGACTTAAAATTGCTTTATCATTATAAATTATTATCATTTTATAATGTATTGTGTTTGATGCACTGCTACAACAAAGTAAGTAAGTAGTAAGTAAGTTTTATTTATATACCGCCTTTCACAGACCAGAGTCACAAAGTGGTTTACAATTGTTATGTTTTTTTGGGCACTTGTCCTCTCACTCCACACAGAGATGGGAGCGGGGTCGCCGAACAGGAGGCGCATGCCAGACCTATTGTACATATTTTTAGTGGTAGGGGAAACCGGAGTACCCGGAGGAAACCTACGCAGACACGGGGAGAACATGCAGAAAGGCCCTGGGATTTGAACCCAGGACCTTCTTGCTGAGAGGCGAGAGTGCTATCCACTCAGCCACCGTGCCGCCCAAAGACAAAACAGTATTTCCTTGCTCCTCATTTTGCATGAAAGAAAAAGCACATTGCACATTGAATCTTGCAGCACTGGTATTGTTAAGGATGTGTGGGTGGAAGTCCTGAATGGCTGTCGGTTTCCCAGGCAACCGCAGCTCCAAATAGGAAGTGTGTGCTGTGTGAATGTGACAGAGTGTGAGAATGGAGCATTGGTGACGTTACGCAAGTGCAAGACCAGAGCAGAGCATCCATGTGGGTAATTTCAGGTCAGGTGAAGGCTCCAGATCTCCTGCTAGCCAATAAATATTGGTCTAAACCTACTAGCATGTGTGCCTCCTCCTTGGCATAATGGATTGCATCATTGCTTACTGTGGAAGGAGGAATCACTATCCCTTTCAGAAGTTATGTATACATAATATATTGGTCACACATAAAATACACAGCTGAAGACAGGTATTAGTCAATAATTGCTATAAATAATGGAGCAATGTTTTGTTTATATCACAAATATAATGAAAAACAATAGCCTGTAATTAATTATTACAATGACCAAAGTTTTACAAGTCTGTTTGGATCAATAAAGATGAGTGACAGGATTTCAGGAATTTGAATAATAATGATGATAATCAATCAATCAATCCTTTATTATCTCACATAACTTTTCCCAGTGATTTCACAATTAGAGTGAGGGTTAATGAGTTAAGTTCCCATTTCGGTTAGTTACACAATGTATCAATTAATTTGTGACATTAATAACTATTTAACGACATATTTGTTGTACTTTTTATGTTAATTTATTGATGGAGTGTGTGGGTGTGTTCAGGTCAGACCAGCACATCTCCATGGGTCTGGTTACACTGAACAATTCGGCCACACCTCAGGCTTTTAAGGCTGGGTGTTAGGCAGCAATTCTCGGTCCTATGATAGACAAGTAGACTATGTTAAATGTATGAACGGTCAGACCATGGTGAGGCACATGCATCGCATTATTAGTTCAAGTGTCAACTCAAGTTCCACGCTCATCCTTACAGACAGACGGGAAACAAACACGTTATGGAGACAACACGCCACAAGTTCCCCAACTATTAGTCAGCAGCACTTCTCCTCTACATCTCCACACACAAAGTAAGATATTCCACGGTAAACTAAAGGCTAAACTTGGTCGATCTCCACCCAATCTTCGTTCCCTTTGCTCTGGCGCCGCATTCCATGTATTTTCTCCTCGTTTCACCTTTAGTGTCATAGAGTTATTCCATTAACTTTTTCGTCTGATTGATGGTCATATGTGCGCCGTTGTATCTGTGCCTTATGTCAGAACTCCTTGAACTGTCCAAATTCACAGCCGAGCTAAATACATCTCCAATGAAACAACCATGCTACTTACCCAAACTCCACGGGAATTAGAGAACGCGGACTTCTCTGCACATATCCGTCTCAAACTTGCATTCACAAATGGAAAACACGAAGAAAGGGCTGTCTTTCATCGCGTTTTCAGAAAAAGTTCATTTGTATTCTATTCAGACAGATTAGCTGATGCATACACATCGTGCTTAGCCCCGCCCCTGCCCCTGGTCATGCTAATGCTAATGCTAATGCTAACAGGAAAACTTTACAAAAGTCGCACAGACATGTGGCACGGCCTCGGAGCACACTGAAACTAAACTACTGCTGGGTTTTCAGACTTCGTAGTATTAGCAGTGTGGGTCTAACATAGCAGTCACACGGAGAACCCATTATAAGACATGTCCCGACTAGATTTGGGGAGGCTTCGAAGGAGGAAAAGGGCGTGTCGAAGACGAATGTCCGAAAAAAGGTACCATTTTCACCCATAACAACCAAATAACAACATAGCGACGATTCCCACCCAGAGCAGCTAACGGCTTTCATTCTAGCCTGTTCACCTCGTGGATCTATTATGGTTCACCTATTTTCCTTCTCGGATATATTAGATTGATAGGCAGTCAAGGTGAAGTTGGATTAATTAGTATTTACAATCACAACATCACTGATTTGGCGATGTACAAAGACGTACACAAGTAACGCTACCCAGTCTCGTCTAGTAGAGTAGTCCCATCCCCGTCTCATCTTTTCTGTGTCACTGTGGTCACTTGCTAAACGATTGTACTGCCTGTTCCCCTTCAAACCACATGGAGGCGCTCAATCACAATGAATATTAACTAAAATGTCACTTGTGCATCATCAACAAACACCGAGGTAATCAAGGGTTAATAAGAATGTTTAATACAAATTATATGGTGTAATAACAAAATATAATGCCCAAAATAAATTTTGTAAATTTACATAAAGGGCTGTGGTACAATAAAAACGAGACAAAAGTTCTCATCACATACACAAGGGTGTTTCAAATAAATAAATAAATAAATAAAATATGGATTAAGGTTTTTCTTTTCTTAAATTAAAGCTGGGTTACCTAACTTTCAAACCACAACAAACGGAGAAAAAAAAGTCACTTTTTACTCACTCTCTAAATAGGTTGGTTCTATCACTAGTCTTCACACGCATGTATTTTTGGTCTTTGTCCCATCTTTACATCTGCTTTTTCAAACAGAAAAGTGCAAAAGAGATTTACCCAAAGTATCAAATATTGACTCACATGGATCTTTCTTAGAAGTGTGTTTTCTCATAAGCATGTCGTGGTCTTATTTGTTCACATTTTACTCTGTCAAGACTCTTTCTGCTGGACAATCTACATGTTATTAATGGATCAAAACTTTAGGTACCCCAGCTTTAGTGAAGTGGCTCACATGCACAAATTCTCAATGTAAGACAGTACATGCAGTGGAAATTATACTATTCATTATTGCTGCTGTAAGAAATGACAGTGTGTTTTTGCTGCCCTCAAAAGAGTTGATGCAGTGTTCAACATCCACCTGCCTTATGCATCTCCAGATGTCCCCTGTCTCTTTAGCCAACCCCAGAGGCTAATATGAACACAAATTTGGTGTTAAAATGACTTAACACACACTCTATTTGTGTAGAACAATCCCATAGAAGGACTGTTTGTCTTTACGCTAAGCAAGAGCTAAATTGCCCATTATTTTAAAACAAATCACAGGTGAAATATTTTGTTCTAACTTGGACTGTATTTTTTGTTTTCACCAGGAAATGGGAAATCTGGTGCTTGATTGAAGTGCCCATTGAGGAAGATAGCAACTGTGCCGATGATGAAGAGGAAAATTGCAGCCCAAAAACAAACCTTGTCAATCATCTTTCCAATTAGCACCCAACTTTCAATCTCCTGTTGTTGCAAAGAACAAAGGTATTGTTAAGCTTGCATTAAACTTCACTAGCAAAAGAAAATGGGTCATTGAATCTGGAACTCACAGATCCAATGGTGTTCTGCTGTCTTGTGCTCTCTGCGATAAAGTTGCAAGCATCGACACACTGCTTGATTTCTGGTGCTGCTTGGGCCAAACTCTTGTAAAGATTAGCGGTGCCACTCACATCCATGTTGTCCACTGTAAGAATGAAGAATCTTATATTAAAGGTGATGATTTTTATTAAGCCAAAATCGTACTGTCAAGTATCAAGTATCAAGGGGCTGTAGAATTATAGGCCAGTTGTACGGACTCCACCCTCTGCAAAGGCATGGAGAGTGTGATCTTATTGGACACAGTGTGCTGATATCTTGACACTGCCCATCTGCACACTGTGGACCATAAAAGCTAAGCAGGACAGGACCTGATTGGTACTGTGATGGGAGACAGCGGGGAACACCTGTTGCCATAGTGGGGCGGCTGGAAAGTGACAAACTGTCATTGTTTGGCACTTTACAATGACAGTTTGGCACACACCTTACTTACATTGCCTGATAAGTCAGGTGTGTACCAATTCAACACAACTTCATGGTTAAGCAGCCAAACAGAGGACAATCACACTGACCCCTCTCACAATCACAGCCATGTTGGAGAATGACATGAGCTCAGAAATATAAGATCTACAAGAACTAATTTGTTCCCTCCGCCAGGTTTTTTGTCTGGATGAAGACAGTGGGTCTTATTGATCCAATATTTAGTTTTGAGTAGGAGGTTACTCAAAACCTCCTACTCAAAGGAGTAGACATCTTATGTGTATTTTTCATACACATAAGATGTTATTTTCTCTCCTGGATAAAGTTTTATTGAGTATCTTCTTAGAAACAAGCAGGATACTAAAACAACCTTACACAACAGTACCTTGAAAAGTATACATACCCCATGAACCTTTCCACATTGGATCTTTTTACACTTACACAAACACAAAGCTTTTGTTGGATTTTTGTGTGAAAGATGATCACAAAGTGGCAGACAATTGGGAAATTAAAGTAAAATGTGTATACTGTATACATCTTTGTATGTGGTCGTAAGTAGTCAAATGGTAAAAAAGTTTATGGGGTATGAATACCTTTTTGAGGCACGGTCTATCATCAGTTCTGTACTAACCAATGGATCTGGTCAGCCCATGCCTCTCTCTTTGTTTGTCGAACATCATTTCACTGCGAGGCTGTTTGAGCACATATTCTTCTGCCCTTTGCATCAGGCCAAAGGAGCTCCTACGCCGCTCTATCACCCCATTCACCTCTTCTGCCTCCTCTGTCTCATCAATCAATGGAGCCATGCCCAGAAGTTGAGGAATCATCTTCAGAAAGAGCTACATCAAAGGTAACCAAAGTACTATTAGTTATTGCCCATTATCTGCATCATAATACTTGTCACAGGCACAGTAGGTACTCCTCAATACGGAAAGTAGTCATTTCATTGGACCTGTCCTGAATAGTTCCAGAAAGTACTACCTCTTTACTGTAGTAGTAGTAGTAGTAATTGGAGTCATAGTAGTCTGAAGTAATTAGAATGACCTATTAGAGTACAGTGTCCATTTGAGCTTTTGAATGTAGACAAAGAATAAATCATACATACATGTTTGACACTGTGGGACATGGTGTGAGTACTTGGGCTGCGTAGAGAGACATTTAGAACCACAATTTGATTGGTTGCGATAAGCGTTGTCACAGACATTACAAAGATCAGATACCTAAAAAGAACGTTGATTAGTAAAAAGTGAATATAACTATTCTTTTGTGTTTGGATGCAGACTTACTTTCCAATGAGCGGTACAGATAGGGATGTTTCTGGAATTTTCTGTGCAATAAGAAACAGGAAGACAGTCTGGGCCAGTAACACTGATATGGACACAGTTAGCTTCTGGCCTCCAGCTGCGGAAGAAAATTTACAATGGAGAAACACAAAAATATAGAAAATGCATATAAATGCGACAGAAGACGATGCATGTCTAACATTTGAAATAAAAGTCCGCCATAGCACTCATGTTAGTTTTGTTATGATAGCACAGGTACATGCATGGTATAAACGGATACTTGCTGACCCTGCGCTGGGAGGAAGTAGGCGAGGACGACAAGAGAAGAGATGAGGGAGCAGGGAAGAATGATGTTGATGACATAAAACAGAGGTTTCCTTTGAATGATCAAGTTGAACGTGATCTCCTGATATTCCAGATCATCTGGAGAGTAACGAGAGTCTATTCTTTTTCTGGCTGGACGGTGGACAATGGCCCACTCACCATTTTCTAAAACCAAAATAAAATCAATTAACAATTAACTATAGTTAACATTTTTGACACATTTAAAATGCGGATTGCAGTGACAAGAGTGAGATTAAACCATCAAGGCTTAGTAAGTAAGTAAGTATTTATATACCGCCTTTCACAGACCAGAGTCACAAAGCGGTTTACAACCCAGTAATATAGCACACTTATATTCCATTGTTTCTTTGTCTTTTTTGAATAATACATATCTTTTGATTAAAATTGTTTCTACTCTGGCTAAAGTGGCTTTTTAAAACATGCAAAAAATGTTTTGACTTTGTTTCTTTCACAATGTATCAAGCCATATCCCACCTGTCTGTTGATGTTCTCACTATTATAATTTTCATTATGAAACAGCATCCAACCTGGGTCGCAGTTGTAGGGGTATAAAATAGTGTTTCAGTGATATATTACAATATAAAATCCAACAGTTCTCCTATATAAATTGAAAACTTGTCATTCTAAAAAAGATACTTACAAATAACATACAGTATCTCGCTTCTCACGAGAGCTTATTTGTCTTATAATTGTGATATAGTGTATCGTATTGTGATCTGTGTACCCTGATGCGTATCATATTGCCAGATACAAGGGTCGCCCCTTGAAGAGTGTAATTGTTTACCTGTAAAAGCTTCTGGATCAATATCAACCCATTCGATTGTTTGCCCGTTGTCTACTGCCAAGGTCAAATCGACTTCATTGGCACTGTACGTCTGTGACCTGGAGCAACACAGTCCTGGTAAAAGCTCACACAAACAACACACATAAAAGGCCATGGAAATATCTTACCTAAATGCAAGTGTGCAGTTTTGGTAATCAAATGGGAAGTAGGTAATTTCAATAGCACATGTGCTGCGGTAGATAGCAGGAGGAAGCCAATACATCCAGCCATCATTACTGATCAACACATTGGCATAGTAAGCCACGTCAAACTTGCCATCAATACTGTAGATCAATGTTAAAACGAGAACAGGTGAGGGAGTATTATAGAAAAAATACTTATAGTAAAATATTTGACATACTTATTTTCAAGGACTATGTCAGGCAGCCATACGGTGTTGCATGGGACACGAATAACACTTATGCCATAATACTCTGAGGCATTCCAGGAAAGACGATAATCTACCCACTGCTAAAAGAATGAATGGGCAGAGAAAGTCAAAACAAATTAAGCCCAAAATTACAACAGCAGCTCTTGGGCTTAACAAAATAGATGTATACAAACAAATAGATAAAGCTAAACAAAAATGTTTAGAAAGGTATAAAATAGTACAATGGAAATAAATCTTACAATTTCAATCCATACATTGGTTGTAAGAGTCTCTTCTTTTTCATTCTGGAATATTGAAAAATTATAAACTTTCCAAATGTTTAACTGGTTCAAAGTATGATTCTTACCAGTGAGATGAGGTTAGTAAGGGTCAGCTTTATCATAACCTCCACCTTGTCTTCAGGTTTAACCACTGGTCGAATGTTTTTGTTGTAGTTTTTGAAGAGTTCACGGATTAACAAAGTCTCTTCATTGCACTGCACTGTTCATTGACAAATAAGAGAATAAAACAGAAATACATTATAGTTCCACAAGAACCGGGAGACTTTACCACCAATGACACCTTTACAGTGATTAAATACACAAAGGATATTGATAATGGAGACAACAGTGGCTACGTTACCAGGGATACGATTCAGACATATGTCACATGTACTTTGCACTCACTCTATGCTGATGCTGTGGACGGATGAGTAAGACCATTTTCAAAATTATATCATTGTTATGGGTCCATTCAAGCGTTTCCATAACCCATTTTGCCCTTTCACTCCCTTGACAGGCAAAGATATGGAACACTTCTGTTTAATTTGCATATGGCTATTAACATTTAACATGCTAGAAACGCATGTCTTTCTATTTGCGCTTGACTGATCTTTTTGTCTTGTCTATATCTAAAACATAGGACCATGTGATACAAATCTTTGGACCTTGGGGGGTTCTTTTTTTTTCTTTTTCATTTAGTTTTTTGTCAAAATACACCTGAAAGTTGATGTAAACCCTAATTAGGCCGAGCCAATACGAAGTATTGGGGAGGCCTATTGTTATTCACCGGTTTCATATTATTCTTTTTTTTCCGCATCTTCAATTCGATTTTTGACCCTGAAGACATGCACGAAAGTTTGCACATGGGGGGTCTAAAACGACCGGTCCGGCGAAAAATTTGATAAAATGAACGTTTCCAGATTGTCCGACGCTCGCCGACTCTATAACGCCCCCTAGAAATTTCATTTTTTTTGACCCTCTGGGGATTTTTTTTCAAATATTGGAGTAGGTACACGAAATTCGGATGAGTGATAGATCTCTATGAGACGAGCATAAAAGCCGTTCTAAGCACATGTCTGGGACCGACAGGAAGTCGGCCATGAGGGGCCGAAGTTTCGCCACTAATTTGACTTTTCATTTATAAATTCGAACTAGTCCCTGGTTTTTCATCACACAGAGTTCTACCACGTCATTTCCCGCTCTGGACGGATTGAAGTTATATAATCATCGAAAAAAAGTTAGAAAATCTTCACCGTTTTCGTCCCTCGCCATGGCGAATAAGGCCTTCGTTTTGGCCATTTTCGCTGAGCCCTGAGGGCCACAGGCTCAGACCTACAGAGCTGAGACTCACATCAGTAATATTAGGTTATGGCCTGAACGCAATGACACTAAAATCATTCGCCCAATTTGAGCTCTTTAGCGCCACCTGTCGGAAAGTAATAGGGCACTAGTGCTCGGATCGGCCCGAAAATCGCTGAGTGTATTCTCTGGACCGACACGAGCAAAACATTACATTACGCAAAAGTTGTAAGTCCTACACCTGACCACTGGGGGCGCTGGAAAGTGAATAAATGAGCTTTTTAGGGCAAAATGTTTGTCCGATGAGGCTAAAAATGAATTCAGAAATACAACGTATGACCCTGAACACAACGATATGCAACACACAACTGTGAGTGCAACAGCGCCACCTACAGGCAGTTCAATGTGTTGCATTTTTGGCTTCGTACTAGTCCCTGGATTTTCATCGCACAGACTTCTACCATGTCATTTCTATATCTGGACGGATTGAAGTTATGTAATCATCGCATAAAAGTTAGAATTTTGTTATCGTTTTCATGCAAGGTAGTGGGGAATTTCTCCATGTTTGATGCTCTCCTGACCACAGGCTCAGACCTACAGAGCTGAAACTCACATCACTAACAGTTGGTAATGGCCTGAGAGTAATGGTGTGAAAAACACACACCTAATATGACTCTACAGCGCCACCTATGTAAGGCTTCTGACCTAAACTTTTCCGATCTTCACCAAAGTTGCAAAATCAAATCTTTACATCTGTACGAGCAAAATACTACTCTACGTAGAGGGTGCATGTCCCGGAGGTGACCACTAGGGACGCACTTTATCATATAAATGAGCTTTTATATATGTAATCCTGGTCAGATCGGGCTGCCAATTCGTCTGCGTGACGCTTGTGGGACTGGCGCCCAGGAGGCGGTCGCAAGAGGGGCGAGGCCTTTCATCGCCGCTTGCGGCTTTAATTGTAACTTGTGCTTGTTGCTTGTGCAATAAAAATAGTTAACTAGAAACACATATGTCACATTAGCCAATAACCACCAGAAAAATTAAGATAAAATATGAAATGACTGAACCTGACTGTTTTGTGACACATGCACTTGAACTTGAGGAGGGGCCGAGAAAGGTCATTCCTAAGCCTTGTCCATCCAAAGCCAACTGTCATTATAACGGCTCAAATTACGAAACAGCTGAGCTTCCTGAAAGGAGGTCGCACCTCTACTCTCAGGTCACCACAAAAACCATCATTTTTATCATGGGAGAAAATGATGACAGTAGCGCATTGTGAAGTATTTAAGATGTCAGCATGGAGTGATGGATTCAGCTATGTGTTGAAAAGGGTGAAGAGTCAGACAACTTTTGAAATGAATTAGTCAAGCTTTTACAAATACTGTAAGTATTCGACTTTTATGCTTGGGTATACAAAACATTTATCAATCTGAGTTTCTGACAATTATTGTATATTTACCATCACCTGTCTCAGATAAGTAGAATGGTGCCTTTAGTAACCATGTGCAGTATTAAACAATAAATGGTAACCCCCCCAAATGGTAGATTTTTTTTCTCGCAGTTTTGACGACAGTACATTTCATAAATTAATTTGTGTGTCCGAAAAGCGCTTTATACTGTAAACCTGCCAGATATATTATACATTTTATATACACAAAAGTGCATTAATGTCTGTTGCCTTAACAATTACTGCTCCTTTATTCTATTAGCAAGTGACTAATCCAGCTTTCTCATCAACTTTGTCTGAGTAAAAGTTAATAATGACATTCTTAGTTAAAACATTTTTGGTCTTATTACATAAATGTAAGGATATCAGCTTAACAGATATAGAATCTATTCCTGCTCCAAACATTTTTGTTGATCTGCACCAATAGGCCTCTCTCTAGAGAGTTACAAGGGGATTATTCATCTGCTTGTTTACATGCAGAAATACACAAAATATGGATTTGTCACAGTCCCTGTTTTGCAGCTGTGCAATGGGTAAATTACCTATTAGTTAAAAAATAGTCTGAAAAATCTTGTTAATTCATGTTAAGGCAGTTCCTTTTTCCTTTTGTGAAAGTGATTTGTAACCAAAATGTTGGACATTGCGCTGCGCTGAATTCATCAAGTCTAAATTCAGAACTGCTGTCTAATAATAGGGTCAATATTGGGGATATATTATAACATATTATATAAATTATATATAACAGAGATACTGTACTGCAACCAGTGAAGACCAGTTTGTGGTTTACCAAACCTCTCCCATTTGTTATTGTTCCGTGTGTGTACTTTTGAATATTATTGAAAGTTGCTCACATGAGCCCTAACAAAAATAAAACATGCTAGATTTTCCTAAGGCATATACAGTATCTGAACTGTTTGAATATATATACATGATATAAGACATAGATTTGAACTTTTCTGTTTTAAGAATATAAATAATAATTCTAACAACTTGAAATTATGTCTGATTGGCAACCTGTAGCAGACTGAAAAGCACCACACATAAATATTAGATGTTTTGTTGTATTCAGTATATATTATATTATAACAATTGCAAAATATTTGCAATATATTTGGTAGAACAAAAAGTTAGTTTTGAGCTTTTTCTGTGAATTATTTTTACTACTATTATTGAACCTAATCACATGGTCCAAATCTCATTGATAAATGAAGACTCTTGTCACCCCAATGACACAATGTCTTTGTAATTTGTTTTGACTTTGCTCTTGAGCTGTGTCCATCAGTGATATCAGATAACGAGCCACAACACAAATTCTCATGACTAATATCATCAGCACACTACATCCACTGCTTTGCATACCTCACTAATACTACAACAAATATGCTTGTCCATAAACAAAAATACTTTTCTAGTTCACCTTTAAGATATGGTATATTGGCATTCGATAATGTGTCTGTTTGAGTTCTTTGCCCAGACTTAAAAACCAATTTGTAGTAACAACTTTTAATTGAAAATTGTTCCTGGTTTTGCAGTATAGCCATCTATAGACTAAATACTATAGATGTAATAATTAGATGGATATAGGTAGATAGATTGATAGATAGATAGATAGATAGATAGATAGATACTTATCCCACAATGGGAAATTCATTATGATTCAGATTTGCAAGATCATGCAACTTACCTTGCAAAATCATTCCCAAAATAGTTACAACTCCACAAAGTATGCATGACTTGTGTGTCGCCATTGCACTCCTTCTCCACCACTTTTCCCCCTTTTTCCAACGTGTGAGACAAAAGCAGAACAGCCAAGACGGAGATCCGAGAGTCCAAAGCGTAGAGGAAGAGCCCTAAATCCCCCGCTGGCCAGCCCCTTGACTGTTGGTCACCCCGGCTGTCGCGAGCCCCTGGTTCACGTTACATGGCAGCTGGGAGGAACTAAACCAGGACGTCCAGTCAACCACAATAACCATCACAGCCATCATTAGAACTTTATCTGACTTAATGCCAACAATTTAACATGGTCCACAAACCATTAATTCATAAAAAGTTGGAACAATTGGACATAATCATATGTTTAAAACAATTTTTGTTTTGAACACACTTTACTGTAAGAACCACTTATTGTAATCAATCTGAGGGGAAAAATTGCAAATGATTTAGAAAAACTTAAGTAAGACTCTCTACCGACCTCGTGTACTGGATCCATAAAGGGTTTGGGACTTTAGATGACAAACAAAACGTCTCTCCTCATCTCCTATTTTTAGGGTTTTAAAAAAAAAAAAGACTGAAGGATGATTTTTTTAATTTGATGATGATGTCATGCTGTATTTTACAATCAATTTACACTGTGCCCTATTCATCTTGGTAAAATTACAATTGGAAATATGAATCACATTTATTTGTAAATCTTTATATTTCGAGATAATAGCGTCTGTTTAATTCTAGGTGCAGGAAGGGGTCAAAAGGCAACCAACTGCTATGTGTCTCGTATATTGATACACAAAATAGCTTAGCCTTGCCTGCACCAGTCTTCCGCTTTGAGAAAGTGTTGACTATTTTGGCTGCTGTAAACAGAAATGTGTTATGAAAGGAAAATGTGAGACGCTGACTCTGTTTTATGATTTTTAGCTATAGAAAAGAAAGTCACATAAACATTCTGATTGATGGCTAAATATATGGTAGGATAATTGGTAGTGTGAGTAATTCAAGTTTAGTCACTGTGAGTACAAGGGCAGCAGACTGGTGTTAGGAATGTGCCATGTGAGTTGCATAGTATGTACTTCTAAATATACGGATGGGGAAGCAGAGATGAGCTCCTTTCAGGTAACCGGAGCTTTCACAAGCAAGATTATATGTCTCACACACTGCAGGACACTCGGGCACAGGGGCCGAGCTGCAGTGGACAGATTCATATCACTACAGTGACCACACGAGGGGCAATTTGACTATGAAGCAACTGTATTTAAGAAGTATGTTGATGACTTACCATCATGGGAATGCAGTGGATGACTAGCGCAAATTGGAAAGCAACTGTTTCGACTAAATATCATTATAATAACTGGTGTTACTCTTCCTACACATTTCTTCATCAAAGCAAAGTGCAAGACACTTAACCCCGCTTTGAAGTGGATGGATGTATGTAAAAAGTCAAATTGGCATTTCTCTGCATCACATTTCCTTTGAATGTATCCTATTACTGCTGGATGCACATCTAGCCCTAACAATTAAATGGAGCCCATTTGAGTGTAATCTACTCTCAGCATAATTACAGCTGTTCAGAGCTTCATTTGAAGTGTATTGGTCAGTAAACACCATCATGAAGTCATCATGAAGGTAATTTGTGGAGAAATTTAAAGCAGCGTTATACAATGTTATACAAGATTTCTGACGCTTTGAACATCTCACGGAGCACTTTTCATTCCATTATTTGGAAATGGAAAGAGTATGGTACAACTGCATACTTACCAATACATGGCCGTCCAGTTAAACTAACAGATTAAACAAGGAGAGCACTGCTCAGAAATGAAACCAAGTGCCCCAGGATGACTCTGGAGGAACTGCAAACTGAGCTGGGAGAATCTGTACATGAATCAAATGAGGATTGTTCTGTAAACAAATCTGTCCTTTAGGAATGAGTGGCATTGTTGATAGAGAGACTTTAGAAATCTTGTTTGTTCAAAGAAAACTTTCAAAACGGTATTTGTGGCATAAAATGTATTGCTCATCTCCTTTAGTGCATCATGCCCGGTGTCAAGTGAGGGTGGCAGCATCACGTAATGGGCTTGCTTTTCTTCAGCAGGGACTGGGATTAGTGTCAGCGTTGATGGGAAGGGGTGTGGAGGACAACAAGGACAATCTTGGAGGAAAAGCTGCTGAAGTAACTCTTGATGCTGGTGTGGGGCTTGTTGTCCTTTTTGAACTTGAACTTACGACCCATGCCTGAGGTCCTGAGCGCCCTAATTTCCCAGTCTCCATCTCCAAACCATCTCTACAGCATGATACTGCCACTACTGTGCTTCACCGTAGGAATGGCATTTGATGGTGCCTGGTTTCCTCACTGCTGCCTGCATTCAGCCAATAGTTCTATTTACATTTCATCTGGTTGTATAATGTCTATTTTGTTTTAAGGATGTTTTAAGAACTTTTGGAAAACTCTGTCATGTGAAAAAATAAACATAAATTCATATGGTAATATTTTAATTCTGAGTGTAAAATTATTTTTTTAAATAATATGTAGTTCTGTTGGCCTATTGTGTAGTTGAATTGAAAAAATAAATTATGTTATGTGTTTAAATTGGCCTTGTGTGGACTCACCACCTGCAGGAGGATCAGTGAGGGGCTGGAGCTCTGTGAAATGGGAATCTTTATCCATTTTCCCCCCGACCCTGAAATAGATTCCCCCGACCCCGTAAAGAACAACGTGCCATATTTCAGCCGGGAGAAGCCACTGTATTTCAACTAGTTAGATCAGAGATCATTGTTGGCACACTCTTTTTGGTCCAATCTGACGTTAATGATTTTTGGCTTCTGTCTGTCATGTCTTTATGAGAAAATAACAGCTACTAGTATCATTATATAAAGGCCATAAAACAATCCAGCACTGTTCTGTGCATGTTGTCAAAACATAGGCCTTAAGTAGTAGGTTGCAGGATTCTAGAATGCTTTTTCTTGGCACTTTCTAAGAAGAATGGGAAATAATGCTTATGGCAACAACTGTAAAACGAATAAACACAGAAACTCAGTAAAATTGAACCTTTTGTGAGCCATAATTACTGGTTTTACATAACCACATTTGTTTCTGCAGCAAGTCCTATAAGATCAGTTTACCTCAGCAAATCTAAAACATGCAATTTGTATATTTGCAAATTCTGTGCTTCTGTTGCCAAGGCATGTTGGTTTTGTTTTGCGTGTATAGAGACTTTGTGACTCACTGTTCCTCTTTTAGTTTCAGCCATATAAGTAGTAGGGGTGGGAACCTAAGGGTACCTCACGATACGATACAATACACGATACAAAGCTCACAATAACGATATTATCACAATAACAATATCACGATAACGATTTTATCACGATATGACAATTATCAATATATTGGTCAGAAATATACAATATGCCAATTTATAGCATAAATAAAAGAAAAAATACACTTTATTTCATGATAAATGGAATGGAGATGCGCATTGTAGCCATATATTAAGTATTGATACCAATAAAAAAAAAATAATAATAATAATAATAATTGATATCGATACTTGGCAAATGCATATCGATAATCGAATCGCGGGAGAAAGTATCGTCACACCCCTAATAAGTAGTAAGACACAACAAAGCATATCTTCACTGTTGCATGAGATGATTGAAACAGCCACTTTGAATAAAATGTTTAGTTGTCACATGGTTGGTGAGCTTGAACCGCTGAAGCACTCGGCTCTGATTGGCTGCATCTAATCAAATGCCCCATGACCTGCCCCTCCCTCACTGTGATTAATGCCTTCACAGGTTCTTTCTCCCCTTCTGCCATTGTCGAGAACCTTTTTATTACACGTGCTTTGGCCTGAGTTCAGTGCATCAGCAATCGTATACACCATCAGCAGCTAATCACTGTCGCTATCAGTGTCAGAGCTGATAATCATATTCACCTTTTGCATCTTGCATCATATAGAGTGACTTTAGACTTAGGTACTGTACACTAAGATTTGTTGTGCGTTCCTGATCTAAAAAAAAAACCTTAATTATTTATTGTGTGGTTTTTTTTTTGGGCATTGTTTGTTTTAGTTATTTATTTACATGTTGGCTTTGATATCAATCTCTGCTTGCCTTCAATGAATACTTATGCCATATATTGCAATACCCGGGTAAAAAAAAAGAAAACTTTAACTTACTAAAATGTTATTCACCTCAGAAACATTGGCAGTGTCTAATGGCAGTGCTCGTGCTGTTACAAGCCGTATGAATGAGCCACACATGTTGGAAAAGGGAGGGGGGGCGGGTATATGGGGGAGGAGGACTATGGGAGGAGGAGAAGCAGAGCAGCATGTGCGTAAACCAGAGATGAACAGCAATATAACACATACGTAAGACGTGAATGTGGAAGGGAACTTGGTTTACTGGCGGACAGGCAGCTATGCTTTATCATCAACCAGTGCGGTGTGGCCGAATGATCTTTGAACCCACATATTGAGCAACACAAGAAGCAGCAGCAGCAGAGAGGGGGAGAGAGCCGTCAAATGAAGTGCGAAACAAAGGCAGGCTGAAGCCGATGTCTAAAAAAAGGGAAAGAGTGAGGTAGGTAGAGAGGCTGCAGCGGTCAGACAGTTGTGGAAATATGCCTGTGTAAAGGGGGGCAGAAAAGGGAAGGCAACTTTTGGAGTAGAGGTTTTTGGGGAGGAGTATGAGAGATTTGAGAGTGCGACAGAGGGAGGGTCAGCAGAGGCAAGGGTCTGCTTCAGGGGGATTGTGGTGACAGCCAGTGTAAGGCAACTGGCACTCATGTGAGACACCAAGGAATTAAAGCCTACAAAAGACAGACTCAAGGATCTGGGGGAGAAGCGGACAGATTTAAAGCTGGACTTCAGCATGGGCGTGAAGAGCAAGGCTGCCCTGGCCATCGTAGTCCTGCTGCTCTTCCTTGGCTCTCTTTGGCTACGTGAGTATTTGCCTCTCTTTCTGTCTTGTACTTCTATTCTACTAAATCCTTCTCTTGTTGAAAGCACATATGCTAAACATCAGGAATGTGTCACATGGGGCACTCCTTGCAGATCCGCACGAGGTGGGCACTGCTGCTTATGGAGGGGATTTCAGAGCATGAGAGGCATGTGGTTTGTTTCTTATCTGAGCAACTGAAATGCTCTTAGCAGTGAATTTGTGTGAGTGGAGATGATAGTGCACATTTCCTTCAGAAAACGCCTACAGTGTCAATGATAATTCATTTTATAGCTGAAGACCCTTATGGCCCCAGTCTCAGCAGGTTCCCCTAATGTGATTTTGTTCTGGCACAGACAGGTGTAGTCAAATGTCAGTACAAGCATCTCCCAGTGTCTCGTTGTATTTATCTAGTATCTGTTTTTGTTCATACAATATCCTTTCACTGTTGGTGGTGGACAGTGCTTCAGTTCTATGGTTCTGACACCAACAGCAGGAATCTTGATCTGCTGACAAGTCGACTTTCTCATGTGTCATTTTGGGACATCCAGGACAAAGGCCACAGGAAAATCCCACACTTAATTCTTGTTTATACTTCAGACAAACCTAGGATAAGTACAAGCTACACAAATGGCATCCATTGGCTAACACCACATTTAGAACTGCAATCATCATACATTGTCCGATATAAAAACGCAGTAAACATTTATTTTAACCTGTTGGACTGTCCTGAAGCACTTAACTTGTCCTTGTGGAACCCTGCCAAGTGCCAACACTGGGAGGTCACAAGGGTTCACTGTGTCATGGTCAGAAATTAGGTCGTATGGATTAAATTGAACACATTCTAGTTACATTGCACACCAAGTAGTTTCAGTGTCCTTGGTTAAGATACTTGAGCTAGATACAGTATTGACTCAAAAGGGTTTGACTAAGTTTTAATTCCCAGTTTCTCACATGCTTCTTTTCTCTTGCACCCACAGAGGGCGGCCTGGACTACCACTGGGATTCTTGTATTAAGGGCTATAATCAGGTGAATAAGGTGAGCAGATGCATTTTGTTTGGGGCCTATTGGTTGTATATTGTTGCATTAGTGTGAATGTAATTTATTATGACTTGGGAGAATTATTTCCGCCTTAATTGAGCCTTTGTATTACCCCTTCTTCTGTCAGCTCCACCATCTGTCCAACAACAGCGAGGCCACAGCGCTGGATGGCTCTGTGCTCATTGAGGTGTGTCCTGGGCAGAATTTCCAGGTATCTCGACTGCTGTCCCAGCTGCTGGCTGGGCCCACTGACCCCTCAGACATCCTGCTGGAGCCCTATCTCGCCAGCTGGGATGAACTGGTCAAGTATGTAAAATAATGACATCATCTTGTGACCTAATGTTTTATTATTTTAGTATAGGCCTGTTTTAGGGCATTAGCATTTAAAGAAACATGGTATCTTGGTAATCTGTTCTAATCTAATCTGTATATTTTCCATGTTTAGATTTATGGAAGCTCTGGGTCCAATGGTAGGACTGATTTCCGCAGAAATAAAAAGCAAGACTACTATAATCCGACAGCTGGCCGGTTCACCTGAAGACAATTCTGAGGCCGAGCTGAACCCGGAGATCTTTCCAATGAAGGCGGCTCCAGAGCTGAAGGTGTCCGCTCATATGCCTGCTTACCGCTCAGTACGTTCAATGATCCATGTAGAGCTGGAGAAAGAGATGGTGGACTTCCAGCAGCAGACAGACTCAGGCTGTAGGACTTTGCTTCGTCTCCATAGGGCACTGCTCTGGCTCAAACTCTTCCTGGAGAAACTGGCCGACGTCCCAGTGACAGGTCGCCTAAGGAGCCCTTCAGACCTGTGCCGCGAAGCATACCAAAAAAGCCTTGCAAATCATCACACCTGGTTTGTACGACGAGCGGCAGAGCTGGCCTTCATAGCCATGCCTGAGCGCACCTTCTTCTTCAGGCTGGTGTGTGTTCAGGACCAGGAAGAACTCAGCATACGGCTCACTAAGGTGGTCCAAGCCCTGGATGAGGTCTACAATAGAACACAAATCGCACTGGAAGAGCATGGTATGTTAGACTTGCCTTAAGAGCTTCTTTATTTCTGCAAGTGCCACACGTTTACTAAGTGCTGCAACAATCAACTGAGAGCCACTTTGCCTTGAGTGAGACATAACTTTCCAATCACTGGTATAATGTGCTGTTGTTATGTTCGGCCATAAAGATACATTTAACGGCAGCTGATAGATGATGAACTGTCCTAGAGGTCTGTGTATTCATCGAGAGGCATTCTCCATTTAAAGAGGGCTCCAACCCTTCCAACCCTTGGTCAGAGGGACCAGAGAAAAATCAAGTGATTCCATTGTGCAAACAGCTCAGCTACAGGTTGTGAAGACCAAGTTCTGTGTTTCGTGGCATTGTACTTGACACACACAAGTGTACCTTCTTAAAGTAAAATAACGGTCGTTTGGACCAAAGTTTCCGAAAGCAGTATTAACAAATTGCACGCTTTGTCAAGTGTGCCTGAAGAGATTAATTATTACTATTTATCTAAATTTAACTTACTGTTAAATTATATTTTATGTAAAGAAGTACTCTACCTCAAGAAAAGGTTTAGTTATCTTACCTTTCATTTGCAATGAATTACTGTAGAATAATTATATATTATCTATAAATGTTGACAGAGACAAATTAATTGTAATGTACTGTATCAATGTTTTGATATGTAATTTTTATAAAGTCTTAAGAATAAAAGTTCTTTTGATAAACAGAATTTGAGTCTTGACTTTCCTTTGGATGGTGTACTTGTAACAGCACCCACTGTCCACCAGGGGCCCAACTCATGATTAGATGCCATGGCAATAATTTTAACAATTTTGACCTAATGGTGATTTATTAGTGCCATTTAATTTTTGTGTGTGTCAAAAGTTAGAAATATTTTTTCTAAAAATGACTCCACATGACGGGACTATACTAATATCAATATTTATAATGAACTCTGTTCTTAGTTATGTTGAGATGTATGAATGAAGTAATAGCTATATGTGTCTCTCATCCAGGTTAATTTAGGACCACAGATGCCACTAATGCGTAATCCAGCTCCGTGTTTCTAAGGAGAGAGAGTGAGTAGGGAACGAGGATAGAAGGAGCTACTAGAAGGTCACCTAGCGGAAGTTCACGTGTGATGTAATGATACTCACCACTGTTAACACGAGGCCTGTGGTTCAACAGGTCAATGATCCATATGTAGAGTCTCTTGCCTACATTTGCATTAGAACATCACGTTGACGGCCTTTAAAAACACTCTTTTGCATCAGTCATTATTTATTGCTTGTATTTTCTATTATTGTTATAAATTAGAGTATAAATAACGATACAAGACAAGTAAAAAAAAACAAGAATTGTGGAGTAACTAACCACATGTGCTGAGAAGAATACCCGTTTTCTTGTGTTTTAATCTCTTTTAATGAACAACAAAATGCAGAACCAAAGTGGTTTTAACCCTACCCTGTAATCCTTACTGTTTTGTAATGTACTCTTGGTCATTGTAATGGGGATTACTTTACAAAATCTTCAGTGTTTTGTAGTCAAATACTATTGCGAATGATTCTCCCTATATGTTTAAAGACACAGAAGGCTTGAATTCCCTTTAATGACATTTATTTTCTCTATCTTGTTTTTGCAGTAAACATGAGCAAAAATATACATACAGTCAGAGCAAAAATAAAGGTTTGAGAATAGAATAACCATCCCACAACTCCATCATATACAATTTGTGATGAAATTCCCATCTCAAACTATCCTCGCCCAATAGGCCAGTCTATAGTAGCTAAAGGGGAGAGACTTTGTATCTTAAGTATATTGTAAATAATTGTTCCATACATGCACGGGTTTGTTTCATTGAGAGCTTAGTTTAATATTCAGTACCTGTTTAGCCTGGCCATAGAGTCGCCGCTGCAAGTTGTATCCACATTTCCATCTTGGTAATAAGCACATGTACATAATGAAACATAGGACCCACACATTGACACAACTTTCATCTTTCCATAAATCCTGATATCTTAAGTGCATCCATGATAATACATTCTCTCCTTTTTACAATAAAATATCAATAAAAATATTATTTTCTTTCAAACAATACAAGATCCTTCATATAGTATTCCATCATTGATAAAGCATGTTTTGGTGACAGTTGTCACAATGTCTTTGCTATTGATGATTCCATAACAGCCATACAATAATTACAGCCTATATTGCTTTTGAGAACATCTCCAAATAGTCTCACCAATGAAAACAATCAAATAAAATCAATCTGAAAATAAATGGAGATTTGGACATTCTCACACTGGGGAACAGCGCTGCATGTCCACCAGGAGGCACTGTTAAGTAACCTTAACATACTGTAATGTTTCACTGTGTTGTGCGCATATCGTTTATATAATAGTATTTGATAACACTACGTTCTCAGCCTTCCACCTGCTTCTAACACTTCCCTGTGTAACATTTTTATCTGTGGTCTTTGGTTGAATATGTGTTTCAAAAGTGTAAAAATAATCATGTTAATAATGAAAACATGCCCAATTATGGAAAATCATTATTTGAAATTATCCATTAAGTGTGCCTATTTCAGAATGATGGTTAAGAAAGAAGAAAACGGAGCAACAAGTAGGGTAAAGAAGTTTATCGTGCTTGCTCTGGATTAGCCAACCAGATTAAGAGATTACAGTGAAATTAAGTAAGTGTTGCAGGAATGCCAACAAAAATGTTCGTGAAATTGTCAGTGGGCGACCATAATCAAACTAGAAATGACAGTTACATGTATCATTTGATTAGTTGTATTGCTAGGCTAAGCATTAGGTTTAAAACCTGAAATTCCATTGACAAAAGGAATGGTCAAATTGTATTAGCTTTTCAGGCATTTGAGCAAATTTCTTCTGCTGTTTTGTCTATGTTCTACTCATCAGCACCACTTTTAGTAAATTCAAGCTCAATGAAGTCTAATTTAAACTGCATGGATGTGGAAAGAAGAGGTCTAGACGCACTCATACACGCAGCTACAATTTTCCTACTAAAAATCTAACCTTAGAAAATAGAATGGTGTGATTATTTTGAGAAATAACCGTGGCTGAGTGAATGAGTTGAGATAAAGGGAACACAAACACAATAATCTAATTCTCCCACCACCCAAAATATTATGTACATTGTTCATTTCACTTCACAAAAAACACTTAAGTGCAAATAAATAAAAATATGACACATGCATCTATTTCAGATACACATTAGATGCAATACAATAAAAACAATGGAAACGCAACAATGGTTAAAGTTAAGGAAATGCTTGATATGAATATGAAAGTATGGTACGTACGTAAAAACTATATGACACCCCCCGGGTTAAAATAACTAATGCAATATGAAGTCCTCTTGAGAAGAATGGGACCAAGCATTCATAATGTATACCACTTAATGAATATTGCACAGTGCATGCAACTTCCCGACCTACAATATGAGATGGCAATCGAAACACACACCCGCACTCTACACACGCACACTCACACTTCTTTTAAAGGTTTTGCAGATTTTTATGTCAGATTTATCTTTATGCTCTCCCCCTGGTGGCCAGTGGTGGTGGACATAACCGTATCATTATGAGACACAGGGATTCCAGTGTTATCGCACACCATAGACAAAACACACATGCAAAAATGGCTTTGTCTTGGCATCCATTCAAACAGGGAGAGATATGTCGTCCAGTTTATTGTTCTTTCACAAAACATGTTGATATAAGGATATGATACCGGTAAATATAATGTTGATATACACATTTCTGTATTGTAATTGATGTCTAATATATAGGGATAGTTTATTGGGAGGCAGCTGGTGGTGGCGCTTGCTGATCCTGGTAAAAGAGTTTAACTTTCTTTTCACATATATCCCTAAATTTGTCATGCACTATAAATAGACGTTAAACTAATTTACAGAAAAGTGACCGTGTCCCAAAGCTCACAAACAGAATTAATGCCAGAATTACCACCCATTTTAGGTTTTTGACTTGTTTTGTCTCCGAGTTAAGTGAGGGTTGTAAACACATTCTAAAAAAGGGTGTGAATTCTGCCATTTGTTCCTGAATTATGTGCAATGATGCAGAGAATGAAGACGGAGGGAGGAGTTGGATGTGGTAGATATGAAAGGTAAACCTAGTTTTTCGTGTTAATCCTTAGTTTGAAAGACACACGTCCAGCAAACTTGTCTCTTTCGCTCCCCATGGGGATGTTGTCAGCATTAATCTTGCACTCAATGTTGACGTCTTGGTTATGGGTGACGTTAAGGAACTTGACGGCAACCAAAGGCTGGGAGTAGTTCACCTGAAGAGAATCATTGTACAATTCATTATTTTATACTTGTACTAGAATCACAGACCATATGACCTTATAGTATCACCCATATAAAGTATTTTTTTCATAATAAACATATTTAAACCAGTCCCTCCCCTTGGCACAACCACCACCAGTAAGATTTGCTGGAGGAGAATCGTTAGACCAATGGTGAGGGGCCCCCGCTGTTTATCAGCGATTTGATTTGCGTCCTATCAGGAAGCTGTGGGGGCGTGTCTAATTGGCGATTGCAATTGTATCAACAATTCAACAAACTAAACAGTAAAATATTGTGCTCTCTTTAATGATTAGAGATTCAGACGTGTCCAGTATATGTCATCTGAAGTTTTGACTCACATTGTCTGATGAACTAATTGCATAAATCGAGGGTCTCTTCTTTTTGGCCTAAATTTAAATTTTAAAATATAAATATTTGGTTGCTTTAAGGAATTAAGTGGATGTGATTTGACTGTAATGTGGATTGAACAAGTTGGATGCCTTTTTTCACTTTGTACATGTAGTTTCCCATCAAAGGCATATATTTTTATACAATAGGTGATTATCGTATATACGCGATGATCAAATTTGAATGATATAGTATTTATCACAGAGATCTTTTGATGGATTACAGATAATTCTTGACCTAAGGGTTTACATTTCAATGAATACATGTCTTACCTGAGCTTTCTTTCCATAGTAAGGATAGTACATAAGATTAAAAGTGCCATTCGGAGGGAAATACATCAACTCTCCAATCTTGTCACTGTCTTCCCTCTGCAAAAGAGAAACTTGGTTAGGTTTGTACATAATATAGAATCCATGTTTTTGATCATGATTTGTTTCTACTTCATCAAACAAGCACTATCACTACAGTGTTTGAGACGCTTCTTGTATTTAGATTGATCTTCACAAAACTACTGGCACTTTACGTTACTAAATTATACAGTGGCTCTAGAATGAAATCACTCTACACACTAAAGGTCTTGTCCTCTTACCCATTCATCCTTTCCCACTCTATATCTCTGAGCGTGTCACGTTGCACAATAGTGAAAGGAGAGAGTGACACACAGATGGAAATATGATATAGTGAAAACACAAACATGCAGTTGTGTAAAAAGACAAATGTTGATGCTGACATTGCTGGTCAAACAGAACAACAGGACTATGATACAACAGATAGCAGAGGAAAAAGAAGTACCTTAGCTCCGCAGGTGACATATGGAGCGTTCCCATTCCTCCCCGGCAGCATTCCAATCACCTGCAATAGAAATGTTCATTCTTCACCAGTGACAATGTTTCAAACCAGCACAAGCGTGATCGTTTCGATCACGCTTGTGTATGTCAATCCACATGGATTACACCCCTTCATAATTTTCAGTTAATGTAGGTTTTTTTTTTTTTTTAAAGATAAAATAAAACAGCAAAAAGAAAATCTAACCACGTAATAAAATCCATATAACACACTCAAAACAGTTTTTCCCCCTCTCACCCGGCCAATCAGCTAAAAAAAAACTCTAAAACAAGACAAAAACATGTGATGTTTAGTTAACAAAAAAGTCAGATACCCCAGCTTAAAACATTACCACAGTCAATTATTGCAGCTTGATCTGGCCAAAATATATATATACATATCATACAATAGTATATATATATATACTATTGTATGATATATTATTTACATAGTTTGAGACTTTGACAATGTTCAAATCCAGGTCTGTTCTGTTTAGCTGTGCTTAATGTCTTGTATTATTTTTATGTTTCTTTTCTTGTTTTGTTAAGCACTTTGAGTTGCCTTGTGTATGAACTGTCCTACACAAATAAACTTGTCTTGCCTTGCTATTAGTAAAGGAAACATATTTGTATATGTGCTTCTGTAAGTTGCCTCCTGGAGAAAAAATCATATGGATTTTTAGAGATATTTTGTCTTCCATTAGCCTTAAATCTGAGCAAAACAAGTGCACTGTATCATTATTGTTGGTAGGTGTAGAAACAGGTAGTTACTGATATTGTATATGGATGTATGTGTTTTTTTTCTACTGGACAAATGAGTTTCTCCTACAGGGATCTAACCTGGCAAAAGCCAGATTGATGATTGTGTAGAACTCTAACGCGTTTGTGAACTCACAAATACCGCGAGAATTCAGCTTGCAGGCAAGGTTAACAGGGATCAATGATAACTATCAAATGATGGCGCTGCACATTTGTTTCTCTCTTAATCCTTGATGTAATTTCGGACAAACAAATCGCGCTGTGTGGCATTAATATGGTTAATTCAATTAAACAAGGTAGCTTGATCTTACGTCACAGTATCCTAATCTAGTGAGTGTGTATAAAATAGTGCTTCACCTCCAGTATATCAGCCTTTCCTCTTTGATTAGAAATAGCCACTCTCTGTCTCCTTGTCTCCTAGCAACACCATCCAGGCTCTCCTCCCCCCTCTCTTCATACCCTGTTTAGTTTGATGATGATGCACGGCTTGCCCTCCTGGTAGCCGTAGTGCTTGTCGTAGATTCCGGAGCAGTCTTCCAGGACAGTGCGGTTGAACTGGCAAGAGCGTTTAGGGTTGTTCTTCACGTCACCGCTGTCCTCCTGCTTGTAGTACTGGTCCGGGACACACTCGTCATTTTTCTGCACTTGGACTGAATTGTTGTAGGCTGCGGGGTGGCAAATACAAATACAAATATAAATACAAAGCTTTCTGTTGCTGACATTTGAGCTCAGTAACAAACTTGTGGTCATCAACTTCTGGACTAGAGCTGGAGGATTTTATCTATGGTACATAGTTTCAGTGTTAGGGGAAATTGGAGCACCTGGAGAAAAGCTATGCAGACACGAGGAGAACATGCCAACTCCACTCAGGCCCTGTGCTGACTCGGATTCAAACCCAGGATTTATTTACTGAAAACAGAGAGTGCTATCCACTCTGCCACGGTGATGCTGTATACAGGTGAAACTCAGACATTTTTAGTAATTGTGATTTTTTTAATTCAACTAATTGTGAAACATACGTGCAAAGTGACATATGACAGGAGACGTGGTGGTGCAGAGGTTAGGGCTGATTCCACCTTCAGGTCTCTCTGAGTGGCGTTTGAATGTTCTCCCTGTGTCTATATAGGATTCCTCTGGGCGCTCCAGTTTCCCCTACCACAAGAACATGTACTGTACAATAGTCCCCCATAACACCCTCCCCTTCTCCTCTCTCCCCTCCTCCCCTCTCCCCTGAAAGATAAGATAAGATAAGATAAAAAGAGACTGCAATCTCAAGCGACTTTCCTGAATAAAAAAGGTCAATAATTGTTTCTTGTTTTATTTGGTCTATTTGAAAGTTTTTACAAAATTATAAAAAAATAAAGGCTTGATCTTTCTCACTTTGTCATATATTATTTCCACATGTTGAATTACAGAATTATATGGACTTTTTAAATAATATCCTAATTTTTACCTGTAAATTCATAGGTTTCATAGGTTTTTATGTAACATTTTAAGGACCTTTTTCCGCATTCAACAACTTTCACTTTAGAATGGTCCTTATATAATAAGTTATTGGATCGTGTACTCCAATTCAATATACATGTTGTTAAAACAAAGTCAAATTCAAAGTTATAAAAAATACAATTTGAACAATATTTTATTTGATTATTTAGTGGCGCCACCTGCATGTGAACACCAGATCCTGTCAGACGTCTGAAGCTGAGCAGGACAGGGCCTGGTTAGTACTGTGACCTCTGGGAACAGCAGGTGCCAGTGGTGGCGGCTGCGGCTGTGGGTTATTTCAAAACAAGTTTGTCTTTCAGTGCAGTTCGACACCACAAGGAAACCGTATGAAGTGTAGATTCACATGGTTTTGTGTAATTAACCAATTAATCAAGGCAATAAAACTGCGATCGAAGCTTTTATATAAATAAACTAACTATTTACCATACACCGTAGCAGTATGTACTATAAACGGCTCTATGGTCAGACTCCCGCTTATTCTATTGGTCAGCCTCCATCATGCCTTGTTGACCCCTACACATCCATCATATTGAATACACTCAATATACACATTCATATATTATGTATATTCAGGAGACTTACGCGCAAGGAATTTGTGTAGGGCCTGAGCGTACAAATCCCAAGTCTCTGTGTTCTGGATATCATAGACGATCTCGAAGGTTTCATCTGCCTTAGGTCTTATCACCATCCCTGACAGAGAAGACACAACAATTATAATCCAGATTGGTCACATGTTAAGCTTCAGAAGGGAGCAGAAGTGAACCTGGAGTGGAGAGGCGGTCCTGCCAAGTGGGCTTGTGGTCATCCAGAGTCTGCAGCATGACGTACATGGTGAGTGCAAACAGTCCCGCCAGGAAAATGTAGAAAACTAGATAGAAGAGCAGAATAAGACCTGCGGACAGAGGAAAAAAGGGGCTGCATTAAAAACTGATAATTATTTAGTGATGGGGTTACAATTGTCTGGTATGGAAGAACAAACTTAATCTATAAGAAAGACCAGATGAAACTTAACAAGAGTTTCTTATGCCCAAAATTCTGCCACCAAGCACAAAAAACATTTGTTATTGTGATATTAACAACCTTTTAATATAAAAGTACACCTCATAAATCATATTTTAAAGGTGGCTTGGTATTTGCTTGTGTCCATGGAGTTAGAGAAAGATAAATCTGGTCTGATAATGTTCTGATGATTGTGTGTGTTGGTGATTGGTGATTGAGTTAATTGGCAGCCTTGTTTACATTGGGCTGCCCCAGGGCTGCTGTGACTATGTTCGTACCCGACATGAATGAATAACATTAATAACGTAAAGTGCTCTATAAATCCAGTCAACATGCATTACAATAATGCCATACTGAAGTAGGTGGAGGAACTCACAGGATGCATAGTGCTCCTTTAAGGGTGCAAGGTATAATCTGGTACTATGTGGTACAATGTGGTACTATGTGGAAAAAATCTTCCTTCAGCTAAACGCAGACAAAACTGAAATGATTGCCTTTGGTCCCCAGAAACAAAGAGATTTGTCACCTCCAGTCTCTCTCCCTAAAACCTTCAAACAAGGTCAGAAATCTAGGGGTAATACTGGACTCAGACTTAATTTTTAATAGCCACATTAAATCAGTAACATCAGCAGCTTTTTACCATCTAAAAAACATTGCCAGGATCAAAAACATAGTGTCTAAAGCAGACTTGGAGATTCTTATCCATGCATTTGTCTCCAGTAGGTTAGACTACTGCAATGGCCTGCTCACAGGTCTGTCCAAACAGGCTGTAAAACAGCTGCAGTACATTCAAAATGCAGCAGCCTGAGTCCTGACTAGAACCAGGAAGTACGACCATATAAGTCCAGTCCTCAGGTCTCTGCACTGGCTTCCTGTGGGTCAGAGAATAGACTTTATAACAGCTCTGCTTGTGTACAAGTCTCTCCATGGCCTCGCACCAAAATATATTAGTGACATGTTAGTACCATATGAACCAGCCCGGACTCTGAGGAGCACAGGGACTGGACTCCTGTTAGTGCCCAGAGTCAAAACTAAACATGGGGAGGCTGCTTTTCAGATTCATGCTGCTAAAATCTGAGACCGGCCTCCTCTCTGACAATGTTTAAAACCAGGTTAAAAACAGTTCTGTTTAGCTATGCATACAACTGAGGGATTTTATGTTTTTATCTTTCTTTTTAATGTTCTGTGATTATTTATACAAATAAACTTGCCTTGCCTTGCCTTACTATGTGATACAATGTGGTACTATGTGGTACTATGTGGTACTATGTGATACTACTGTATGTGGTACTATATGGTACTATGTGGTACAAGGTGGTAGTGTGGTAGTCAGCCTGCCTAGTGACAGCTCCATGTTTCACACAGAGGAGGCTGGAGAGGCATCAAATAAAGAAACCGTTAGAGCCGCACTCCTCCATTTGGAAACATGTGTTTATCTGCTCTGTTTCATGTTTGAATTAATCATGAAGATTATACAAATGCATTATTTGGTGTTTTTTCATAACAATATTGTGTGATGTCACTAAAGTCATAATCTAGTTACAGTAATACCTGAAATAAAATGTATTTTGTAAGATATTGTTACATTCTGTTCAAAATTATACATTCATGTTGATTATAATAACTGTAGACACGTACAAATTAAAATTTTAATTAATCAATAGGATCAATCAGGAAGTAAGAAGATGTAAGTTATCAATAAACTGTATTCCAAATACAGTTACTCCCTCACATCACATATACTGTCTGTTTCTGCTTCATCTAGATGACAATGATGAAATATCATTTGTTCATCATTTTACACACACATTCATTTCTTCTATCACTTACAATCTAAATGAGGAACTCTATGTAATTAAATCATTGGAGCATAATTACTACAAAAGCCAAAGAAACATTGTGTTTATGTTTTTGGTTTCTGCCTCCATCTTCACACATGCACATCTGTACAAATATGACATCTGCAGAAAGAGCCTTTGTGTGGTCACTGTCTCGCCCCAACTCACACAAGGCCAAAATTATCCTTTCTCAACCACTGCCGCTTCATCCCGACATCTATGTCACTCTTTCTCAAAACACTAATTACATAACAGAACTTTCATTTCCTCACACTGTTGAAACCATAGTGTGTCACGTGCTACAAACATTATTAATGAAACCTGACTTGAATAGCTGCTCTATGACCCATTTCATTACCGAGTGTCCCGGGAGGGGGGTGACCGAGATGACAGATACTAGAGGAGGAGAGCGAGGACCCCCTGGAGATCAGGTCAGAGACTGGGTCAGGACATTACAACCATGGTCTGTGTAAGCAGACCACACAGATAAGGTTACACGATAATTATAGACTGTCTAACTACATCCATCAATGTGTCTTATCCAATCTGCATCTAATACACTTTTTTTCTAAGCTCACTCTATTTCAGCCAGAACAAATATTTGTATCTACCAAAAATACACAGCCATTTTTTTTTAAAACAAAAAAATTGAATATAGTTTTTGACAAGACAGTAGTAGCACTACTATTTTAAATGGACGGTACCAAAACTAATAACAGGAAGCAAATGTGGCAAAAAATATATATAATTTTCAACGAATGGACCAAAGTTGGTCATTTAAATGGTCTGGAACATTTTTATAACATCACAATGTGAAAAAGGCTTTTTTTAAATAAGACTGTGTTTGGGACTGTTTTTCTTCTATTATGGGTGCTATTCTAGAATATTACAACAACAATAATGTATTAAAATCACAGAAAGTTTATGAATCTGTCATTGTTTTAGAGCCCTTAGACAACACTGCTACAGCTGTCGCCCCCATTACAAACACTTCATTACACAGAGGAGCATGAAGTATAAAAGTAAATTGCCTGTTACATGACACATTGTTGTAGTGAACACCTGAGGCTGCAGCCGGTCAGCAGCTGAGAGGCCTGACCCGTCGCCTCAACGCAGCAAGGAGCTGAGCACAACAAGCAATAATAATAATTCATTTTGTTTGATGGTGCCTTTCAAGACACCCAAGGACACCTTACAATAAAATAACTGCACATTAAACAGAAATAAACAGAAAAGGAGGAATCAAATGAGCAGGCGCAGTGCTACATCTGCTCCACTCACACAAAGAGCAATCCTTAACAAAATATCAGGTCATCTAATCTCCACAGGGAGCAATTACACTGGGGCACTGCAGTGATCTGGAGCCAGCAGCAAGTGCACTTTTTTGGACGATGCGTGGAAAAATGTCTTTTTGATAAATATTCAGATTCAGCTGTAATTCAAATATTATAAAATGTATTTTTACCTGTTACAGAGATGCTAATCAACATTAAAACTAGAACAAAAATAGATAATCATTATCATTTTGTAATGTTTCATTAATAATTAATCAATTGTTGTATAAGTATAAGATACCCCAGGATGTGAAAGTGTCCCCCATCACCATGAGAAGTTTTGTGTGATCTGTAACATGAGCCTTTGCAGGGGTCCTTGGTTGAGGCAAATGGCAGGCAGGCTGGATGTCCCCTGGCATGGAGGGTGTAGGGTTGACCTGGTGAGGGTGATGGCAAATCCTAAGGCTCTCTCTAACTCCAGGTTAGGGTCAGAGAGCTGTTGAAAATACCGATCCAGTATTCTGCTCGTTCTGTACTTAGAATGGGAATTTGCATTCTCTGTTAATTAGAAAGGCTTATTATGCACTGACGCTGCAATCATCAAACACAAGGCTAGGATACTTAAAGATAGCCTTGATATAAATCCCCAAACTGAATACGATCCTTTGATGTTCAAGATCTTTTGTTGTTTTTTGGAATTGTTCATTATTATTTGCTTTCTATGCGGATTGCAGAAGAGGTGTATGCACAGGGCTGTTTATACAGGGCTTCAAATGAGGGCACAAGAGATCTGGATTTTGTTCACGTTTGATCTGTCTCTCCTGACATTAATTTCTAAAGGTCCTGAGTGTCATGGCCAACAAAGTGATATTTGTTGAGGCTCAAACTGTGCGCCAGTCTTTGTCCTGTCATGATTTTAACAAGAAACAAGTTACTCAAAGTTCAGCCGGTCCATGTTACATCCTGCAGTGAGTGAGGAAAAGAGGAAAGGATGAGTTTAGCTGCAGACCAACACATAGTGGTAGAGCAGCTACATAAATAGCCTATAATTAACCAGCCTTAGAGCACAGCTTAAAAAGGCCAACAGACTTCGAAGCACCTGGGACATACTGAGCTGGATTAAGGCACACCGGGTAAGAGGGCCACACTGAAGAACTTTACAGTCAATGAGAAGTCGTTTTTGACGGATTGTTGTTATATCAAGCATAGTTACATATACACAACTCTAACAGCCTAATAATGCAAGTGTCCATAATTTACCATTGTCCTTTTTGACAAAAACTTAAAAAATGTTTCTAAAAGTAAAACTAAGGTCCCACAATGATACCTTTCCCAACAGCCAATGAAGTCATTAGATTAGGATTAAGTTGCACACTGATTTACACTCATTGGGAGGGGCTGAAGGGGGGGTGGGGGTGATACAAATAGCATTTGTCCCTCAGCTTTACCCAGATTAAAACGGGCCAATGTCATTAGAACAGAGCCATATGTGCCCATCATGTCATGAATCTTGCAAAGAGTTCCTGGGAGGTTGGTTAATTGACAGTGAAGAAAAAAAAACTTGAGCCGACAGACTTTGTACATAGGCCTAAGGAAAAAAAATCACACATACAACTGTAATAGAACTTGAATCACCATGGATTTTCGCCCCAGTTCTAACAAGTGCTAAGGTGAAATACCTGCCCTTACTGCGGCTGAATCAAACCATTCCCTAGAGATTTGATGATGTGCACTTTGCAACAGAGACCTGTTCAGCAGTATTACCGCAGTCCAACTAACGCCAGCCCATATGCCTACACCCTATGCTGTAGCACTGCAGAGAGAGCTGCCCCATAAATTAATAAATAAATGAAGCACTTTTGCTGCCGGTCTCTCCCCGCGGATGCGCCGCATTGGATTCAGCACCACGCAGCGTGGACAGCGACAGCCGCCCTAAAGTTTTCACATGTTTCCAACAGGCGGGGAACTCCGATTCTTCTAAACACATGACATTACACTGACAGCGACCTGTTACGGGAGGTTGCGGCAGTGATATACAGTGCCGTATTTGACAGGACTTACCCCAGCTGCTCGCCGTCCTGCCCAGAAACTCTCTCGTTCGTGGGTTCCATATAAAGTCCTTCCATTCTCCTTTTTCTCCGTCTTTTGCCATTTTATCATACAATAAGACACTTCAAATATTCTAAAGAGCCCTACAGAGCGACTTGATCTGCCCGAAAGCTACGGGGAGACAAGAGTTCTGCTGTACAGCGCCTAAACAAGAACAAATTGCAAATAAAAGATCTTAAAGCTGACGGAAAGGAAATAAAAATCTGTAAACTAAAAATGGATGCGGAAGAGGACAGCTATCAGAGGGCTACAGTGCTTGGATCTATGAGTGCCCTCCCCCCCGGCTCCTGTCTGCATGCCGCAGAGTGTTGATGAGTGGTGCAGAAATCTAGTGATACTGCGGTAAAGCCAGTACTCTCACACCTCCCCCCTCCACCATCATCCTCCCTCTCCAGAGTCCCGCCCTTCTGCAAGAGACAGCCAATCACAGGCCCAACATCCTCCTCTCACGCCAGCGGCTGCTTGAACCTAACGACGGGGTCACGTGTCAGACTAAGGAGCCTTTCCATTGGCTGCTAAACCCAAAGACGTCACGTCCCAACAGAGAAATCAACATGATCCATGTAATATTCATAAAGGATTAAAAGTGCTGCCCGGTTACTCAATACAAGGACGTGTTTAATCATTCATATTCCATCTCGTCACAATCACACACAGACAATTTACTCCGGGATTCCTCGAGAGCTGGTGATAGGCCTTCAGCTATTATATATATGTAGCCATTGAGTGCATGTATTGAGAGTGTGTGCTATATATGTATATATATATATATATATATATATATATATATATATATATATATAAATATATGTGTGTATGTGTGTATATGTATATGTATAAATGGTTTGTGTTTTGTATATTATTTAAAAGATTGAAGAATGCACCATTGGCCTAGAATGTCTGCACTTGTGGAGTCCTCCAGCTGCTGCTCTGTGTGGTTAGCTCCCCAGTGGGAAAGAGAAAAATCTGCCGGAACATAATGTCCACTCCTGCAGCATTGCTGCTGTGATAAAACAGACACCATATAAAACATGTAAACAAACTTTTTGTATGTAAAGTTCATTATATAAAATTTATTTGAATGACAATATCAATGCAAATATAGCACTACAGTGATTTCCAAGGTACACCGTATCTTACCATATCAATATAGTATGGCACTCATATAATGGCCAGTGTTTAGTAGACACACAAAACCAAGAGCTTCTGTAAACTCTACCAGAAATTACACCCAGGGTCCAATATCAGTCGGTGGGGGGTGGGGGGAATCATATTATTGAGATGATTTCTCTGCATTTGTAATTATATTTGGGGCTATTTCATAGTAAGGATTCTCTGCATGCATTGCACTTGCCCATACCCCTTCACCTGACCTGTTTCAATATGATCTCTTGAAGCCCAAGTGACGAAAAAGGCAAACAAAACAACTTTTAACAGAGCAGGCGGAATAAAAAACACATTATTAAAAAGGCCAAAGCAGTGACTTTCATTCCATTTACATAGGTCTCCTTTTCACGTGGTGAAACTGTACAATTTGGTGCTAACTATATCAAAACATCAACCGAAAGACATTCAAGTGCCTTAATATTATTACATCACTCTTCAATTTTACACAGCTCCTAAAATCAAAACAAACATAAGAATAATAAGCACTATATAAGTACAAATAAACAAAATGGTAAACCTCTGTCTACTGAACAGAACCAGTTCAAGTTATAGCAGCAAAGTATCCATAATGTTGTAAGGATAATTGTTGAAAATTGTACATAAATAAAAATCTGTACATTAAATGATAGAGGATATATAAAATGTGTAAATGAAATGTGACCACAGCTTAAAGGGAGTCTTGCATAATTCAACTGATCAACTGTAGGAGTGACATTTTGAAATAGAGGGCTTTATAGGTATGACTATGTGTAATGGATGGTCTGGCTGCAGCTAATAAAATTCATCTAAAAAACAAAAAGGTTTTTTACAGTTGATGCTACATAATATGTATTGACTAATTATGAAAATGGAAAGAATTGCTACATTTTCAGAACACTTGTACATTATCTATTTACAGCAAGGATGATATTCTCTGATACCATGATTTGTGCAGATTGTTCCAGCATTGAATCGAGGTGATCAATATTCTCACAGTCTTCTCAGTTGCACCAGTCAAAAGTTATCGATGGGTTTTCTCGGCATAAGGAACAGTCACTAATATGTGACTGTAATAAAGTATTTGTATTGATGATTTTGACTGGACTACACCACCAAGCCCTGTGTCACATTACCCTTGTTTTACAACCATGTGATATTGTTATAGCGAGTATTTGTAGAATGTATATGTCTGACATGATCATCTCTACACACAATTTTACAATACTGTATGTCTATTGTTGACATGCAGAAATGACACAAAATATGACTCATTCAAGTCTTAGATATGTATGTTAGGCTAGTTGACACATTGATATTGTCCCAGCAAAGGGACCATATTGCTATAAAATTGCAGGAAATGTAGATTAAATTAAATAGATTTTTTGAGTACAGATACAGTTAGGTAGCCATTACTTTCCAGTGATGATTATTTGTATCCACAATGACAAATTATTGATACCAAGACATATCATATGCATTCACAGGAAACACTTCAGGAACTTTCTCACCCACAGATAAGTTTCTACACAGTAATAGTTAAATCTTTATTGGCAGTTGCCTTTTTTACTTTATCTAAATGCTGGGAAATAAGTAAATTAATTTTCTTCTCAAGAAGACAGGAAACGATTTGGCAACAGCAATCTAAAAACACCCTTCACTGATTGGTCATGTATTTGAAGCAGTAATAGTGGTGCTTTGTGGCAAAATCATTGGCAATTAGAACAGATTAAGAATAACAAGATATAGCAATTAGAAATCATTCATTCAGGTAAGAAATTAGTTTAGTCTGATTGTGACACTTTTACCAGTTTTCCCTATTCAAAGTAACAAATACCCTAACTGTCCTTAAGTCCTTAGAGCAGTTAAAACACCACGATTATAGGCAAACTTTTGTAATGAATATCACCACAACCACTTACATACATTTCCATTAACAGGCCACGAGACTGTCGTTCTGTTGCCTTGTTGGACCTATAGTGCAGTTCTCCAAGCACTCAGATAGCCGTGTCCCACACCACAGCCTGCGGCCGCTGGCAGGGTGGTGTACCAGTCTTGCGAGGTTCAGGGGTCCGCCTCCAACTTGGGAGGATGGGCATGCTGTCCTGCTTACACAAGCTCTTGTCAGGACGCCTGTGGGCTTTGATCTCTTTGCACAGGCAGCGTTTGCGCTCGATCACTTCCAGTAGTTTGCCATCTCTCTGGGTCTGTGCTGCTGATGGGGCGGTCCCACTCATGCTGGAATGACCCTGGGCCAGCTGAGCCAGCTGCTGGAACTGCACCTGTAGGTGGTGCTGTTGCTGCAGCTGCTGCAGCTGCTGTTTTAGCTGCTGTTGATGAAGTTGGAGTTGCTGCTGCTGTCGGGAGACGCTTGGGCTGTTGCAGGAGGCTGAGGACAATCCCTAGAGCCAGAGATAAAGAATATATCAGAACATTGCTCCGTGCACACACATAATATACGCAGTTAGCATGGACCGCCACCAGGTGGCAGTGCTGTTCTAGTCCAGCTGATTAAGGGAGGGTCCTTGACAGCGTACTATAGACAGACTCTGCAGCATGGTCAAACTGCGTCAGCATTTGCTATGCAGCCAGAATCTGGGAAAAATATGCTGTAGGAGACTGCAGCTCCTCACCTTAAATAGTGTATGTGAGGCCCTTTCTTGCTAGTGCACTGAGTACACATTAGCCTGCGTCATAAACCTTGACTATTCATACTTTTGTGCCAGAACAGAGCTTTTCTGCTCACTGGGCATAGTTACCGCTATAAATAGATCTGCACAAGCGCTGTCTCTGGCTGGAAGAAGTAATAATGAGAACTATATTAATGTTCTCTTCTAAATGTAGCAATTCTGAAGTGAATAGGATCAGATATGAGTCCTGGGTATTGAAGATTTACCGGATTCAGCGAGTCTCGAGTGGGCAGACTGCTCTGTCTTGGGACATCTCCCACCTGTCTGACTCCAGCAGCAGAGGAAGAACGGCCCAGCCGCCCCACTTCTGGAACAAACAAGCACTGCATCATAACAAGAACTTTGCAAATATATGCAGAGGTGGGCTTTGAATTAGGCAAATCAAAATCATGTTTGTTTCTGGTGTCTAGCCTAACCCATAAGACATTTTAGTCGTTAAGTTTGTGTCTATTGGATAAAGCCTTTTGGCCAAAGGGGATTGTGCATAGGGGATATTAAAACTCAATCAAGAATTAGACAATTTGGCATCATACCTCCATTGCGACAGGATGGAAACGTCTGGCAGGGCATAGGCAGGCCTGCCCTGGGGAAAGCTCTGAACCCTGAACTACTGTCCAGCCCAGAATGAGACTCACTGGACCCCAGGGCCCTTCCACTGGCGCCACTGAAATGAATGGGAATGCCAGAGTGACCTCTCGACCCAAGCTCGTCTTTACCCATCCGCAACAAGGCATCAGCACTGCCATTCCAGGACCGGCCCTCTTCTTCTGGAGACAGAAAAACATCACTTTTTTAATATAACAGGCTCCTATATCACTGGTTCCTGTAGAATAAATAGACACCCTAGGACTTAAAAGGCTTAAATATGGATTGTAAATAGTATATCAGTTCTCTTCACATTAAGTAAATGTATTGTAATCTTGAGTCTCTTTAACTAATTATAAATATACATTTCTGTAAACGAGTGTGTAGCAGAGCAGTTTCAGTGACAGACTTATCCACCCTTGATGTGTGAAGGAGAGGTTTTTGAGGTTTTTGTCTTTCCTTCCTGGTGCTGTCAGACTGTACAATGAGAACTGAGTCTTTACATGTGCCACCTGTTCTGATAATCCACTAGTCACTTTATTTGCAATTCTAATTACAACATTATTAGATAATCCATTCATCTGAGAACTGCTCACTCGTCACGTTACCTGCTGCTGCTATTATTATTATTACTATTGTTTATTCTGGTCCTATTCTCTGCTGATACCAACCATCTGTAAATACCTCATGACTGCTGCTCACTACTACAGTGTATACTCCAAGTGACTTACCCTTGAACTTTGAGCATTTATAGTGTTTTATTTTTATTGTATTGTCTTATCATTATATTGGTTATTATCTTAGATAATGTATCCGTTTGATGTGTACAACCTGAGTGCTCTTCTTTCTCCTTCTATTCTGCTGTAATGTGCGCAACCGTGACATTGAAATTCCCCCACTGAGGGACAAATAAAGGTTTATCTTTTCTTATCTTATACATTCAAAATGCAGCAGCTCGAGTCCTGACTAGAACCAGGAAGTACGACCACATTAGTCCAGTCCTCAGGTCTCTGCACTGGCTTCCTGTGGCTCAGAGAATAGACTTTAAAACAGCTCTGCTTGTTACAAGTCTCTCCATGGCCTCGCACCAAAATATATTAGTGACATGTTAGTCCCATATGAACCAGCCCGGACTCTGAGGAGCACAGGGACTGGACTCCTGTTAGTGCCCAGAGTCAGAACTAAACATGGGGAGGCAGCTTTTCAGATTCATGCTGCTAAAATCTGGAACAGTCTTCCTGAAGATGTGAGACAGGCCTCCTCTCTGACAATGTTTAAAACCAGGTTAAAGACAGTTCTGTTTAGCTGTGCATACAACTGAGGGATTTTATATTTTTAGCTTTCTTTTTAATGTTCTGTGATTATTTATGATTTTAATGCTTTCTTATTTTGTTCAGCACTTTGAGTTGCCTTGTGTATGAATTGTGCTATATAAATAAACTTGCCTTGCCTTGCCTTGCCTTACATAGTACTTTTTCGATTGAATTTCAAACCTATGCTTGCGTTTGTCAATAAAATTATAATATTTGATTGTACAATTCTCTGTAGTAATGTGGAATTAGGTTTAACAGATTGTTTATGAGTTTAATATTCTTTTACATGTTTACATAAGCAAGTGAGACTTACTGTCGGTATCTCTGCTCCCATGGCTGAAGGAGAGTTTCCTCTGCATGGGCCAGAAAGAGCTTTCATCTGCTCCTAAGCTGCAGTGGCTGTCCCAGGGCAGAAAACCAGCTTTGGAGTGGAGTGACCCTGATCCTCCGTTGGTTTTGGAGGGTGCATCCAAGAGCCCAGTCAGGCTGGAGGGCTGTTGTAGAGAAGGTGTCTGTGATCCAGCTCGGAGACTTTCGTACGCAGGGGGCCTTCGAAATCCTCCAGAGGGGTAAGTCCACAGCAGGGGGCTGTCCGAAGAGGGGGGCTTGTATGCTGGCAGGCCATGGGGCGTGCGTGAACGCAGATGGGGGCGAGAGTGCGGCCGCTGTGATGAGGACAGGGGCGTGGGGGTTGAGCTGGTGCTGCTCTGGGACGTCTGGTTTGATGAAGAGGAGGTGTCTATGGGTAAAGAGTGTGGTCCGCCATCTCGGTCCCGATCTCGATCTCTGTCTCTCTCTCGTTCTCGATCTCGATCTCTGTCTCTCTCTCGTTCTCGATCTCTGTCTCTGTCTCTGTCTCGATCCCGGTCTCGATCTCGGTCTCTTTCTCTGTCCTTGTCCCTCTCCCGTCCTTTGTCCCTCTCTCTCTCCCCTCGCTCCTTCTCCCTGTCTTTATCTCGATCTTTATCCTTCTCCCCTTTCTCCTTCAAGAGGAAGCTCACAGACTTGCTCTCTTTGCCCGAACCTGTGGTCTGTGTCTGCACTGTTGCTTGATTTGTGGACTGTCCACTACTGCTCTTGGTGGGTGCGGGCGAATCCCCTCTGTCGGGTTTGCGGTAGTGGTGATAGTGCGATGGCCGGTGGTGTGGGTGGTGGTGGTGGTGAGAAAAGGGTGAGGTGGATTTGGAGGACGGCGGGAGAGGCGTGGAGTGACTTCTTGCTCTCAGTCCTGGCGCGGGGCCGAGCTGTGAGTCCCGATTGTGTTTGTCCGATGAACTCGACGACTCTTTTGAACTGGAGAGGGATGTAGGAGCGTTGGAGGTGGACGAGGAAGAGCTGGCTTGCGTAGAGCTACTTGACGATTGCGTTTTGGCAGAGGTTTTACTCTGCACACCACTGGAGGCTGCGGCAGGTTGTGGGAAGGCCAGTAATGGGGGACGATGCTGGAGGAGATTGGGGAAAGGAGCAGGTATTTTTGTGCTGGATTCAGACTCCGATTTACTCCCTGGAAGAAGGTATGGAGTGGGTGCACGTGGGGTGTGTGGGCTTGCCGACAAAACCTGGGGCACTGGGGTTGAAGATGCAGAGGAGGGAAGGGGTGAGGAGTGGGACATTGACACATTTGATTTTGGCTTGGAGTAAGATGGTGATGATGAGGAAGGGCGAGGCAGAGAGGAAGAACTGGACGAGGATGGTGTTTGATGGTAGTGCTTTGAGGATTTGACTTTTTCATGTTTGGGAGGGGGGTGTCTGTGACCGTCCCTGTTTTCCTGCTGGGGATACTTCATCTCTTCGTAAATGGCTTCACTCTGGTCTGAGTCAGAGTCTGGGGTGGTGGCCACAGGGGTGACTGGGTGAGGGGTGGCAGTCTGGCTTTCTCTGCTAAAAACCTGTCCCACCATCTCTATGTAGACGGGCTCATCATCCCCGTCGATCTGGACCTGGGAGTCAGCCCCCTGGAAAGGCAGGGAGGCAGGCACACGTGGGGGTACGGCATCGAAGGTCAGCTGGGTGCTTGGACTTCTCTTGGGCTTCAGTGGGGGAACTTTTTTGGAGCAGAGTTCGCCAGAGTCCGACTTCTTCATAGCTGCAATTAACAAAAGAACAATTAGATCCAACATCAACTGACTGATAGTTTAGTTTAGTTAAAACAACTGTTTTTAGCACTTCTCTAAACCGACAAACTCTGTATTGTCGTCTTTGATTGGACAGAAGTTTTGAATGACAGACTTATGGATTGCTGCCAAACATTAATATAACTCCCTTTTACACAGTTAAATGGTTCAAGATACTCAAATCAGGTGACTTGACATTTAAAGGCAGACACATATTTTATCTAATTAGAATTCAAATGATCAAACTGTTTAGACATTACATTACATTGTTTATTATCACAACCAACACATCACAAAAAGGTTTATTGCCTCGAGTTGAGGAAGTGAGTTATGTTAAACAGAAGAGCTTGTGTGAGCACCTATTATAAAGCTAAAGGCCAAGTTATTAATAGCTTTTCCAATAAAGATTTGGTGAGGTTCTTTCCAGCACTCTATTTGTGAACCTGGGTGTTTCTACTCACAATTCTTCCTCTCCGGGTGCTTGGAGTGTGCAGGGGGAGCTTCAGGGGCTCCTCTGCTCTCTCTGCCCTCTCTGCTCTCTCTGCCCTCTCTGCCCTCTCTGCCCTCTCTCTGCTCTCTGCCCTCTCTGCTCTCTCTGCTCTCTCTGCCCTCTCTGCTCTCTCTGCCCTCTCTGCTCTCTCTGCCCTCTCTGCTCTCTCTGCTCTCTCTGCTCTCTCTGCTCTCTCTGCTCTCTCTGCTCTCTCTGCTCTCTCTGCTCTCTCTGCTCTCTCTGCTCTCTCTGCCCTCTCTGCTCTCTCTGCCCTCTCTGCCGTCGCTGAGTCGGGTGCTGGGGTGACGTTTGGGTTTGACCGGGGGGCAGCGGGTTCCATGCTGGGACTGCGTGTCGGAGTAGTCGTCTTCGTTCTCCAGGCTGCTGTCGCTGGCTCCGACCGCGTGGCAGGACTGGGAGCGGGGAGCCATGGCAGAGGCACATGAGTGAGGGGACAGGTCCTGGGAGGCCGGCATGGTCATGAAGCCCATTCGGAAGTGACGCCGAAATGATGCTAGGTCTCGGACTTTGCCCACGGTGGCAGACGGGTCATTCTGGACAGAGCTGTAAAGAGAAAAAAACACTGTCAACAAAACAATGTTACTTGGTTGAGAATCTGAATATTAAGATGCACGAGGGCACAGTCGTTAAAGGGTTTGTGTAAGAAAGTCCTGGGCTCGATTCCTGGACCAGACACGGCTTTTCTGTGTGAGGTTTGCATGTTCTCCCCATGTCTGTGTAGGTTTCCTCTGAGTGCTCCGGTTTCCCATACCACTAAAGACATGCGCAATAGTTCAGGGTGAATGAGTGATGTGACTGTGACTGTGGGGCAAAGCTTGGATATTACCTCAAGGCTACAATTCAGTATATTTGCAGCCAAAGTTGTTTATTACAGCACACTGTCCCATTCAAATACTGTAGATTAATAAACATGTAATACATGTTTATTTATCTATTTGAATGGGATCCCAAAAATGGGATCAAAAGATGTTTCACCTTTTTTTTTGTTATAGGTATGTTTTTTGTTAATAACAGCTGTGTGTTGCTCCTGTGTTTGCCTGAAATACAGTGCCCTGCGAAAGTATTGAACCTTTCAACATTTCACCACATTTCAGGCTTCAAACATAAAGATAAAACATTTAAATTTTTTGTCAAGAATCAACAACAAGTGGGACACAATCGTGAAGTGGAAAAAAATTTATTGGATAATTTAAACTTTTTTAACAAATAAAAAACTGAAAAGTGGGGCGTGCAATATTATTCGGCCCCCTTGCGCTAATACTTTGTAGCGCCACCTTTTGCTGCAATTACAGCTGCAAATCGCTTGGGGTATGTCTCTATCAGTTTTGCACATCGAGAGACTGGAATTCTTGCCCTTTCTTCCTTGCAAAACAGCTCGAGCTCAGTGAGGTTGGATGGAGAGCGTTTGTGAACAGCAGTCTTCAGCTCTTTCCACAGATTCTCGATTGGATTCAGGTCTGGACTTTGACTTGGCCATTCTAACACCTGGATACGTCTATTTGTGAACCATTCCATTGTAGATTTGGCTTTATGTTTTGGATCATTGTCCTGTTGGAAGATAAATCTCCGTCCCAGTCTCAGGTCTTTTGCAGACTTCAACAGGTTTTCTTCCAGAATGGTCCTGTATTTGGCTCCATCCATCCCATCAATTTTAGCCATCTTCCCTGTCCCTGCTGAAGAAAAGCAGGCCCAAAGCATGATGCTGCCACCACCATGTTTGACAGTGGGGATGGTGTGTTCAGGGTGATGAGCTGTGTTGCTTTTACGCCAAACATATTGTTTTGCATTGTGGCCAAAAAGTTCGATTTTGGTTTCATCTGACCAGAGCACCTTCTTCCACATGTTTGGTGTGTCTCCCAGGTGGCTCGTGGCAAACTTTAAACGAGACTTTTTATGGATATCTTTGAGAAATGGCTTTCTTCTTGCCACTCTTCCATAAAGACCAGATTTGTGCAAGTGCACGACTGGTTGTTGTCCTATGGACAGACTCTCCCACCTCAGCTGTAGTTATCTGCAGTTCATCCAGAGTGATCATGGGCCTCTTGGCTGCATCTCTGATCAGTCTTCTCCTTGTTTGAGATGAAAGTTTGGAGGGACGGCCGGGTCTTGGTAGATTTGCAGTGGTCTGATGCTCCTTCCATTTCAATATAACTGCTTGCACAGTGCTCCTTGAGATGTTTAAAGCTTGGGAAATCTTTTTGTATCCAAATCCGGCTTTAAACTTCTCCACAACAGTATCTCGGACCTGCCTGGTGTGTTCCTTTGTCTTCATGGTTCTCTCTGCGCTTTAATCAGAACCCTGAGACTATCAAAGAGCAGGTGCATTTATACGGAGACTTGATTACACACAGGTGCATTCTATTTATAATCATCAGTCATTTAGGACATCATTGGATCATTCAAAGATCCTCACTGAACTTCTGGAGTGAGTTTGCTGCACTGAAAGTAAAGGGGCCAAATAATATTGCACGCCCCACTTTTCAGTTTTTATTTGTTAAAAAAGTTTAAATTATCCAATAAATTTTGTTCCACTTCACGATTGTGTCCCACTTGTTGTTGATTCATGACAACAAATTTACATTTTATATCTTTATGTTTGAAGCCTGAAATGTGGTGAAATGTTGAAAGGTTCAAGGGGCCTTGCGAATACTTTTGCAAGGCACTGTATATTATTATTGGCACATAGAATAATAGTCAGTCACCGGAAACCATTTTTCGGAGAAATACAGTAGAAGAAAAGATTATGATCCAGTCTTTATGTTCAAGAAAGCTGCAGCCTCATTTGGATCTCTAAATGTCATTTTGATGCCGTCGGTGGTGAAGGACAGAACCGCAGGGTATGCCATCTGAAAGTGTATGTTCTTCTTAATAAGGTCCGTGCCATAGACTAAATAATAACGGACGTAGTCACGGCATTCTCCGCCGTTCTAGCTATTGTGCCACAACTTCCGTGGCCTACGGGCAGTTTCAAAATGGCCGCGGGGGCTGGAAAATTTGAAAAAATGCACCTGCGCATGCGTCACTGTGCACGAGCCCCATTAATTTAACGAGTGCCTTCAAAAATTCACAGCGACTAAACAGTATTGTAAGCATGTCAGCGCACGTCATTTTGGCCACTTTTGAGACGGGACCCGCTCCCACTGGTCCGAGCACACCGCATTAAACGCTTTCCTGGCCATCCTGACGCTCGGTGGAACATCTGGCAAAATCCTCAGGCTGGATCCATTGTATTTTCCCTTGTCGCTTTGCCACAGTCATGATCAACCTGACATCACGCAAAAGTTGGCATTTGATTGTTTAAAGTTGCTTCCTTCAATGGCCGCTTTCAGGTTTAGTATTCTGATGTTGTCCCATCTAGATTGTCCTTCCAGGTCCAGTACCTTGTTTTTTAAAACAAGGTGGCTACCACGGCCACCTCGAACTTGTTGAAGGACTTTTTCACAGATTGTTGAGTGTGCTGTCCCACCTCTGGGTCACAGCATCTTGTCACAACCCTGCTCCACCCAGCGGCTATTCCACCCAGAGGCTACACCACCTCTGCTGCTGTGACCTGTCCTGCTCCACCCAGCGGCTACACCATCTCTGCTGCTGTGACCTGTCCTGCTCCACCCAGAGGCTACACCATCTCTGCTGCTGTGAAGTGCTGTTGCTGATTATTACTATTGTTTGCTTTTTAGAATGATCAATTCTATTTTTTCTACTACTGGACACCTGAATTTCTCCTATGGGGGATCAATAAAGTTTCTGTCTGTCTAGTTATCTTTCTATCTATCAAAACCCCAAAAAAATAAAATAATAAAATAAAAATCCGAGGCTCGACATAATGCACTTTGCATGTAATATTTGCATTTGATATGACATGCTGTATGTCACTTTGCAAGACAAATGATTATCTTTGATAACCAGAAACAGAAGATAAAGCGTCATCTGTCATCTCCAGTCGCTCTCCCTAAAACCTTCAAACCAGGTCAGAAACCTAATACTGGACTCAGACTTATATTCTAATAGTCGCATCAAATCAGTAAAATCAGCAGCTTTTTACCTTTTTAATCAGCAGATCTCTCCATTGTGAGATCAACAACGTTTTATCTATCCTATTTTAGGCTACACTGCAAAAAGTGATGAAAAATAAGTTAAAAAAATGCTCAAATTTGCCAGAATATATCTTGATTTCAGCACGCTCTGACTGCCTTAAAACAAGATCGTCCAATGGGACAAAGGAGAATGATCTTGTTTTAAAAAGATACAATTGGAGAGGTAAGACAAAAACCACTCAATTCCAGCATTTATTACCTCACATTATATTGTATTTTGCAGTGTATGCAAAAATACACAATAGATTTGAAGTACAGGACTTTGAGAACTAACATTACATATCCATAGGAATGTGCCATTTCCACTTGGGTTTGAATGCGCTTCCCGTCTTCATACCTGAATCACACATTGCCGATGGGGCGACGGCCACGCTGGCTCGCGGTATCTGTATAATCACCCAGACGAGTGCACATTCCAACCTCTCCTTTCAATCACGCCTCGTCCCCGCCACGCCCGCCCTACGACAACAACTCTGCGCTCATAATTATACATCAATACAACATACGTCTCCATCGTCGCTGCTGCCACCCGAGTGTGAAATGGGTGCCACGCGGAGGGAGTTTCATTACAATCGGAGAACGGGGGGAGGGGGGGAGTAGCCGAAGTCAATGAAATCTTTGTCGGTGGTTGTGCGGAAGGTGCGAAAACGAAAGAAATCTCGCGGACTGGGGTTGCGGATCTGCTAGGAGGCGCGGCGGGCTTCATTGTTTTTTCACACGTTGGGATGGAATGGTCTGATGAGATTAGGGCGGAGAGTGGAAGGATGGTTTTAGGTAATGGGAGGGGGGAGGCGGAGGCGAAAGTACGTAGATGAGGTACGTGGTCGTGCGAGTGCAAATGGCGAATGCAGAGAATTCGGACTACAGATGTACATTCCAAACATGTTTTAAGGGGGCCACTTTTGTTAATTCAGAGTCGGTTGTGTTGTAGCCTCCTGTCCAGGAATCCCTTGAAAAATAACTTCTGGATCTCAATGGAACTTTCCTAGTTGAATAAAGATTAAATACAATAAAAAAAAATAAAAAAATCAGATCAGAATCAGAATTGTTTTTATTGCCATTGTATGAAAGAATGATAAAGCGTGGGTTTTATGTAGTGCTTTTGTCAACACTCAAAGATGCGTCACATGTAATTATTATTTCACTCCCAACAGTCACGATGATGATAAACTACTACTTTGCAAGGCGATCAGTATGTCCCATCAGCTCCTCTGCCACCAAGCATTGCGGATGAAGTGTCTTGCTCAAGGACACTGCACTACTGGTACATCATGGTACTTAACGGTGTGGCGCCTGGTGTTGCTTTGGATATTTCATGACACTTCGAAGCAACTATGGTTAAAGTTCTAACTCTTCATTCTAACATTTGCAGGAGCCAGTACTATTCCATTGTTTTGTCTATCTGAAGGCCAAGCTACTGGCATCGCGGCGAAAGCTGATTGGACGGTG